ACTCCCAAAACGACGAAAAACGTGGAAAATTATCGAAATTGGAAAAACGCGAAGCCAAGAGGTTGAATCTCAGGGAAAGGCCCTAAAATCAAAAATTTTGGGACTTTAGCACTTCAAACGCACAGAATTCAACCCCAAAACGGCGCCAAAATGTGGAAAATTTTCGAAATTTGAAAAATGCAAATCCAAGAAACTGAATCGCAGGGAAAGGACTGAAATTCAAAAACTTTGGGACTTTAGCGCTTCAAACGCACAAAATTCAATCCCAGAACGACCATAAAACGCGGAGAATTTTCGAAATTTGAAGAACGCAAATCCAAGAAGTTGAATTTCAGCGGAACGGCTTAAAGTCAAAAAGCTGCGGGATCTTAGCCCTTGACTTCAAACGCACGAGGCCCAATCCTCAAACGATGGCAAAACGTGGAAAATTTTCGAAATTTGAGAACGCATATCGCTTACATCTTTGCCGTGCTTAGTTTCTTATTTTGGGGAGGTGGGGCATCCTAGTGGGAGGGATGTTATCGGACGCTCCAAGCTAGTAAAAATTGGTGGAGTTGTCGCGTTGGAAAATCATGAGAGTGTCCGTCGTGGAGATAGATCACTTGTGGTTGATGTCACGACATCATCAGGGATAATCACATTAAAAATAGTGGTCCATACATATTTATAGATACGACTGTTTGAAGGTGCTGTCAATTTTGAATATATTCAATATAAGCAAGTTACATCGGAAGACGACCAACATCTACTGGAAATATGAGGACAAGAAGAAAATATTAGTTTCTTGTTCAAGTCTGTCAGCATTTCAGAGTATTCCTCCACTTGTCGCCGGAGGGCAGGGGATAGTAGTAGAAGTAGACTTTCGAAAGGATCTCGCATCCGCCTACTTTTCCGAAAAAATGTATCTTTATGCGCCGCGTGTCGTGACGAAGTGGCTTCGGCGTTTGCCTCCTCCTGCCGTTTCTGCGGCAGAGCAAAGAAACTTCAACCTTCTCACACATATTCGGCATATTGCCGAGGTTATGTCAGAACCGTATATTTTTAACGAGCAGTTCCAGTTTTCCTGTAATAAACATTCATCAGAATAGTACTACAACAATCGCTTGCTTGTCGTTTTAATCTTCATTAACTTCTACTCCCTTCCTACACCAACAATATGCTGGTCCATGACACACTAGTACAACATACAACGTGCGTCCATTCGCGTCAATTGGATGGAAAAAAAAGTGTTATATTATAATGGTTGTCCTCGCGAACGCAATCAATCTAGCAGTACGATAGACGAAAAGAGGTATTTCTAATAATGATGCTCATGTTCTTGATGTCAGCAAATCATGGTGAAGCTAAATAACCGGCGAAACCAACAACTATACACTCAGATGTAGACCACCCCAAGCTGATGATGTGGTCCTCCATTATACAACCAGCATTCGCCACTGTTTTCATACTGCTATGCATGGAGATGGACCTCCTCCACACTCTAATAGTTGTACTTCTATTTTCCTAGTTACCTGTTCAGACGACAAATGTCCATACTTACATAAATACCTTGTTCTTGATGTTGTTCGAGCAAACATTTGGAGCTTGAAAAAGCTTTTAAAATCGGTCACGAGCCATCTTCGTCGGATGTCGATGTGGTCTGTGCAGAAAAAGATCCAAATAGAGGCTACGTCCTTGCATGCTTGTAACCCACCACGCTGCATCACCACGTTGATGCACTACAACTAGAACTCTACTACATGTTGTAGTATCATAGTACTCTAACCATCAAAAGTGGCTCTTTCTTATGCAATGGTTTTCACTCATTCATTCAGTCTGCGACGTCGGCTACCCTCTTTAGTTAGCCCTCACTTTTTTTTCCATGGGACTATAGGTATAGGCCACCGCCCATTTAAACAATTAAACACATCTCCTAAACAACTAAATAAATGCATAAGGCCGCACATTCGGCCGACAAATCTACAACTCTCGGAAGGGCCTCACTTATTAATGCGACACCTGCTTGCTTGTCGCACTGATCTTTTTCTGCACTTATTAGTTGTTTTCCTCACTTATTAATACGACACCCATTCCGCCCGCAATACAAGAGTAAGAAGACTTCGCCCACTTCTAATCGATCAGACAACCTTGAGCATCGCGTTGACCCGAATTACAACTTATTTGAGGCCATGACAAGATGAGTTTTTATGCTGTACAACTCGAGGTTGATGTTTTATCTATCAACTACGACTACTGAAATCATATTTATAATTGGTGATTGTGATAGTTTCAGAAGAAGTGTGTTCTACTTACTCCCCCAAATACAAATACTCTTACTCTTGTTGTTTTCTGTTACTTCTGCACAACAAGACTCTGAATCTACGTCTACGTGTAGAATCTGGAGTTCCGACATCGATCCAGTAGCTGCGCCACACCATCTTGCAGCCTGCACTCCTACTTGTTTGTACATCTATGCATCAACCACGACAGCATCTGCATCCCCTATTTTTTGATGGACTGTTCCTAAATTACTAGATATGTGATCTCCCTGGCTGCTGCTCCGAAACTAAAAGCGAACAAAAAAGTTCCATTTCAAAAAGAAACACATCTCATCAAAACCGATCAATCTATCTTCGCTGAATGAAAAACAAATACTTACATCACTTACTACAGACACGCTTGGCGGACGGACACGACGAGAAGTACTCACATACTCGGCAGCTGTGAGAGCGAGATATTATCCATCTAAATCCTCATACATGTTCAAACATCGACATGCGTCTTCATGATCTTGTAGTTGTATCCGTATGTAAGATTTTAGTTTTACAACATCAGCACAGCTAATATTCCTAGTGAGCAATGAGCTACAACGAAGGTATAGTCGGCAGTCGTGGTCGCCGTCTTCCTCCTCCTCCTCCTCCTCGAATGATTTTCATCATGATGATGTCTGAGATATCAAAAATAAAAATATTCGTCGCGACCTAGGAGATATATCATGTGCTTTTTACAAAACCCATGTTGACTAAAACAAGTAGCTGCACCTCACAACTCAACCTGATTCGTGAGATTTTCATTACTAACAATAATTAAATTGTAATTCTCGGTAACAAAAAATAAACTAAAACTTCATGAGCAACAAGCTGCACGACCGTCAATCACAGGATCAACTATACCACAAGAATGAAGTACCTAGATTACAATCATGATAATTTACAACTTACAATTTGGAGAGATCTTAGACATGGAGTTTTAGATAAGGTCCTGCAGAGTAGATCATTGAAGAGTAGTATCTTCTTTATCGAGAAAGGAAGAGCCCTACCCACCTCCGTGTCGTACTTATGCAGAGTGGCCTTCGGACTTGGTTGACTGTGGAGCTTCTGCGAAGGGGTCGTACTCTTCCTTGTCTCCAGAGCCTAGTCCGGCAAGAGCTTCTAACTGCGCCTCGGTTCTTTCTTCTCCTTCCATACTCTGCACGACAAAATTTCCTATCTGCTCTGCGAGTGCATGGAGCGCAGGACTCTGTACTGGTGAAACTCTATTTCTATCCTCGATATCTTGGTCTGTTGTTCTGTCGTATTGCTGATCCAGATGACTAGATAGATGGTTGCTCTGGTCCTGTAGCGAATGGGGAAAAAGCCCGAGTTGCATAGTGCTAGAGGACGACATCTTGCTACTGCTGGCCCCTCCGCCTCCGCGACCAGGACCAGTTGGGCCTCCCGATAAAATATTTTTAGCGCCTGTCGTGTTCTTGGAAGACGCATGCCCTTTACTGTTCGGTCTCCCGGAAAAGGACGACGAAAGCTGCCTACCAGGTCCTCTGCTGGCTTTGCCGGGAATAAATTCACCACCTTCGACATCAACGAGGTCGTCCTCTCCGTCATCGTACATGGCCTGCTCTCGCTCTTCTTCCGACTTTGAGCTACTTGGCGGCGGCAATATCTGAAATCATCAACACGAAGAAAGTAGGTACCTATTCACAAACATCTTCAACAAACTACGTGATCATCTCGACATGGACACGTTAATTAAAAAAAAGACGAGTTATCTTACAGAAATGATACCTGTAAATTCAACAAAAACAAGGAGAGATGGACGAAGGACACACATTAATCTTAATCCTTGTACTAGTAGGATAATCATAGCTGCGAGAAAAAGAAAATACGGAACATGTTGGACAACGGCGGCATCTTGAAGATTTTGCACCATAATCCACCTCATGAAACGGATGAAATATTACTAACTATGATTACTAATGCAGTTATATACGCCAAGAGTTGATCCAGCCCTGCTACTTGGTGCCGGCGACGCCTTCGGTGAACGGCGTATAATCTTCTGTTGGATAATTCCGCCAGTCGAAGAGGACAATAGCGATGGAGGAGGCAATAGAACGTCAGCAGCTGGGCTTGGTTGACCGGATTGATGAAGCAGAGTATTTTTACTACGACTGCTGCCAGTTACAAGCGCCGGAGGAGGCAACACGTCATGGGGAGTCTTGCTAGTAGTGCCATGACTTCCACTCTTCGAAATAATGGGATCTACATCGGCTCTGGCGCTGTCTTGCTCGCGACTCGAAGCGGATGGGGGCCCGCTTTTCGCATCCCAGGAGCCAAGGGGAAGCGGCAAGACGCCAATCATCGGTGGACTTCCAAACGCAGGCGCACCCGACAAATTGGATGACATACCCACTACACCAGCTTGCTGGTACTGCGTAGACGAAGACGCAGCAGCCGCTCCCCCCGCGGAAAGTAGCGGTGGTGGAGGAGCCGAGCTGCCCGAGCGCGAGCTTGGAGCCCCGGACCGTGAAGAATGGGGTCCCGGCGGTACTGCGCCGGAAGCAAAGGATGTATCAATGGGTGGGGGCTTCTGCCATGGTCGCTTTTGTTTGCCGGCACTGCCGACTGGTGCTTGGAGAACCTGTGAACCTCCAGCTCCCTTATTACTCCCACTCTGCCTCGTCTGGTTCATCCTGTGGCCATTGTTTCTACCATTGTTCATCATTCTGTTGGCACTGGTTGTCGATTCGGCATCAGAAGAAGTAACGCCAGGTGTTCGCCCCTTTCCAGGGACTGCGAGGACGGTAGGACCAGCTCCGATCGGCCCTTGAGGAGGAGCCCCGCCCTTTGAACCTTCTGCCGTAACAGTTGAGGTAGAAGCTTGTCTTTTCATCTGCCGTGGAGCCTGCTCAGAAGCTTCCTGAATGGGTGGAAGTCCAAGCGGGACACCAAGTGGGTGTGGCCCCTGTCCGTCTGCTGGTACTCCCTGTTCGTGTTCGGCCGGCGTGGAGATTCCCTCATCCGCGGATGATGAGGAAAAGCCACCGTCTGCTTGCATACCGCCCAACAAATCCGTAATGTCGTCGATTATCCCCGACGTAGCGCCCTCAAGTGCGTCTACGCTTGAGGAACTTGTTCCACCGTTGCCAGCCGCCGTAGCGGAGGCCTTTGGATTTTTGCTTGTGTCATGTCGTGCATTATCTTCTCCTGCATGTTTGCTTGTCTGCGCTTGCGCAAGAACCGCATCAACGGGAAGTACAACGTCCTTTCCACCCGTTGTATAAAAGTTCTCAACGAGCGCATTCAGTAGAGTGGATGCAGCAGGCGCGTCCAGATCGATCGCCGGGGAAAAAGGCATGCTGGCCATGGGATCCGGAAATTCCAGCATGCCGCCGCCCAGACTCCGAAATAAATCACCTCCAAAAGGCGCAACGTGTGGCGCACCCTTGCCATTCGCCCCAGGAGCAGGGGCCTGGAGAAGTATGATTGAGAAGTAGAGTCAAATGATGAATTTGAAGAGAGACAACCCAGAGGGTAGCACAGATGCAGGAAGAAGAACACTGATGAAACATGAAACAACAACAACAACAAGTATCTATAAATACGTCTTTCTTGCCTCCGGACATCCTACCGCCACTGCGGCTTCGGTCGTCTTTTCCGCCCGACAAGTTTTCGCGTGAGCCACCTGACTTACTTCCAGCCCACGAACGGTTGTCACGTCCTCTATTCCCACTATTTTTGCCGGATTTTTTGTCGCCGCGCTTGTCGCTGCGACCGTCCTCCGGGTAGTCGCTGCTTCTGGGTGTGCGGGGGGTCCTGTCGCGTGACCGTGGCATAGGCAGCCCAGGGACTGGTGGCATCATCTTGTTTCCAGCGACGCCGCGAATCAGCTCACTCGGCTTGACTATCTCTAACATTGGCGCTGGAAATGGAAGCATAGCGTCACTAGGCGATGGCATCGAGACCACAACTATTTCGTCTTTCAAGAGCTCGGGAATATGCACTCCTGGATCCACCTTCGGGCCAGAGTCACCTTCGACGTGATCCTGTTTTTTTATGCCGACGTCCAGCTGAAATTAATATTTATATAAAGTCACGAGGCGCAACGCCAAAAAATTCTACCAAAGAATATAAGCTGATCGATCACCGAAAGGATGAAAGGGCTTATGCTCTGCGGAGGCCCGGCTGAGGCCGTAGCAGTCCAAAAAATTGAAGCCGGAATTCAAATCAGTACTAGAATCTAGAATCTTCGTGAAATGTCGCGGCACAACCAATTCAAGGCAGCATCCATGTTGCAGGACAACATGATAAAATATGTGCAAGAGATATCCTCTCATTAAAATATTGGTCAACAACAAATATGATACAGAAGTTGAAAAGTCAAAGAAACTAATTACACTACTCCTAGTGGTAATTCCGTAGTTCTTGTTCAGCGTGCCAGTTTTATCATAAATCATTTCATCTTGTATACTATAGACAATGAGAAAGATACCGTTGGCGCCGCCTTGATATTGAAGTGGATCGTCATGCCCGACTTGACGTTTTCTAATTTGGCTTTACTGGAAGCGAAGCGCATCTCTCTACTTCCTATTGACAATTCGGCATCGGAAAAGGCAGCAGTTGCTTTCTCGCAGTGAATTTTTGCGCCTGCTCCATCAGGCTCCCAGGACGTGATCGAGCCCACAAACTCGAATTGGCTCAGATCAACGGTGTCTGGCGGTGCTGGAAGAACGGCCGGCGGCGCGCTTCTCTTCTTCGCGCTTCCGCTACTTTGATCTCCCGCACGGCTGGAGCTCGAGCCGCCAACCTGGTAGTCGGAAAACGCTACAGACGGGGCGGGCATGAACAGCGGGGGGGGAGCAGAGACCCCGATGAGCGCGCTCTTCATGAGCCCTGGCGGCGTGGGCATCGCGAGACCAGCCGGCATGCTCAAACCGGGCGGCATCATCGGAATAGCGGTGTCCACCGTTAGGTCTGCCGCACGACCTTTTGCACTCTGTGACTGCTGCGGCCCGGGACTTGCCAGGCCCAACACTCCTTTGGCCCAACTCCGAGACTGCAAGCGCTGTTCTCTATCAATTCCCAGCGACTGCATACAGCCGGCCCCTTTGCTGTTTTCATCCGATTGAGGAAGACGCTTCTGCGGCGATCGATGTCGTTCATCTTCTTGTTCTGCATCCACTGCGTCATCTCCGGCCGGGTCACTCCGGGTTGACATGAGATACAGCAGGGAGAAAGCACGCGTCTGATCTTTTGACAGCATACAGCCGAAGCCTAAGACGTTACTAGCGACCTCTCCCGCAACCAGACGGCCCACAACTTTCTCCACACTCTCTTCGGTAACTTTTTCTGGCAAAGGATCGTGCTCCCCAACCGCAGCTCTTGCAAGTTCGTTCACAAGGCCTGCAAAGTAGTTTCTTATCTCAACTGGCGCTCGCGTACATGATGCCTTTCTCGTCGTCGCTTCTGCTGCTGGCGGACCTCGCTCGTTCCCCAGCGCTTGATCATTCGCGTGCTGCTCATCATCTTCTTTCTTGTCCTTGGTCGTTTCGTCTTCATCAGCAGCCACTTCATCTGGTATCTGGTTCTCTACTTCGTCTTTGTTGGCCTCCAGTGTGTGTAATTCGCGAATCAAAGTGGCCGTCCATGGCGGCGGAATCCTACTAAAAGAGGCCCCTTTATTAGCACCATGCGCGCTTGTCCAGTCACCGGCACCTGGCGTCCAGTCATCTGTAGCTGGTGACTTCCCAGGAGAGCGTCCTGCGGAAAAAAAAGCAGGGCTTTTCCCATAATGCTCTCCAGGTTCGGAGTCTCCTGATCCTGAGGGCTTATTCATCTTGTCATAAATCGACGGAGTTTTATTAGTGAATCGATTGGCAGATGCAGCACCAGATGTTGAAGCCAAAGGTGGTTGCGCACTGCTCGAACTACTGCCGCCAGCGCCACCGTCTGGAGCAGCAGCAGCAGGCGGCTTATCGAGCAGGCTGCTGCCCCCGCCAGCGGCCGACGAAGGCGTTGCATTAAAACCGTCGTATCGGCTGGCCTTTTTTGGACTGAGTACATTGCGAGCTTCCGCCGTCGCGGGAGCAGCGGGTGCAGCGTTCGCAACGAAGGTCTTGGGGGCGATCTTGGTTGCATACCAGTTGAAATGGACACCATCCGCTGGAATTGCCGGATTTGGCTCCAGTCGGAAACTCACAATCACTTCGTAAGTTTCCGTGTGGGAATGGCGGCTTTAGATGATGGCGGTACCTCACAATCATAATCAACCAAATCTCCTAAAAATCAATTCAATATTATTGCAGTACTCCGGCTGATTCTGATACTGATAGCGAGGACGCTCGTCTTATTATATTAGGACAATTCATAGGGGTGCCGGATTCAGGATGGGATGGATCGGAATCGGATGGACTTCCCAGGTCCGCTCATCATTTTAAGTAGGACCCGAAGATTTAGGGAGGGTCCATCCGATCCATTTCCATCCGAGTCCATCCCATCCTACATCCGTCTTATATATAAGTAGTTATTCTATTATAATATAATAGTATACACCAAATAAAACGCGATGTGATTACTACAACTAGTACAGTATACTATGTCTTCTAGTATGTATGTGATCCAGATGATGACGGTGATCGTGAACGTGATGACGATGATGATGATGATGATGATGATGATGATGATGATGATGATGATGACGCAGATCATGACGCGCTGCATTGCTAATCAGGTACAGCCAGGTATTGAAATGTTGATGTCACGACCGACACGAAAAATGGACTGTTCTTCACGATGGTTTTAGCCGTAATAATGGGCGGCGCGACTGCTGATAGCTCGTCGCACTTCTTCGGTACTCCTGTAGGGCATGTAGTAAAGCGTCGGAAATGCACGGGAACGCAGCCAATACTGGTGATTCTGGTATTTCAGCACTCCGCTGTACACTGTGTCCGCGGAGACCGTGAATCCGCCGCTTTGCTCTTTGCAGTGGACGACAACTTTGTGTCCACGGCGAGCCCTATCGACTTCGTGTTTCGTCAATTTTCTGACCAGGTGTGCAACGGGGGCTCCCTCTCCCGTAGTTCCACCTCTAGCCGCGTCGAAGGACAGCGTCACCAGAACGTGGTCTCCAGTACGCAGGGTCTCCTTTGCAACTTCATCTCCATGGGCGGCGGTGGTGTCTGGTGTAGAGTCTCGCGGATTCAAGACCTTGGGGCCCGTGGAGGCGTCATCTCCTTGCTGTTCCGTGTGCGCTTTGTATGCGAGATCTGACCGAGCCCAAGACGGCATCTTGAAGTAGATAGCGACATCATCCGGGAAGTAAGGATACACAGCTTCGGAATACAAAAAGCCGTGGTCCTCCCGTAGCGTCTGCACCACTCCGCGCACTTCTACGGGCTTCTCCTTCTTTGCTGCGTCGGGGTCACCATGGTATACAGGCAGCACACCTTTCCTGCTCTTTTCACCCAGCTTGCGTAGCAATAAGTCGAAGGCGGATCGGCGAGCGAGCCCACGACCAAAAAGAGGGCCACAGCGCCATTCTGATAGAACCTCGTTCTGCAACTGACGCATCAGCTCTGGGTTTCGTTTCGACGCATGGTCTCTCACACCAGGGCCTGGTCGGGGAGGTAGGTGTCGTTCATATGCGAACTCGAAATGCGGATCACTTTTCGGCAGCGGTGCTACCTGATTTGATAGTTTTTATCAAGGTGGATCTCTGCGTCAAAAATGTCCACTGTGTCCTGTTGTATTGGCAATATAAATGTCGCGAACGAAATTTTAGTTTCCGGCTACACGGACTTTGACGAAGATGAGCACGTGGAGGCGTTCATCAACTTCAAGAACTAGAACCTCGTTGGTTTACAACTACAACACATCACTTTCACTGCCGATGACAAATAAAGATCTTCATCATGATCATCATGATGTTTATGTTTATTCATTGATATTACCCCTTCCTCTGGTGGGTAAGTGCGTTGAGGATAGGGATGCTCTCCGTGCTTTGTTGAAGGAGGCAGAGGGAGTGGCAAAGAGAACGGCTTGGGTTTGGGCTTTTTTGACATGCTCTCCTCCTCCGACCACTCTGAGTCTTGATCCATCGGGAGACCCAAATCTGCGCTAAACCTCCGCGGACGTTGGTTTAGACGCCATGCAGGACTCGGATTTCCGCTAACGAGTTGAACGCCTCCACCTGGCGTCTGAGACATGAATTTGCCGTCACCGACACCGAGAGGCGCGCCAGCAGGGTGTTTACCTGATAACTGTCCATTTACAGGCTGATCATCATCATCTTCATCAGCATCATACTAACTTTTACATCTTGGAGATGTGTGATATCATTTAGTGGTCGACATCGAGCAACAGCAATATACGAGGTTGAAAATATACTTTTAGACATTGGCTTTCCGCTAAAAAGAAGTACTTCTTGTTGACCTATTCGCATCGCTCTAGTACTACCACACCAGCAACGAAGATGTTGGAAACGAATCATTTGTAAAAAACCTCATACCTGGTGATCCCTCGTCTGTCTTGGAAAGCCGCCGCCTTTTCTTCTCCTTTCTCGCTTCGTCTGAGCCGTCTTTCTTGCTTTTGGAAGCCGCGCCCTCGTCCTCAGACGATCCGCTGCTGCTGTCCGAATCAGACGACACCGTTTTTTTTCGGGTCGGAGCGAAGGAACCAGGGACGCTGCCTTTGCCTTCAGCCCGGTATCCATGATAGTGCTCCATACCGTATGGTGGCAGTGCACCGCTAGTGCTGGCCGATCCGCCCATTCCACCGTATGCCGGTGGCCCCGTGGGAGCTCCGTGGTAAGGCGCCGAATGACCGGGAGGACCTGAAGAGTGCATCGGACCATACCGAGATCCTCCTGTTGTTGGTGGAGCATGCGGTTGTGCTGCATGGTAACTGGAGGCTGCATGATTAAAACCGCCGTAGCCGTGATATCCTTGTTGGGGATACGCAGGCCCCGGTCCCGGAGGGGGATGTTGAGATCCTGCTGGTCCGCCTAGGCCTGGAGCAGCGGCGATGACTAGGCTGCTATACTGATTATACTGCGGCGGGCCGCCCTTTCCGTCATGCGCTGTGCTGGGTGCACCGGGTGGGGGTACGCCGGATGACTGGGGTGCTGCTCCAGTGGTGTATATCGGATGCGGGGAAAAGGGACCTCTGGATGCTGATCCCGCTGCACTAGACGAAGCAGGTGCTCCAGCACTTCCACTACTCGATGCTGCTCCCGCCGAGACCGCTGCTAGTAGTGCGTTAGCTTCCTGCACGAGACTGTGTACTTCCCCGGCCGACGGAGGTGGAGCTGCACCCAATTTCGAGACTGAAGCTGGCACCATTTTGCCTCCGAGTGGTCCTCCCGCACCACCTTTGTAGAGGAGCACATGTGGATCCCCATATGGCGGAGCGTAGCCACGCGCTCCTTTTCCGGGTGGTATGTAGCCGCCAGGGTGTGGCCTCATGCCCATGTGCCCTTTGGGTGGCATTGCTCCTGGCGGGCCCGGCTGAAGCTTCCCCTTCGGTGCGGCGCCGCCCGGCGCAGAATTACCTGACTTTGCGTTTGTCGGCGATGGATCTCTTGCTGATGTAGGTGCGCCCTCAGCAGACGAGGGACTCGATGCAGGTTGCTCGCCCGGTGGGTGGTAGCCATGCAGTGAGGGTCCTCTATGATGGTAACCGGGTGCCGCTGCAGCGAGGTAAGCCGGATGACCTCCTGGTGCGCCAAGAGGGGGCGCAGAACCAGGATAACCAACGCCGAGATGTTGATGAGGTGCCCCCGGATATTGAAGCAATCCTCCTGGCATGCCTGCAACAGGCGGATAGGGAGGCGCGCCTGCTGGCGGAGCGACTGCATAAGGGTTCACCGTACTAGCGCTGTTGCCAACGCCATTTCCCAGCGCGTCGGATTTGCCTGCCGTTAGAAGATTTCCAACGATGTTGCCTGCCTGTCTTTCCTTGTCTTGCTTTTTTTTCCTTTTCTCCTCCTTCTTTTCCTCTTTCTTCTTTCTCTTTTCTTCTTTGCGGGCTTCACGTTTTTTTCGTTTCTCCTCTTTTTTTGCTTCCGCGTCAACCGCTGGTGTGGTACCACCTGCGCCTGTAGGCGAAAAGGCTTTGCTTTCCGTCGTACCTTTCGATGATGCTTTTGCATCGCCCAGTGGCGCCTGCTTGCTCGAAGACTCGTCGTTATCACCCATGGAATCATCCATGTCCTCGTCTCCGTCACTGTCTAGAGGCACAGCCGGGGGAAAGACCGCCGCACTGCCATCAGTCTGGCCGGTTGCGGTTCCTTGAAGAAGCCCAGCCGCATAGGTTCCTTTTAAGAGCGGACTAGCACTAGCTCCATCACCTGATGCCCCTGCAGCTGAATCCGGCATGACAATCTGCGTCATACCAGTGGCCTTGCTTCCGCCGGCTGGCGTTTTACTCGTGAGAAACTCGTCTTCATCGTGGTCTTCGACGTGATCCTTGAGCGTCTCGGAGCCGTTTGTTGGAAGATTCTGAGGGTGATGTTTGATTTCATGAAGCAGGTTGAAGACAGTCAGCTACATTAATCATGACCGAGACCGCCTAGTACAAAATGAAGCAGAAGATGTAACTGCTTTTATTCCCCAAACATGATTATGCTCAACAAAATCCGATCTCCAAACATTCATCTTGTCCCCTAGCAGCTTCAAGTCCAACACAAAATACAGCTAAGTATTGGCACATAATGTTGATCTAATAGATGATGATTCTATGTTGATGTACAAGTACAACTAAGCTGATGTTGGTGCAGGAGTGCAGTTGCAGCTGCATAGGTGTCACAGGTCCTACAAAAAAAAAAAAATAAATTTCAGACAAGAAGTGAGTTGAAAAGTACGATCGACGGCTTCCCTTTCCGGGATCTTTGAAGAAGATCATGGGCAATCTGTTTCTGTTTCTGGGCTGAAGAAATCGGTGCGACAGCAGGAGGAGGGTTCTGCTCTGCTGGTGGATGACTCGCCTGCGGAGCAGCGTCTTCTGTGTCCATCACATCCGCAAAGCGTGATCCGCTAGGACTCAGTTGCGCCATTGTTGGCAGGCGGGGCACGTTCCGACGGCTCGGTAAAGTGGGAGAAGGTCCGACACGTGGTGGGCCCGGCCCCGGCGGTGGTCCCGGGTGGGGGGGGTGCGGATGATACACCATGCCTGGGTGTATTGCTCCTGCTTGCTGGTTGTAGATCACAGGGTCTCCAGCACTCGCACCCACCATGCTAATGAAACCTTCGCCACCAGGACCAGGTGCTGATGGCCCGCGATAGGGTGTTCCAGGGTGCTGAGGTCGGCCTCTGCTACGCCCCCGATTATTGCGATCAGGCGCGTCAAACCTCGAGCCAGACCGCGAGGACGCACCTGCAGCGGCATCGTCAAAACGGCTACTCACCGTACCTAAAATGCGCTCGAGTCGTTGCTTTCGTGCCCTGAAAAGATGTGATACAGATGACACGAGCATCAGTTACGAAGCAGTCGTATGAAAAAGAGTCTCTGCATCAGAGAGATGATGGATCTTTACATTTTTTTTCGAATATAATTCGTCTTCCAGTTTCAATGAAGATGATCTTCATAGAAGACCACGTCTTCTTAATGGATATCTTAACATAATCAAAGCTGTAATTATTGGGGGTACTGCTGTTCGTCGACTTGGCCGTCCTGTCCGTGTGGATGTGCCTGAGGACCACCGTAGTTGGGGTTCGGAGGTCCAGGCATAAGACCAGCGAAACCCATGGGAGCACCCACAGGCACTGGCGGACCCGCACCCATAAACGGTTGGATGTTATTCATCACCATGCCGCCCTTGCCTGCATTGAAAGGGTCGCTATTTGGAGCAACACCGAGGCCCCGAATATTGTGCAGCGCTGGCGGGTTCCCCGTACCAGGCGCAGCGTCCGCGTTGTTGTGGCTCATGTTCAATTCACCTCTCGCAGCTGATGGTACGTCCTGATGGTGATCTCGACTCGTAACTACAGGTCCCAAGTTACTGCGGGAGGTTAGGGGCTCAGGAACGAAGAGAAACGGCCGCTCGCCGGCCGCGCGATCTAATAGTTCGTCAATCAGGCGATCTTCACGCTCATCTTCTGTAAGGAGACGGTAGTGGCCTTTTTGTTCTAGAGAGAGGATTCTCGGTGTCCTCGTACGATGCTTGTCACCGGAGCTGCAAATATTCGGATCCAGTTTAGCAGGAGGGTCGAGATTTAGTGTGGGGACCTCTCTTCGGCGAGAATTTTGCTGTTGTTGTGCAGCTTGTGATCGACTTCTAAGACATATACTGCGTGCGAGCTCACAGGCCTTATCAACAAAAGATGATGTTGAAGTTGAAGTGGAGTTCCTACCAAGAAGCGGCCGCAACGCAGAAGATTCACGTTCTTCTTGATGTTGTAAATCATGCGGAGGGCGGCCTGGACGTTGACGCTCCTCAAGGTGCTGCCCCAACCCCCTGGCCGAAGTTGTCGTAGCTTTTCTTGCCCCGTCTGGCGATGTTGTTCTGCGGATCGTGTCAACCTCCGCGCGGAGGATTCTCAACTGTCCTTCGTATTCTTTTACGACATCGGTAACGCCGCGGCGTCTCTCGCCTCTTGGATTCTCGTAGTAGCTACTCTGGTACTGCCTGGTTGTCTGGACATGCAGCTGACGCTCATGCATAGAAGATGAACAGACGTTGCAGCTACTTGAAGACGCGGATCCCCCTGCCTGCAGAAGGAGCCTGTCTTGTCTTCGTACTTCGTCTGCAGGACCCAATAATACAGCTGCTCGTGGTGCTCTTCCTCGCCTTGTACTCACACCACGGCCTGGCCGACTATGATCCCCAGAATTGTTGAGAGCTTCCAAACCACTGCTCACAGCCAAGCTAGACGAACGCAAATTATCGCCGCGCCGATGTGATCGCGTGCGCGTGATCTCGCGCACCGATGGCACCATGGAACCGAGTAGTTTCTTTTTGAGACGACAAGCACTCGCTGAGGCGGATTTCGTCCACTATGCTGGAACTTGTAATACGAAACGTAAAAAACGTGATATTTTCGAAAATCCGCTGCTCAAGTTTGCCGGCACAAGCATATCGCCGTCCTCTGTCAGCTCCCACCTCAGTCGCGGGAGAATCCCGTTCATCTACGCTCGAAGTAGAGATCATACGTCCCTTCATCTTTGTTCGTCTCATCAATTAAAAAATTATTTGAATACAAAATGAAACCATCCCGAAGATAACAACTTCTCGAATAAGTGCGAAACACGTGACCGTAAAGTCTACCAGAGAAGCGAGTGCGTTCGTGATGCGTCGACAACATCCTCATCTTGAAAAAATCAAACAATTACAGACAGAAAAAGTGTTGAAAAATATGTAAGAAGGATATCAGGTGATGTCGTGATGTGTGGACTAGTTCGAGTGAGAGACCACTCCTGCGCTGCTTCCAACTGCGAAATTCTCTTCTTTTGTTCTTAGTTGTTTAGTCCTCATACTAAAAATACAGGTATTTCTGTTCTTTTTTTAGTGTTGTAGCAGCGGCGGTTTAAGCTTTCTTCTCCATAATACGAAGCTCTTGAAGTTTGTTAGTACTCGACAGCAACGCACATCAAATAAAATTGTTTGTTGTCCAGGTAGACGCTTGGAACTTGATTCCACTACAGCCACTAGTTTCTTGGAGTTGGAATCAAAGTAGATTATTACGGTACAATATCACAAGAATGTCTATCAAGACCATACCCGCAATCTCGTTGTGCCTCCTACTCTGTTTCTGTTCTGTTTATAAGGTAGTGTGAGTGTTGTGTATGTTGCTGCTCAACAGTGAGAAACTTTTTAGTATCAGTATCATGATCATTACTGAACCACGCATGCTTTTTCAACTATTTTCTTGCCTTACAACCAGATTGTGCTTTGGTAGTTGCCGCAGTTTTAGTTCCCAGATAGCTATCTACAAACATCAACCATAACCAGCGCTCACATTCATTAGACAATGCTCTCGTCGATGTTTTTCGGGCAGACAGACTGACTCCCGATAGGGGCGCGCGCTCTTATACTTAGTTAGTGACAGATGCTCCACACTTCAGTTCAGATGTTGAGGCAGACCGAGGAAAATCCTGGGTAAAAGGCAAAATCTGACCACCGATCTTGCTGCAAGAAGCACAGACGACACCGTTTTAGTAAGACCATGTACCGATAATCCTCAGCGATGCTTTTCACTTTTACAGATTTGAACGAATGTTGATGTTGATAGGGACCAACTATACACAGACAAGCAGTCGATGGTCCAGGATAAAGCGGAGGCGGTGATTTGCGATGTACTTTCGAACATAAAAATCGGTCTTATGTGTCATATTCATACTATCAATTTTACTTTTTAGTCACGTCAACGGACCGGCGGCGCAGCTCCTTTCCAAAATAGAACTAACTGTAGTGAATTGGACGTTTTCACCAACAAGGTTGAAGGCATACGCTTACGCATAGATTGTAAAAAAATGAAAAGTCAACGCCACCGTTTTAGAAAGACCAAACCCCTCTGAAAAAGTTGCACTTCATTCCCTCTAAGTTGTGGAAAGTTGTGCGAGTTGTGTTCTAAGTTGTGGAAGATGCGCCCTAACTTGTGGAAGTTGCGGCGAGTTGTGGAGGTAGAGGGGGCGAGTTGTGCGCAGACGGAAAGCGTACGAAAAGGCCCCACTTCACTATCGGGCTGCTCGAATTTGAACACCATAGATAAGCCTAAGGCTCACGCGATTGTTCGGGGTCTACTCATGGCGTTCAAATTCGAACAGCAAAAGAATAGCGCGCGACCCTTTCGCGCGACTTCTTCGCACGACTTAGCTCACAACCCCCAGAACTTAGGCCACGGCTTCCACAACTTAGGACACAGCCCCCACAACTTAAGACACAACTTAGGCCACAAGTTCAACAACTTAGCTCACGACTTCCAAAACTTAGGACACAACTTCCACAACTTAGGCCACAACTTCCACAACTTAGCGCACAACTTCCACAACTTAGAGAACAACTTCCACAACTTTCGCACTCGATCGACAAACACGCGCACGATTTCATAGGTGAACGGTCTTCCTAACTTTTACAGCCATTAGTGCCTAATTATTATACTCACTCTGTTTTGTATAGCTGCATCCCTTCGACCAACATAAAATTAAAAAAAACAAGGATGCCTGTTGCGTGTAGTGGTGGGTTCTCTTCTCGCTAGGTTGTTTCACTAGAAACGTGGTCACTCGGATTCTCGATTTTGCCTCTATTGCTCAAGCGTTCTCGGGTAACGTGGACATGATTGACAAACACAATGACAATGGGCCTCAAAGAAAGGCCTCATGATTTTACCAGGACTTTAATTCAGTATTTGTTCTCTCGACTCTCTCGCAGCATCTCATCCAGCTTTTGCGCAGGAGAAAATATCTTGTTCTACTCCGTTCTCCCGCTCTTACCTAGTACAGCAAGCCAGAGACTGCGACCGAGTCGTCGATTAACGCGAAATTATAAACAGCGCGCTGAGCACATGCGGAGAACTTCTAGTACAACGTTTGGAGGCCGCCGCACGCCGCCACGGCAAGAGAACAGGAAGTTTCAGTTTCTTGTTCTTTCTTTAGGAAGCGAAAGGTTGTAAGAAGATTGATTATTTTAGAAGGCGTCTCATGCGATTATGGCGATGCGGCCGCAAGCAACGACAATATGGTCTTTTCATGTGAATCATCAGTGTGGCTGCAGAAGCAGATGATTGCAGATCATCATGTTCATGTGTACTTAGAAGCATGTCCAATATTAATATGTGTTTCTTTTCGTCACCATGGAGTTCTGCAAAGGAAGTTCCAGAGCGTCCGTTGCAGTAAACGCATAAAACGAAGAGCTCTGCCATTGGCTATTTGGAGGAAAATGTCAGAAAGGCAAGGGTGGCAATTTCGGGTGACAAAGATGAGAAGACGCCCTCTATGGATCAGCAAGAACTCACAATAGGAGCTGTAGCAGGAATCGTTGTTCAGATAGTTGCCCCAAATTCGGACATCCAGTCCTGGAATCTCTGCAGATCATCATTCCCAACGCTGCGATTCACGTTCTTCAGGCTGTTCAGAAAGTCATCCATCGTGACTGGAACCTCTTCGAATTCCTTCGCCATTTCAGCAATATTAGCCTGCGGAAATACAAAAGGGTCGATTAAACAGATGAGAAGGAAAAAACCCGTGCACTTAAATAGTCTTTGCCAACTTAACGAAATTCGAAATGGATGAAGCAGAAGTAGATATATTCACAACGAACAACTATAACTAACACGATCAGACAGAAATATCCTGTTCTTGATCAAGAAAATGAAAATGTTCTTCATTGATCCTTAGGCTTAGCGGCAGCGGATTATCAAAATTCTAGCAGCACCTTCTCTTTTCTCGCTTTTCTGAGGGCCTCACGGTGTATCCGCATCTGCATCATTGCTGCTTCGCGGCAAACGTTCGTGATGTCCGCACCCGAATAGCCTTCCGTGAGCTCGACCAGAGTATCGAACTTCACGTCGTCATTCACGCTTATCTCCGCACACATCAGGTCGAAAATTTGGCGCCGTCCTTCCTGTTCCGGTAATGGGATATAAATCCGTTTTTCTAGTCGTCGTCGCAATGCTTCATCCAGATCCCAGGGCCTGTTCGTAGCGGCCAGAACCTGCGATGGAGTTGCAATTCATTGACATTTCGTGATTTCGCAACGCCTACATCAGCGACAATATGAGGATCCTTCGCCAGACATCACCGCAGAAGTCAGAGTCATTAATTATAGAAGTAAGTAGGTTTAGTCTGGGGAACTACCTACATATTCACTGCCGACCCATCTTCGACAATGTGATCCTAGTACTCAGGAGGATACATCTTCAAGCAAAAGCTAAGGCATCGAGAGGAATTATAAAGGAAATCCAAAAAGAACACCATGACAAGTTTCGGCTGTTCATCCGGAGAATCTTTTTTGACGGTGTTGATTCCGTCCATTTGAACGAGCAGCTCGCTTTTCACTCGTCGACTGGCTTCGTGTTCTGATGCTTCGCCACGCTTACTGCCCAGCGAATCCACCTCGTCAAGGAAAATCACTGTCGGTGCGTAATACCGCGCCATCTCGAAAAGTATTCGGACTAGCTTCTCACTGTCTCCCCGATACTTTGAGGCCATTGTCGACGCAGAGACATTCATGAAAGTTGTTTCACCTGACTGATCGTGAACTTTATGCATGGGACGTAGTTGGAGGAGGAGGAGATCGTGTGCTCTTAAATCGACTTCGATTTCATATTACTGTTCTCAACATATTTAATATTACTTATTTTACCAAAAACAAGACAGTCAGCCGGCACGTGTCAAATAATATATAAAGAACTGACTTAAGTACATTCAGTCGACACTGCCTTCGCGAGCATGGTTTTTCCCGTTCCTGGAGGCCCGAAAAGCAGAACACCACGCCAAGGACGACGTATACCCTGAAAATAGTCGGGCATCGCCAGCGGCATGACCACGGCTTCGTCAAGAAGGTCCTTCGCCATTTCGCAACCAGCGATTGCATCCCACGACACTTGTGGATCGTTTTCTACGGAGTCACGCTCAATCATGCGTATAAGTTCCGCATCCGGACCGTCGAGTCTGTCGCCATACACGTGTTCTAGGTAGGAAATTCCGTTTGCGCCTCGTGGGTGTGGTTGTTGTGCTGCCGCCAGCGGTGCACCGGTCGTCGAGGCGCGGCTTCCACTGCTTCCACCCGCCTGATGGCTGCCTCCAGCCGCTGCAGCATTATGCACATAGTTGTTTCCCGGTGGTCCAGCCGGTCCACCGCCACCTGCAACGTTACCGTAAGAATTCGGATTCGCGGCACCACCCATCGCCACGGTTGGGTCGTAGGAATCTCTGCTGTTCGCCCCATTTGCGTTCCACGGCTTCGCGTAGTTGCGCGAGCCGCGACGGACAACTGCTGGTGCGCCAGGCGGCGCAAGGCCACCTCCACCTCCAGCTACAAAGCCCTCTCCGGAGGAGTTAGTCTGCTGTGGTTGAGTGCTGCGCCGCTTCGGAGCACCCACCTTGGGACCACGTTGCGCCCAAGGAGGCCGCTTTCGTGCTGGAGGCGGGCTCCAGACATCCCCGGAGCCTCCCCCTTGCTGCTCAGGCGCAAGAAACTCATTCAGCAAATCGGAACCAGCGTTCGTCTGTGCGCTGTTCCCAGAAGCTGAGAATGAGTTCGAGTTGTTCACGTTTATGAAGATGCTGTAGGAAAGTCGTTGTAGATCGTGCTCGTGGTAGTCGTAGTGGTACTACAACATACTCAGATAATATCATGTTCATGTTATGTGCACTTTCTTCGGGGAAAATACGTATCCTCGTAGCCGGCACATCAAAGTTTGTGCTAGCATCATTTTCACAGAAGAATAGCTAACTACACCTCCACCAGCTCCTCCATCGGCACCACAGACGCCCATGCCCTTCCAGCAATCGTCCAGTTTTTGGACCAGACGTATTTCTTCCTCGAGTTGGGCCTTGCACCGAACCCATGACTCAGAGCGTTCTGCGATAGCATTCAGTGACGTCTGAAGTTTGTCGTACACCTCTAGACTTTCAGCGTAGTTCCCAAGTACCGCTTGCTCCCGCGCAGTCTGGGCCGTCTGCACAACAGCATGGTCAACGACCATGATTTTTCTTTTCGTGCCCGTTCTTCTCTTACAGAACTACAAGCAGAGGCCGCGTTCGGGTTCGCGTTGTTTTCGTCTAAAAACGTTCGAATGTTCTTCCGCTATCAATCCGAGAAGAACCTCTCATGAAAAGTTATGCACAGGTTTCATCTTTTTTTTCATGCTTCCTCCTCGACGTTGGACGACAATCAACATCGATCATTAGTTTCAATATTTTAGAAAATATGATATCAGATTGAAAAATGAAGGAGAATCTTGAAATTAATACAAACAACAACGTTGTTAACTGACTCTCTCAAGGGAATTTTCAGAGTATCCTGTTACAACATACAGATAATGTCTCTCCGTTTTAGTTCCTGTAGTACAAATTTTGTCCCTTTTACTGGAAATCTTCGTTTTTCCAATAGATGTTACATTCACCAAATTTCAACAAAGCACAATATGTACTTTCAGCATGTAAAGGAACACTTTCTTAAACGTTGCCATTCGGATACATACATAGGTTTGAGAACTTCGCCCTTACCTCACTTATTGTTCTCAGGAGTTCTTGGCTAAAAAGACACCAAGGTTTCCAAGTACTAAGCTCCAAGGAAGATAGACTCATATCAGCACCGGATCCACAGGATAACCGATACACAGTCCCACTTCGTTCTTAGACTTGTTGCAAGTGCTCTTTGTCATTTTCCATGATCTTCGGCCACTCGTCCTCTAGTGTCTTGAGAAGGAAAATGTGGTACTTGTGCAACATACTCTTACTCGTCTAGTACTTCTTCGATTAACATCGAAAAATTCCTGCTGTGAATGGGAACGGAATTCAGGTGATAGCAAGCAGTGGTCCGCGTGAATAAGCACAAGCTAGCGATCTGCAGGCTGGTTCCGCTGACGCGAACAGCGTTTCAGAGCGCGATAAAAAAATGAGCACTTGGTGGTGCGCAGTAAAAGCCGCGCAAGATATGTCATCCTCTTTCTTAGTTAAATAAGTAACATTAAATAAGTAACATGCAAAATTGAAAGATATTACATGGGCCAGGACTGGGAGAGTACCGGTACCAGAAGGGGTGGGAATATAAAGAACCCGACAGAAAAGGTAAAGACTCCGACAAAAAAGGTAGAAACAAGAGGAGGCCAAAAGGTATAAGCCTACAAAAGTAAGAGCCAAAAAGGCCGAAGAATTGCCAGAAAAGGTAGAACCTGAAGCCGCGCAGGAGAGGAGGAGGAAAGGAAAGGCCAGAAGACAGCCGCAGACGCGAACACGCCATCGAACAGCCAGCAGCCAAGAACTAGAGAAGAGAGAAGCGCAAAGAACCACGCCAAGCGACCCGAGGGCGCCCCCGGTGACTGAGCTATGACAATCCCACACGACACACCCAAAACCATTCCCAGCACCGCCAAGCGGGACCAGACGAGAACCGACGGGGGCGAACGATGTTGCCGACAGCGCGTGCGCGCAGCGCTCCGGGTTGCCACACTCGCGACACACAGAGCCGCCGCACACCATCCCCGAGGGACAAGCTTCAACTACGCGACGCCCGAGGGCTTTCGAAGCCCGCCGCAAAGGCTGACGCACTTCAAAACGAAAGCGGCCCGCGGAGCGAAAGAGAAGCGCCACACCGGGGGGGGGCGGGCGGATCGCAAATGGAAAAAGCGCGCCGCAAAGCTCCTGCTGCGGGGGGGGGGCGGAGGGGTCGCAAATGGAAGAAGCGCGCCGCGGAGCTCGTGCTGCCGGGCAGTTGCCCGCGCGCCTGCCTCTGGCGGGTGCGAGGTACTGCGGCAAGAGCGGGAGAACATAGAGAAACGAAAGACGCAGCAGGATGCGCCAAGCCTGAGGGACCGGCCGCAGCTTGGTGGCAATCCTGCCAGGACACTGCGCGGCCAAGCGCGCGCGGCTCCCCCGCGGGCCCCGGCGCGCATAGCACATGCCACCGGGGCGCTGCGTTGGCAGTGGGGTGGAAGGAGCAGCCTACAAGAAGGGCCAAGGTCAAGCCCCCTATTTTCCGCGCCCCTTCTGATACCGCGGCCCCAGTTTTTCCCGGGGCCATGTTGGCCCCAGTATTTCCGGGGACCCCGCCAGAACTATAGGGAACCCCGTGGGAAATTAGGGACCCGGGATTTTTGCGGCCCCGGTCCGCTTAAAGGGGGAAAAGCACCGGGACCCTTATAATACAGGTGGCCCAGTTTTTCCGGTCCATACATTTTCATTTTTGAAAGATTTTTCGGCGTTCAAAATCAAAATCTGCGAAGCGGATGGGTCCCCCCGCATCGATGTCGAGCTGAAAGCAGTCGTGGCGAGGGATCCGCGTGGTCAATTAGACGTATTTTCAATCATCCGACAAGGAAAATGGATGACCTTGCCAGAAGCGACATCGAGAATAAAAGTCGTTGTTGTCGTACTAGTCCACAAGTTACTCTCTTCACTGGCGGACAGCAGCACTAGTCAACATGAACAGGCGGCATTAGATCTTTATTACCGCAGAAGTACTCACGTCGTGGGTGTGTGAGGTACTGTTGAAGATACAGATTTACAACAGTGAAACTGAAATATACAAGAACTCCAGAAGATGCGCTACATGTTGCTAATCATTTGTGTCTAAAAATTAGGTGGTAAGAGAATTCGTGGCGTGCTATACTCTCTGCTATCATGATGTTCATCTTGTAGATGCAATGATCCAAGACGTAAGACTTACCAGGGGAAAAAAGTATGCTGCATTGAATGTAGTTATGTAGTGCCAAGAAGCAGTGATTCAACTAAGTACATAGGAGTCTCAATCACGACCTTCGGGTTTTTTATTACACATCCGCCGGATGTTCATCACCATCGAGCAAATCTGGCCAATCACTTCCCCTGAGCCGCACATCCACATCATGTTGGCAATCGCATGTAGCTCGTCGTACATCTACATTCAACATGCAAGGCAGCGTCGCAGTTCTTCTTCATCATATCATGTCTTTACAAACTGGCGCATTGCTCGTCCACCTCGCGAAAATGCATGTACGCGCCTGCGCAGAAGTCTTTGAGATACTGGATGTCAATAGAAGAGCATGTCTCTTTGATGCTGTGCATGGCCCACTGCGGGATGCCGATGTCGATGGAGCGCATGCCCAGATTGCTCGACACCATTGGCCCGATCGTGCTGCCGCAGGGACAATCGTTCCGCACCACGAAGTCTTGCACCTTTACGTCCGAAAGTTCGCAGACACGCCTAAAAAGCGCACTCGTGAGCGCCGTCGTCGCGTAGCGCTGGTTGGCATTCGTCTTAATGACAATGCCTTGGTGAAGGAGCGGCCGATGCTCAACCTGGTGCTTGGCGCTGTAGTTCGGATGCAAGCCGTGCGCGCAGTCGATGGAAAAGAGAAAACTTCGCGAAAGCACGTTCAGCCACTCATTGTCGTATGGAATACACGTCGTTGGAGCAGCTGCGCTAGTGCCGTTAATTATCGTTTTTAGTTTTTTGCGTGCGTGGTCGAAGTTGTCCACACACTCGCCAAGCAACTGTTTTAACCAGTTCTCCAAATTTACGCTGTCAGCACCCGTTGCAGACTCGGAACCTACCTCCTCATGGTCGAATGCAGCGGCTACCTATTAACATGGATGTTGGTGATTGAATTATCTTATCATTTCAGATCTTCATGGACATCGACGAGTAAGGAGGACTATCCTGCAGCTCCTTCGAGTTAAGGGCTATTTCTATTAGTTTTCTACCCGGAAGTTCATCATAATAATGGAAGGAGAGTATAATTTGATTCAGTAAGTAACTTCAACATCAACATTATGTAGTTTTTCAATAAATAAAGCTCGATGAAGAGCAAGACAAGCCTTCAAGTAACTATTGAACTCAAAGAAAGGCAAAGAAAACTGGCACGTTCGTTCTGAGAATGTACCGATATGTCCTTGCTCTGCTGACATTCAGGTGAGTTTGCGAACTCTACTAGTCCCGCAAACTGCGCAAACACAGATGCCAAATTGTCAATTCTCCCCGAATAAATGAAATCCTCATTGGCACCGATCAATCTGGAAGGCTCCGCGTCGAAAAGGCATAAATCCATATCGAGGATGGCTGTAGTGTGTGTAGATCGAAATAAAGATAGATATCGAAGTTGAGTTGTCGACCGAGTAGATAGAGAGTGTTTTTCAGATGGCTCTGCTTATCAATATTAAGAGCAATAAAATTCAGCAAACACTTCCCCTCCGGAACCTCAACCTCCAACACCCCAACCCACAACCTCCGAAACCCACAACCTCAAACCCCTCAACCTCCGACACAAAAACCAGCAAACCCCATGAACCCATGAACCCCTTCCGAACTTCTGAACTTCTGAACCCGTGAACTCACGAACTCATGAACCCACGAAAACGAACTCATGAACTCACGAACTCATGAACACGAACTCACGAACTCATGAACGAGTTCGAACGCATGAACGAGCCCGAACTCATGAATCCATAAACTCACGAACTCCCCAACTCACGAACAGCGCAAATCCAGCAAATTGAATCGCAGAAAAAATGCCCAAAATATCAAAAAACTGGGATTTGAGAAATTCAAATCCGGCGAGTTCAATCCTAAAGCGACAAAAGAATGCGGAAAGCTTCGAAATTTGAGAAATTGAATCCCAGGATTGAACTTCCGAAAAAATGCTTAAAGTCAAAAATTTTGGGATTTGAGATACTCATATCCCACGAATTCAATCCGAAAGCTTCGAAATTTGAGAAATTCAACTCCAGGAGATTGAAACCCAGAAAAAGGTCCTACAGTCGAAAATCTTGGGATTTGAGAGCTTCAAATCCGGCGAATTCAATCCCAAAGGGGCGAAATAATGCGGAAAGCTTCGAAATTTGAGAAATTCAAAGTCAAACCCAGGAAATTGAATGCCAGAGCAAGCCAATGCTTAAAATCAAAAATTTTGGGGCTTGAGAATCGCCAAGCATAAGAAGCAAGATAATAAAGAAAGCGCCGAAATTTGAGGAATTCCAGCAATCCAGGGCATTGAATCTCAGAGATAAGGCGCAAAGTCAAAAATTTTGGGATTTGAGAAATCCAAATCCAACAAATTGAACCCCTACGAGGCAAAATAATAGGAAAGCTGCGACATTTGAGAAATTGCCATGCCAGGAGATGGAATCTCAGAGGAAAGGCCTATATAATCAAAAATTTTGGAATTGGAGAAATTCAAATCCAGCGATGAATTTAATCCGTCCCAAAGCGGCAAAATAATGCGGAAGGCTTCGAAATTTGAGAAACTCAAATCCAAGCAGTTGAGCTTCAGCGAAACTGTTGAAAGTTAACGAATTGCCTACCTGTTCCCTGGGTTACTTCGGGGGGAGGGGCATCCTAGTGCGAGGGGTTGTTATCGGGCGCTCCAAGCTAGTATTTCAACAAAAATGAAAACGCCATCTTTGCAAAGCCACGAGAAACAAATTAGAAATTTAAGAGTGCCTGACGGCTGCACTCCCAGTTCATCGGAAATGAGTCTCAAGAGCTGCGTCGAATGATGCTTGTTTTCTTCGTCGTTTTTTTCGGGTTTTGCTTCGACACAAATACTAGAAGACGGAGGCTCATTCACACAGAGGATAGGTTGCAAATGCGTTTCGTTATTTATCGTAAAAGCCTTGCGCTCATCTGCGGTCTGCAGATGTATAGCAAGGTTCGGAATGAATAATACTGGTCGATCTATCCTCACCAGCTTTTCTTCGAGGCCACCTGGCAGGTTGATGGAGGAATGGGAGGTCAATACAACCTGTCACTCCCACTTGGTTTTCGTCCTTTACCACGATGATGCTGTGCCGCGGACGATGAGAGTAGTCACTAATGGAATGTAGATGTTTAATCTTCTTCGATATATCATACTTCATCTTGTTGCTTACCCCTCTTGTAGCTGAGTATTAAATACTATTAGCTACAATCAGGATATCCATGATAACATTAACCAGAAAAACAAGGCACAAAAATGTTCATCATGTAAACTCACCTCCCCCTTTTCTGCATACGACTTTCCCTGCAAGACCGAGTGGCCTGTCGAACCACGTGTGCCAGAGTCCGCCGCCATAGGTCTGTACTCCGACCTGCAGATAGTCTTTGTGTCCGCTGCTCACCTTCGTATTTGGTCTTAGTCGCAGGCATGGACTGTCGGTGTGTCCGCCAGTTACTACGAAACCACCCTCGCGTGCATTGAATTGGCCACCGACTACGAACGCGCAAATCGTCGAGGCGTGTTTCGTCAAAAAGTAACGTCCTCCCTGTTGCAGTCGCCATGGCAGACTGCCTTCTCTAAGCTCCTCAAACTTGGCATCTTTCAACATTTGCTTCACAGCTGCGACACTGTGGTAAGGCGACCCGGTTTGGTTCACAAAGGAGAGAAACTGTCGGGCAGCCGTGGTGGCAACGGAGCTCTTGCTACTGGTCGCTGCTCCTGCGGCAGATGAAACAGCCATTTTGCTTTGTTACGTGTTTCGGTCACGCTAGTACGATAACTAAGTACACAAATCTGAATGCAACGAAGTGGAATAAAACCTAAAACATATTAAAAACGTAAAACTAGTAAATAAAGCTACGTTGAAACTATTTCGCGTATCTTGTCAAAAAACGAAAAAACATCACGGAGGTGATTTCACTGCCCATGCTCTGTATCCACCATCGGTCTTCTAACTTCTTCATAAGAAACAACCAAAACTGCTACATGCTGCACAACTGCTGATACAACAGATGAACTAACTCATTTCGTGGTCCACACGAACGCAATTGCAATTTTTAAGTGATGTGACCCTCTGCGTCCTCTCATCTATCGTATCAATGACTAGTCTCCTATAAAGCCAAAATCTATCATCATCATCACACTTTTCTACTTAAGAAACTTGATAAAAATGATAAGAAATTTCGTTTCATATCTGCGGAACAGAGAGCTATGCCCCACTCGCACAGCTCAGTGCAGGCGCTGACTGCGCTAGGTCTAACTTCTTCTTCAGTCTTTTCGTAACCTTCTCAAATTTCTTGACTTTATTATCCACTTCCACCTGTTAAGAACCGATCAAACAACAAGCACGTAATCGCATTGGCTTTCAACATGCATCCTATGGGCTGGAAGGAAAAGAACGCTTTCCGATGATCAAATGAGGGCCCATCCTCGATAAGTAGATGAGGACAATAGAAGTTTTTGTCGCACTGATCATGTATCCGTATTGTGGTTGTCAAGCAAGAACTAATTTCAACAACAAGTATTCATCAAAAGGACTTCTACTCATTCACGTTCTGGTTGCGTGCTCGTCAAATCCACAGCTTGTTCTTGAAGACGAAGATTTTAAGCGTTACCAAGTCTCAATCATAGTTGTGGGTAGTGCATGTTCTTGTTTTCCTTGACTAGTAAGTATCATCAGGGTGACCGTGACTACATAAACGGGAATGAAGACAGGGGGGATTGAAAACTTCGGGAAGATCATGAAAACCGCGAGGATTCGCACATGACGATTCTGGATCGTCGTTTCATCTACCGTCGTGCCCTAACGGCGCATGCTCCTACTTCACACACTCTGGTTGAAGAAAGCAGCGAAATACTGCGTCAGCACATAGATCCATGACAAGCAGGATGACATGCAGCTAATCACTTAAATTATTTCCCTCCTCCCGCTTGTTTCGCCATTATAATGTGATCGACCCTCAGAACAGTGAGCACTGCCTCAAGCGCGTGCTTGATGGCCCACTTCTTTGTGTCCAAGTGATCCAAGACGCCCTTCTCCAAACTATCCTGGAGAAATTTCTCGTCCTCAAGGTCCACATTGACTCCTACGGTGCGGTTCTTCTTTTCTTGCTCTTGGTAGAGGCCGGTTATCGTCTCCACTCTTCCTTTCTTACCGCAGTTGTCGCTAAGAATCTTCGGCACGCACTCGATGGCCTCCGCGAATTTCAACACGGCATACTGATCGAGACCGGGAACCTATTGTTTTCAAATTCGGATAGGCGGGCCATGTCAAGAATCAAAAGTGAATGCGAAATCAGAAATCATTCTTATTCTTGTTCATTCATGACAATATAATATCTATCGTCGTGCTGGAGTAGGACTAGTTTTACAACTTCAATTTTCAATTTTGAATTGTCATAATCAATGGTGGTACCGATGCGCCAAAGGCTTGCAATTCCCTAGCAAGGGTTGTTTCGGTCGCGGCCCCACCTGGGCAGAATCGGCCGTCCTTCGAGGCGCAACGGATAACGTGGACGCCATCATTGATTGCACGCTCCCACTCGTCGAGCTGGTTTGCGGTAGCTCCTCGGAGTACTATAGTCGAGATCTTGGAGTCAGCGACCTTAAAAACTGTAAGCTTCTGAGAAGCGAGTTCTTCTACGCCGACGCTGTCACAGTATCCAATCTCCTCAGGAAGTGGCGGGCCCTATTCGAATATTCGAATTGTGACAGGAAGATTCAGTGGATGTTATTCATTATTTCGTCTTAAGGATCTTCAGTTGATGTTGAATCAACAAGGCCAAATCATGCACAACAAAACAACTCACGGCCAAATTGATATTGATGCATCTGTCTATCCGTTATTGGCCTAAAAAAACATGCACATATAAAAATCTATAATCGTCTGAAATACCGCCCGGATTATGCTAATCGCCTTCAGCGTCTTGCAAATGCGTCGTAGTTCAAACTTGGAACTAATTTTTGTGACCAGGATTTTGTATTTATCCAAGAAATGCAATGCGATTTCAGAGATAGCACCACCCGAAATAACGACAGAGACACCGGCTTCCGCAAGACCCTTAACCCACTCTTCCATGTTCGCTTCTTCACCCTGAGAAGTGACAGAAGGAATATAACAGGACCTAAAATAATCCTCTCAGTCCTTTCATCAAGCATAGTTCTATGTTGCAGTTGTGTTCCGTGCAAAATTAATCATGCACAACAAGATGAGTTTGAAATACAACTCTTATTCTAGAGATTCTTGTTGCTTAGTAAGAAAGTCCTCACCTTAGTGTAGTTCATCAGCTGCTCAGCGTTCTCAAGTAAAACGGTTCCTTTCGCTTCAGTCTGCTGGAATTCCACACCGTTTCCATAAACGACGACTTTTGCTTTCGTTTTCTTCTTTTCCACACCTAATGTGTCTCGCGGAATGACCTAGTGAAGGAGGTTTTGTCATGTGAGAAAATGAAGATTGTTGTTGTAAAAATAAAGAATGAACAAGTTTAAGTTTATTTATTAGAAGCAAACAGGTGCTAGTACAGTAGACGTGTACACCAACACAAGCAAATCAGCTCATAAATTTATTCTTGTGGTAGTAAATACCATGCCGTCAACAACGAAGCTCTTGCTCAATGAGCCACCCGGAATTTTTGATGTTCGGATGTTATCCATCTCAAATTTTGAGTCATGATCAGCTCGTGCGCGCGTAACCTGATAAATTGTAGAGTGAGACGCTGCATGTGCCTAGGAAACGGTCGACAGCGCGAACACCCCGGCGGTGTCGAAAAAAAAGACAGTGGATAATTTGAACGACTCCTCGTGTTTCAACATGTTGGAGAATCAATATCAAGGTTTGTTATGTTGGTTTTCTAAGTCGTTACCTGAACTACTGCTTGTGCGAGCAGCTTTGAGAGCTGGTCCTCAAGTCCGTATTGTTTAGCTGAGATCGCGGTCTTCACTGCTCTTGAAACATCGCCTTCGTTCTTAAGACCTTCCTTTGTCAGCGTCCAGCATTCAGTTGTATCGATAATTTCGAGCACTTTCTTCAAAGCAAGCTCGTAACCCTTTAAAACGTCCGCAGCATGCAGACCTGTTGTAGATAACCACGTTGGTTGAAGCTGGAGGATGGATGAAAAAAAGTCATAATCCATGCTAGTTTTTAATTTTCTATCATTTTTTCCGGATAAGTTGTAAAACGTATCGAGTATTTCTGCAAATTCATCAACAACAAAAGATTCACGTACTTACCTTCTTTGAGCAAGTTTTCTGCTTCATGCAACAGGGCGCCCGCAAGCATAACGCAAAAGTTAGTAGCATCACCGCACTCAAACTCCTGCGCGCCTGATGCTTGCACTAGCAGCTTTCCGCAAGGATGCTGCACTTCCATCTCTTTCAGCATCGTCGCTGTTGTTTGTTCATATGAGAAGAAGATTTGGAATAAAATATTTTCTTTCGTCGATTTTCATTTGAAAGCAAGCGTCTTGACCAGGAGTAGGACGATGTCTTGAAAAAAGAAAATTGTTCACGCTTATGTGTACATCTCCATATTGCTCACAAAACGAGTTCCGTTGTAGCTGTACCAGTATCGCTTGTGACGAAGTGTTTCCCGAGGTGGTTAATGACCAGTTTGTTGGTCCCGTTTGGCCCGAAACTTGACTGAACAATCTTGGACAGCTCTTTGCATGCCTCAATATTCTTCAGAAGTGCTTCATCTGCACCAGCAAAGTGCTTATGCCCATCCTTGAGCAAGTTTGTGACACTAGGCGCACCACCGAACATTTTTTCTTGGGTCTACTGTAAACGGAAACACAAAAATTCGCTAATTACTACAAGGCTAAGCTCTAAGATAGTGATAGATTGAAAAGAAAACCTCCACCTATTTGTAGTACAATATCTTCTGTTGAAGATATCAAATTGAACTCGCGGGCTTGTAGTCGTTGCCGGATACTCATTATACTGGTTCTCAGCTAATAATACCTCAACTTCTCGAATGATGTGCATAAAATTGCAAGTTCTTCTCACTCGTTCTACTTTCCCGCAGCTCGCAACTACCTAGAAAATCAAGGCACAAGATGAAGCCTTCGTCCGTCTTGTGTTACTCCTGGAATTATCAGAAAAATTTGCCAGCAAGATCAATTCAAGTTGAACTTGAATTGTCAAATGATGAAGACATGTGATGTCAGTAGTTGCCTACTCCATCTTTATCCTGCTTGATATTTAGTTTACCTGATTGACCACATAGAAAAAAGGGATCTTTTCTTCTTCTCGTTCTAGCAGGGTGTTGTACTGTAATCTTCTTGATTTCAGTCGTGGAGTAGATCTATCGGAACTCCGTTGTATCGGGACTCGCCAGGCATGGCGTGGTGTATTTTTTCATGGACTGCGAGTAAAGAAAGAGCTGCTTCCTATTCTGGGAGGATCTTCTATCATCATCATGATTTTTCTTCACCAGTGAAAAGTTATAGTTGTTCATGTGTATTCTCATCATGGATCGTCGATTATGGCGGTCTATCAAGTTTCACACAAGTTATGCCCAAAGACACACGTCCACGTGATTTTTGCGAGCCACATTTTATTCGGTCTATGTATCATTCTTGATGATTGGATGACCCTTGATGTAATTGGCGTAATTGTGTAGCTAGCTACTCATTATATTTGGATATGCTTCATACTCATAGTACATCGCTATTGATATTCAGCATTGATCTTCCTGTCCCTACTTCAGCGATAGCCATACTCATAGTCCCTGTGCGTCGAGGTCGTCGTCGTGCCAGCAGTCGTTATATGTCGTGCATAGCAAGAACAGAAATAAGAATTCTCCTTTAATTAATGTATTGCAGATGATGATCTTAAAATGGATCCGTAGCACCAGTTCGTGACCAGAAAGTTTTTCGCAGTATCTCATCACACGTCGTCTGCTCCAGATGAGCTCGCTACTTCGTCACTGTATTTGTCATCACCTGTGAGGCCTTGTTCAAACGCTTTTTTCAGGTTCCATGTTGTTGCCAGTAGCATCAATGCCCAAGCAGACATAACGGCAAGCCGAATCAACAAGAGAAGTCCGTCTGCGCCAGATAGCACGCGCACAATCCCGACGAACTGATCATGATGTAAGTATTGGTTCATGAACAACATTAAGAAGATGGGATTTTTTCAAAAATGGATCCTCCAGCGAGTGAACCTAGGAGTATCCTGAGTGGGAAAAGACGACAGTGTGCTATGCTACTATAATAATCCAGGTGGGTGGCTCGAAGTCGAGCATCGAGTGCCAATGTGCGAAGCCGAAGAAACTTCTTCATGATAAAGGTTGCAACCTTAGAAAGTATAGAAGTACCACTTGCGCTCCGAGCATGAGTGGAAGCAGATAGAGGAACAGAACGAGAAGGTGCACGCTACGACGCCAAGCTCCAACGGCGCCAACAGACACCACGGCGAGCGTCGCTAGAAACATGAAGAGGCGAAGGCCGTCAACCGTCAAATCAATGCTGAGGACTCCGAGAAGTAGAGCAAAGAAAAAAACTGCCTGTCGGAGTGGTAACACGTCAAAAATGTTTTGAAAGCGCGGAAGATGCTCGTCGCAGAGAGTCTCGAGTTCCTTCCGCAGTGGTGGCGTGTCCGCCGCAAAGCAGGCCTTGAATGTAGTCGCACAATTGCCGCAGAACTTCTTTGCACTCCGCGAAAACGAAGAAAGGATGCTTTTTCCGCCTTTTTTCTTTCTGATCTTGCGGCCACGACTTGAACAGGATACGTGGTCTTCCTGGTCGTCACCTTCTGACGACTCACCTTCATCGCCTCCTGCTGCTGCTGTTGCAGCTAAATCTCTTCTGGAAGAAGTTGAAGGAGGACTTCTTCTACTTGTTGGTAGGGGGAATGGAGGTATGCAACAGTCGTACAACTGTTTTCCCGGAGGAGCCCCACCTGATCCGTTGGTCCTCCTTGTCCTGCTCGGCGTGGCTTCCATAGAGCTACGTTGAGAAGATCCTCGACTTGCCCTCCTTGCAGACGACCTGTAACTTCGCCGCGGCTGTTCTTGCTGAGTGTAATCTTCCCACTTTTTATGCACAGTTGCACTTTGTCGATTGTTGTTGATTCTTGCGGGAGTTGTTCTACCCTTTATAGGCACTCCCTCTTCTCGTGTCTTTGTGGTTCTATAGTGTCTTCCGCTTTCCGGAGACTGGTCGTGCCTGCCGCCGCTATGAAGAGCGTCTTCGCCTTCGCTGAGCTCATCGGAGCTACCAAAATATCCTCTATCTTCAGCGGGAAGCAGGTGAAAATCTCTATCGGATGTGGCGCTGCGTCTACCAGTGCCTCGCTGTTCTCCATTTTTATGGTGATGACCACCTGCCTGGTGGATCCCTCCGCCAGCTGTAGTTGTGACCCAAGGTCGAAGATTATATCGCGTGCACTTATCATCCTCGTCCTCATCGTCCGCATGTCCCACATCTTCATAATAATCATCACGCACTTCTTGCAAAACCTTTGATACTCGCTCACCGTTTACATTCTCCAAGAGACGGCGTCGTTCCTCTTGCCCCTGACCCGCTGCCCCATTTCTTACCGTATTAAAGCGGTAACTTCTGCGAGATTGAGCTTGAGGAGATCTGTCTAACTCTAATCCAACAAAACTGAAGCATGTCGCACCACGACCGCTAGATGCAACGCTTGAAGGAGTACTCCTCGCCTCTGTGCTCCGGGTGGGCGTCTCAAGGATATTGCCCTTGGGTTTCATCGAGCAAAGAGGGGACGCCGTCATTGTGTTTGGTTCTGCTTAGGAGTTAGTCTTATGCCGATAGTGATGTCCCTCTCCACTCGAAGATTTTTGTTGGCGTTCTCTTCTTCGACCAAGAATCGCTCTATGGAGACCTCCAAGGAGCTGAGCTGCGACTTACCATTTTATGAAATTGTCAACAACATCAATACGAACACCTTGCCACGACTTCATCTGCTTTTTCGCTTACTGATGCCAACGCACTCACCGATCTGTATGGCCTTTCGCAGCTGCTTGTCGTGCGGTCATTGACGCGCATGTTGAAAAGATCGAAGTAGGAGTAATCCTAATCAAGAACACCTCGGAGAACTGGGATGACTTGCTTAAAGCGCAGGCAGCCAGCACGACGAAGCAATCGGAAATCAATCACAATCTGTTTTCTATTATAGTATACATCTCTAATACAACGGACAACAGCAGGTGACATAGGCGTGGCAGTTCAATAATGTAATGGTAAGTCGTAGTCGTAGACGAATTGTTGTATTCACAAACAACTACATCATTATTTCCGCGAACAAGTAGCAAGGCATCTCTGATACGTCGCGCATGTACGGCGGTGAATGTGAAGTGAAGACATTTGCAGATAGCACAACAGAGGAAAAGTATTCGCATAGCTGAAAATGACAATGACTGCAGTGATGTGCACAAGCACATCAATCAGATACTAAATCCAAATCCCCTTCTTCAGATTCTCTCATCTTGCCCACGTCCATAGGCTTCCAATAGCTACTGTGATAAATCCAAAGAGCAGCCTTCCGATAAAAAGTATTCCGTGACGGGCGATCAATGTCATTCTCTTGTTAAACGCCGAATATGAGGTAGAGCACCCCCCTTGCTGTAGTACACCGACGTCGTTCTCGACAGAATTGGAAGGTGCCTCGTCTCGCTCTCGTCTAGCAGCTGCAGCAGCAGTATATTCCGCAATGTTGACGTCTTCAATTGTCGCTGAAAGTGCGGTCGAAAGCGTGATGGTTATAGCGAGGATCGTCCACTGTTTGATCGTCCCAGAATCATGCCCCTCGAAGACATCCCAGACCCCGTAGGATGTCCCAACGAGCAGTAGGTTTGTTACCACCGCAATGGGGATCAACCTCAAATGCGTCAGCTTCTGTGTCCTTAAGCGCATCGTGTTGATAGCTTTTTCTTCGGCCAAGTTGACGGTTCTTTGTGTATATAATTCGCTATTTATGTACTGACGTGTCGGATTCTGCTCCTGCCCGCCCGACCGCTTCTCCCTGTCCTGGCCGAGGGCTGGAATTTTCTGCGTGGTTTTGGGCTGAACGCATCTGCTCTTCAAATTGTTCATCGGACCGTGACCGAGCACCATCCGTGTCATCGGCGGAAAATTCGAATCTCGTTACGATTTCGAAGCTCCGGGTGAGTTTCTCCGAGACGAAGAAGTCATACACGAAATTGTCGACTTCGAGTACAAATAGTATTGCAACAGCGTTTACGCAAATGGCAAGTGCGTCCCTGCCTCTGTGCGTAATCACAGCCGGAATAGACATCGCGACTAATGCAACCAAGCCAGATCGACGGAAATGGCATCCGAGGAGGAGGATTTGATGCTCCTACTTGGCCTTTTACATCAGCACCTCTTTGAATCAGATCTGCTCTCATAGCTCAAATCATGTCCTACAAAGGTGGACGTCCTAGCTCTCTGCAGGTGGCCAGCGCGACAATCATCGAGCTTGCGAAGATGACCAGGTAGGCGTCGGATTTAAACTCTTTCACGTTCGCAATGTCCGCGTCTCCGTCTCCGGTCGTAACTACGTAAATACGCTTGGCGTCGAAACTTGCAGTTCTCGATTGACCAGAGGAGGAAGGACTATTCGAGGAAGAATTGCGTCGTAATCTTCCACCAAACGTGTCTGGCTCATGCGTTACTCGCATACAGGAGTAGCACATCGTCGGCAGATCGCCTTCTTCGTACCCCTCCAATGCAACGGCTAGCGTGTCGTTTTCCCTCTCGTTTTTCACGTCGGCTGCGATTCTCCGCGGTTTGAAGTATGCGGTCTTCAGGGCGAGTTGTTTCTGTTCATCATGCGGCTGTTGATTCACAGCTGTGTTATCTTCACGGGGGTCAACAAGAAACTCTCTCCAAGAATCGCCTTCTACGAAGTCCATGCACATCTCTTCGTACCACGACGCGGACCACATGCATATTCCCTGCGCCTCTCGGCACCAGGTGCCCAGCGGGCAGACGTCGCTCGAGAATTTCGAGCATGCTGGCTGCATCACAGCACCGTAAACGGCGTTGAGAACTAGAACCTCTACGAAGATCATACCCATGCTACCGCAGAGCCAATGGAATTTCCTGTTTCTGGCTGCGGCACGAAGCTGGGAGCGCTGGAATTGAATGATATCTGAAGGTGGATCATCTTCAGATCGGCCGTCATCTGGAGGTTGGTGAGTTGTCGACTCCGTTTTTGAAGACGTTATAGCCTCTTGCTCATCTTCTTCTTCCAGAACATCAAGCAAGCACAAGCACGCAGCGAGCTGGTGGAAGTTGAGCGGTGTTTGATCCCTTGCGTAGTGGAAAGCAAAAACGCGTGCTTCCTCGTTCGGAAAGGTGCCGCGCCGGCGCTGGTTGTACCTCTCCATCTACTTCTTACTTCAGTCAAAAAGCAAAAGTGTGTGACAATTCCGTTCGGCATCGGACTACAGACATTATACCCGCTATATGTTGCCCTACTTGATGAGTATATGCTCCAATATACTCTTACAGACGAGCAGGAACATGAACATCTCTTTACAGGTGACAATATATAAGTGTAAACGGGATCGGTCACCAGAACACAGGATCAAAGCTCAACTTTTTCCAGAGTCTGCACTCTCTACTAGGCTCTTCGCTAGAAAATCCTAATCGGGCGTGGTTCATGCCATTTTGTTCTTCTAAGTCTAACGTGAGTCAGGGGAGGTGAACTGACGAATGTCAAGTCTGTACATCAAAAGCAAACGCGAGTTGTAAGTACAACTTCTAGTAGTTTCTGCAAACCTATTACGCCATCAAGCTATTGAGGCGAAAAGGTTTTTCGTTCTATGATTGATACTCGATCATGAAAAGTTTTAGTGAAGATTTTAGTCTAAGACCACGAGCAGCGAGTGATAGTGCTGATGATAATCATGTGGATGTGCATGCCGCGAACAGGATAGTCATCATCGTCCCAGATCCTCGTATTTGATTTTTCTATGAAGCGACGCAGGCATCCCGCGGCAGAGGACCTCTTGCGAGTTGCGCTCGACTCATCTGCCTTATATATTTATAAGATCCTATCAAACCAAAACCAATCATGGCTTTTGCAATGTCCGAATCTGTCGTCAAGCGAAGCCATCCGTTGGGTCCGTGCGCGCTCGCCGCGCCTACAAGCAGCTCGACGCAGCTGGAAACCTAGATCGCTGTCGAAGGTGAAGATTCCGTTCCCCATGACCTACGCACCACCGCCATGGTGTAGTAGCATGACCAGAACCACTCCAAGAGCAGCGGTTATCGCGCCTAACTGAACATTTTGAAACATAGCCATTTCTCGTGAAATGGGTTTCTCCGCTCCCTCATGTCGTTCCCCAGTCTTTACGTTGCGGTAATACATTTGTCCGGTTTCTGTGTCCACCTTCAATTGCCACGGATTCAAATCCTCATACGACGTGTGTAAAACTTTGTCGAGAACTTTTTGTGCAGGTGAAAGATGCTCTGTCTTGGCTGTATCTTGGCGGGTACCACCTGGATCTCCGTCGGCGTCCGATAATTTTCCGTCGATATCTTTAAGTAGGGCTGAATCTCCCCTCTTGAAAGATGTTTTGCTGCTCTCCTCGCTAACGCGTATGTGCGTCTTGAATCGCCTTGATGTCGTAATCCGGAGCACCATACCGCATCTAGCACGGTTTTCAACAAACGGGTCCAGTGCCACTATGCAAGGGCGTATGAGTCTTCCGTGCGCAAGTCCGATGTCATGCTCATGCCATGATGGTACCATTGTCTTCGGAGAACCGCATCTCAGGCCCGAAAGAGTAGTCTGACTTCGTAGAGCTAGGGCCGTGCTACTCGCGGTGACCAGACCCGACCAGCGCAAGACACCCCCTTGCCGTGTTAGTGTTTGCATGGCCATGATAATCTTTTTCCTGCTAGAGTAGACCAAATTTATTAATCAAGAGTAAATCCAGCAAAGGAATATGGAACATCAAAATGAAGTCTTCTTCATGGTGTCAGCCATCAAGCTTTCAAATCTCGAAAAAGCTAAAACAAGTGATTTATTACTTTCAGAAGCCAGCGTTATCGGGGTTCTGTTGCCATTTTTGTGGAAAGCGAGGGAAGTAGAAAAAAGGGCACTGGAAAGAAAAACGGAATCGGAAGCGTCACTGGATTTCTTCTAAGATGAAGTAAGAGACAAAAGTTCAACATGTCTACTGCAAAAATGCAGATGTACCACGAGGAAAGCGGGGCTCTCTAAATCTTTGATGAGACGAATTTACTACAAGAAATTGCACAGTCTGCTCGTGCACTCGTGCTGGTCTTTATAAATGATGGCCGTCGTGCTGAAGACGCTGCTTTAATAAAAACGCTCTTGTTGCTTCGGGGAACAAAAGATTTCATACGTCGTCCTCGTCCTCGCTAAATCACATGCCGCGCATGGACGAGCTAGTTATCAACATTTTCTCTTTGTAGTTACTTTCTTCGAACAGGATCAGGATGGTCCTCGCAATCATAACGATAGTGTCTATCAAGAGATCATGAGGATTGAACAATGTACTTCAAAAAAATATTATGTAGGGGCGCGGGGCGACGCCCCCCCCCTAGGGGGGGGGGGGGGGGCGGGCGCCCTGGACCCCTTTAGGAGGCGTCTGCCGGGGGAGGAAGGCCTAAAAAGGGGGCCAAGGGGCCACCCCCGGCCCCTTCCAGGAGCTTTGTGCCCCCTGGAGGCCTGGGAAGTAGGTGGAAGGCCTCAAGGGGGGACCAGGGGGCTCGCTGCCTCCTTCTCGTTTCCATGTACCCGACAGACTTGAAGGGTTAGAGGGCTACAGACAAAAGGGGCCCACGGGACCGCCGGCGCCCCCTCCCAGGTGCCTGCCTGTGCCCTCAGTGCATCCGCTAGGCTTCGCCGCCGCAGCAGTGCACCGGCAGCGGGAGGCCTCCGAAGACGGCAAAAGGCGAGGGGCTGGACCCCTGGAGCCGTGCCGCCTGTACCCTCCGGGCCCTTGGCCATCGGCTTGCCTGCTCTTGCGACCGTGGCGGTTAGGAACACGCTGAGAAGCGCAAGGGGAGGCCCGCGCCAAGTTTTGACGCCTTCCACCACTAGAATCCGCGAAAAATCCGCGCGGAAAAGCGCGCGGGCGCGCCACCACCGACCACACCACAGGGGGAGGGAGGGGGGGGCGTTCGGCCCTGAGTCATATATAAGCTGGATGGAATGAAGGTGAAGGGGGAAGTTCTTGCAAGTAGGACATGCATGGGGATGTTTGACAATGAGGTTCTAGTGCTGTACATCCATGTCAGCCTCCACCCAGGTCGTAGTTGAATTCCTTATGCCCCTTTGCGAGAACGTTAAAAATGACTTTGACTTTCCCTCCAGATTGTACCCGCACGACCTCGCGGCCTTCCGTCCCAGCAACTATCCTTGGATCCACGAATTGAGCGGGATTGCCCCCCAGCCAGCCAAGAAACCGGACCAGCCAAGAACTGAATGCGATGTGGATTACAGGAGTATGCCAACGTAGATTCTTGATCTTGGAAGTCTACATCTAAACCTGAGACTAATCGATAGGAAGATGTGAATATCGACACCATGGCAGCCACGACTAGGCGTAGCAATCTCATTCTTAAGCAAACACACACGACTAAAATATTTTTCATCTTCAACAAATCCGATATATAAATAGAACCTCGAAATCGGCCGAAAGAGTCTTATGGTCCTCTCGTGGCGGCCAGGCGTGCAAGGCACATGGATAGATCCATAACCTTTGATGACTCGTCGATTACAGAGATCCGTACCGTATACTGAAACCTGACGAAGTATATCATGTTGTAGGTGAGTGAAAATCTTCAACTTCGACTAGCACTCAAGCTAATATGAATCTGAAAAACCACCGTTCTTTTTCCTCCATTTGTTCTAAGCATAATTGGCATTGCATGCGTTAAAGTAAGAAAAAAAAATTGGAAAGCAGAGCCAAAATACGATCAGCCGTGGCCATCCATAAGCATTGGTCGACTTGTAGGTTACTCCAATAGGGAAGTTCCAAACGACTTCCCGCGGATCGCCATGGAAAAGACCACTTACTTTCGTTGTTGGATGCGCACTGCATGCGAGCTGCGTTATTCCCTGATGGTTTTAGATAGACTTTGTTTCACAAATGCAAAAGATAAAAAAGAATCATAATTGATTCTCGTAAAACACGTTTTTGATGTAAATGTAGTAGTTCTAGAACAAGTTCCTTGTAATGTTGGTGTTGTAAAAGTATGAAGATGTTGCAGTTGCATAAAAAAAACGCATAATTTTAAGTTCCTCCAGTACAGTAGAAAATGCACCTGTGTCGTGCCCTGCACAACTGTCCAATCATGACCCGACTGAAATGAGAAAACGCACATAAGCGGCCCTCGCCCCGAGGAACCGAGCTGTTGTTTGAATTTGATGAAGAAGATAAAAGAGTAAGGGCAGCTTCACAAGGTGGATAAGTATATTCTTGAGTATTCCGTGAATGTTCTTCATCTTCATCTTGTTCGTGTTCAGTATGAGTAGCAGAAGATACCTGCGCGCCTTCAAGTTCGCCAGTTACCATGACCTGGAAGCTGGCTGCTGACTCCACAGTAGCTTTGGCTCCATCGGCTGGCGCACCGGCTGTCGCAGTTGTAGCTAGTGCCATTTTGACGAGGACGGCCTTGGTGTCGATGTGCAACGAAGATAATAACGAAGTAGAGCTCGTCTTATACTTGGTGGTCGCTGCTAAAGATCACAGATCGAAGTGTTTGGCGGCCTCTCCCAGCTGGTCTATAGATTCGTACGCGATGACGTGGCCTGTAAGCACGCAACCTTAGCAGGCCAATTACACGCGCTGGTTTTGCACAGATACAGGGTAAGAAGTCGCCAGTTAGCAGGTCTCCACTAGCAGTCAGCTGCAAACGAAATTTACATTTTTCATCATGAAGATCAAGTAAATTAGATTCTGCTCAGCATCGGATACAACTACAAGAGGACTCGTATGTTTTTAGGTCTCATTAGACATGCTAAAGCAGATGAAAAAACGAAACGAAGAAAATAGAAATGCATGATAATCGAGAAGCTGTCGTCCTATGTGTATGTAAGTATCTATAGCAACTCGGCATAATTACGGCAGGAAGCAGTACATGCCAGCTATTTCAGCTCTCGTCCCCCTCGGCCTCGGTACTCACAGTCACTCCTCTCGCAAAGTCACACCTTCAAAATTGCATTGATTCCCCTCAACAAGCTCAACAGTCCTCCAGCACCCTCTCCAAGCTCGCCTGAAAATAACTCAGACCGACTTCCCCATTATTTAGCTAAAATTAAAGGGCTGACACGACCAACCGCAAACTCTAGCATTTGGGTCCTAGCAGGGTGCGCACACCGCCCTCTTTTTCTCCGGCACCGCGGCGCGCATGGCAGATGGATCAACATTTTCTCCAATCGACACTCCGGTATATTCCGTTTTCGGACGGCCGCATGGTTCGATCGATCCACAACTTCTGGACTCTTCAAAAAGAAATTGTGATAGATGGATAACATAAGTGTTGATATTCAAGCGTTACGCGACGCGGCTGCAGCTCTTTTTCTTGGTGCATCGTTTTTTTTTAGACAAGGTTACAGAAGGCAAAACGTACTTTCATCACGATCATCATCATGAGTTGTGCGCTTTCCTATTCAAGCTGTAAAAATTGGAAACAACTGAGGAGTGCAAATACACGGATTGGCAGTAGCGTTATCAGATACATTGAAAGAATTTATTTTTGGTCATAGAGTAAAAAAGTCTACTTCCTAAGCCTATTTATGTCATCTCAATAGCAAATGCACAGAGCGATAGTCTTCTTGATGATTCATGCTCAGAACTACCTGTTGTTCGCCCGTCCGTGCTGATCTAGTCGAAATTACACATGTCGCCGTCTAATGTGCGCTTCGAGCTCCGCAGCCGACGCAAATCGACGACCACATCCATCGGCAATGCACGGATGAGCCGCGTTGATATTAGTACCAGACCTAATATCGCTTTCACTACCTTCTCGTAATTGTGATTCTTTTTCAACACCATTGAGACTATTCCCAGCTGCGGGAAGTTCACCTGGCGACGTAGCTGCACCATTTGCTGCAGGTGCGAGTCCTCCAGGGTTAGCAATTTCGCCTGCGAGGGCAAAAGTTGACGCAGCCAGCGTGGCGTGAAACGAGGATGCAAGGTTCTTAAGATCCTTGCTAACCGCTGTTTCGCTCAGGTATTGGCAACGTGCTCGTAACTCATTGCCCCCTGCTTCGTCCAATGCCATGAAAAGCGGAGGTGTGGAAGCCATTTCAACTGATGTAGTTGATGCAGAGAGCGAGGAATGCGAAAATAAAAGATATGAGTGTAAGGTTCTGGTTGTCGTACGAATCTTTAAGTATGTATGCTTAGGGTCACGCTTTTGAAGCATTGACTTTGCCAAATGAATCTATCATGGCTCAAGCAGACACCAGAGCAGATGTAGATGATCGCTAAAACTCCGATACTTGAAATTCAAAAAAGCTCGAAGTCACAGTCAGTACGTTTTTGCGCAGGGTCCGCTCTCGCGATTTGCTTGCTCGGGTCCAGCGCCAGGTTCACTAGGACTTTGAGTAGCACGGTGAGAAAATCCTCTGACTCATCTGGTACAGAGAGAAGCTCCACCAGCCTTTGGACTACCGGGCCACAGTCAGACACCAACCGCGCTGAGCAGGCTGGGTCCGCTGCGAAGTTAACCAGAACACCGCACAGGTAGTACAGCAAGTCTTTTGCGTCACCGAGATCTAGAAAAATGACGAGAATTTCGTCAATCCGAAGATCGCGCATACACGTTCGCGCATCCGCGTGTCGGCTCAAGTTACCCAGCGCACGCGCTGTCTCCATCGACGCTTCCAGATTGTAGCTTTCCAACAAGAGTGGACGAAAAAGACGACAAAGCAACAGCTTGTTTTCACTCTGAAAAAGCAAATTCCCATCAAAGTCGTAGTACAGGAGATTGGTCACCGCAGCAACGATATTGAGTACGAGCTCTTCGCTCTGCTGAATCTTCTTGCAACCAAGCATATCTAGCAGTGGGTCCACGATTTGCCCATTCGCGGAGCATTCGCGGCCAATGCGCGGGTCGACGCAAACATTGGCAACGAGACGCACGATCTTCGTCAAAACCTCTTCACTTTTTGACATCAGATCCCTTGCCGCTGTAGCGGAGAGCTTGGAGCTCGCGGGCCCGCCCAATAATCCCCCCGCCGAAGTCGGTCCGTTGTCCTCCGGTAACCTAGACGGATGAGATGATCCGAGGAACTCATTTGTCACCGCCGACGAAACGCGGAGCATCAATTTACGGTTGCTTTGCCAAAATCGGTCCAAGAGTGGAGGCAGCAAAGCCATACCGTCACAATCGAGCATAAACCGCGTTCGAGTCCTTTCGGAGTTGGCGCACAAGTTGCCGAGGACAAACGTCGTTCGCAGCACAACCGCTGCTTTCCAAGGAGCCTCTACGGGCGTGTTAGTTCTTGTAGTGCCACCCAGTGTCCCTTCTTTGCAGCACAACTCGAGAAGCCGAGTGCAGCAGTGCCGGATAAGCGCATCGTTTCCAAGCATGTGTTCATCGCGGAGCTTCTCGACCATCGACAATTTCGATAGCACTCGACTGACGTTCACGAGAAGCTCCTGCGCGTCTGTACTCAGCGGTTCGTGGTCTAAGACCGCCGTAGTGAGTCGCGTCAGCACGTCCACCACGCCGGAATTAGCCAAGTCCCGCGCGAGCATGGCACTCTCTGGCGCGGAAGCAGGCGATCTGTTGAAGAAAAAATAAGATGCAGTTGTGTAGCCGGGCTCTCGTGAAAATTACTACTGAGGGAAAGTGGCTACGCGTCATTGAGACCTTCCATGTTCACCACAAGAAGGGAGTGGCACCACAAGAAAGGACGGCCGGTACGAAGTTACGATAACATGATAGTTCTAGAACACTACAACCATATGCAAGACTGAGAACTACAGACAGAAACAGGAGGAGTGAAACGAAAATACGCTCTACTTAGCCCTGTTGTTTCCACTAGATTCCGCAACGCTGCCATAGTCTGCACCCATATTTGTTCTAGCTCCTTCCTTTGAGTGTGCCCCTGCGGTTCGTCCATTAAATTAAGTATGGAAATATAGACAGGCACGGCGCGGCTGCGCACTAGCACTCCTGCGTTGGCTGCGCTTTTCTCTGTCACGTTCTTCAGACAACCAAGGACAAAAATACGGATTTCGTTTCCTTGTTCATTCTCTCGAAGCACGCCTAGCAGAGGTTCCAGCATCTGTTCCTGCTCAAAGAGTGAGTCGCTCCCCTCATCCTTCGAGCAACGGAATGCGCCTTTCACGATTGTCCGCAGAACAGAGGATGAAGAAGACGACGCTCCGCGAACGAAGAGCCCTGCACTAGCGAACGTTGGGTGACTGCCGCCTGTCAGCTTCACCAAGTCTAACCCGAGGCGGCAGAACTGCAAAAGGCAGGTTGGTGCCGTCTCTGGTGTTCGATCTAACACGGTAGCCAGCGCGCGCAAGACTTCTCGCAATGTGTCTTCCGTCTCGTTGCTGACGACAAGTTGCCTCACGCGCGCCGCGATTTCAAGAAGGTGCTGTGCCGCAGGGGATCCATCACTCGTGGCGCTGCGCAGCACCGTCGACCCGGGACTCGCTAGGCGCTCCAACGCTGAGACTACCGACTCTGCGAGCGACGCAGATGCGCGCGTACCAAGCATTGGTGTCAAAATTTCCTCTCCGAGGGGATACTCGTGATTCTCCTCTGCTCCTCGTCCTACACAAACAGTTTTATCTTCGTCTTCGCGCTCTGAAAACTGTTGCGCTGTTGAAGGTGCGGAGGAACTGCTCGCACTGCCGCCAATCTGCAAGTACTGCTGATCGACATGCTGAGGCCTGTTGAGTTGTTGCTGCATACCTGCTATTCCCCGCGCATAATCATCCTGTGTCTCTTCAGCACACGAAGATGCACGTGAAGAGTGGAGGTCTTCGAACTGAAAGTTCGAAGACTGCGAAGTCGTCATGCTGTCAGTCTCGCCGAAAGAGCCACCCTCTACACGTGGCCTCGTGCTGTTGGTCGTGAGACCAGAGTCGGCTAAACGAGTCGCTGCTCCGCCTCCACCAGAGCCGGATCGTCCCGCATTAAAACTCGCCGACGATGAGGCGGAAAGATGTGCGCCAGCTCCACTAATTACGTCGTTATCGGTGGGTGTTTTCCCTGATCGTCGACTGCTCATTGATGAAGCAACAGCCGGCACCTGTTGCTTCTCATTGCCATTGCTGGCCGAAAAACGGGGCGGATCATGCTCGAAGATTTCTTCTGCTGAAGCTTCGTCGGAGTCGCTTACGCTCGACGAGAGTCGGCGCTCGCGGGTGCCAGCAGTAGTAGAAGTCCGTGACGACAAAGTGTAGTGCCGCTCCTCTCGAACAGCTCCCGTGTCATCGAAAGATATCGCATCAACGACCCCGCTTCCTTGTTGGCCAGCGAAAAGAGGTGAATCGCCACCACCGTCTCGGCTCTTGCGCTTTTTCTTCTTTTTCTTCTCTCGACTCATCGTTTTCCTGGGAGGGCGACGAGTGAAGTAATATTATACTATAACGGAATCGATAGGGGTGCCAGATCCGGGATGGGATGGATCGGATGGATCGAATGGACTTCCCACCATTTCAAGTAGGATCGGAAGACTCAGGGGGGTCCATCCGGTCCATCCAAGTCCATCCTACATTCGTTCTATAAACTATTCTAATTATTACAATGTGAAGCCACAGGATGAGGCGTGCCAATCCCAGTCCTACCATCATGCGACCACTAGAGCTACTGCGGCAAAACAAAATCATGAAGCTGAACTTGGAAGCCATCGATCTTCTCGTTTTCATCAACAAAAACAATCAAATGTCATACCTGAGTGTGAAGCCCGCAGGTTCTTGCTCGCCCAGAAATTCATCCTCTTCCTTGATCGCCGCAGTCGACCACATCATACGAGATGAAGGTCGACTCCCGCCCATTCCCCCGGCAGAGGCCCCGCCTCCATACGATGATGGAGGTCGGTTGTTCCACAACAGCGCCGATCGATCCCCGGCCGCGGTCATGGGCCTCGAGGGCTGGGAAAGCGATGCACCGCCACATTGTCCTGCGCCTTTGGCTAAGCCCGAAGACCCTTGCTCGGTTCGCGCAGCACGCAGGATCTGCGCGATACCAGATCGCGAAACCTTCAAGGAGATCGGATCTAGCTCATCTTCCTCAGGAGAACCAAACATTTCTTTACAAATTTGAAATGTCAAGTAGATGCTATCAACGGGTAGTTCATGGTCTCCTCCTCGCTCTCTATCGGGGGGACTTCTGATCACTGACAAACGGTCTTCTACGACTACGTCTACTTGTGTTGCAAATTTTGCGAATTCTATTCGATGATGTTGAGGCATTGTAGTTCTTTTTCTTTTCGTAACTACTTATACTGTTGCTTCTTTATGTGTTCATCGTTTAGGATGTAGAACCACAAAAACCTTTTTTTCTGCAGAAGCAGCTTGTTTTAGAAGTTTTTTTGTCGTTCTATTTGGAGATGAATAAATATAAAAATAAAAGTAGCAACTCTCTCAAAACTCCAAAACGACTCTCTACCGGTTTTTTGTATCTCGTCAACCAGCTTGCTTGATTCTTGTTCGGTTTGCATGTCTGTTTCTAGTGGTGCGTTTTCAAATCTATTCTTATAGATTCTCTCCTGCCAGGTGGATTCTTCATCTTCGTTTTCCAGATGCTACTATTTACTTCTCGGCCTCTGCATCCTGGGAATTATGCCTTTGCCTGCAGGCATGAAGATTATCATGTTTTCCTTGATTTTCATCAACATAGCAAAATCGCGCTTGAAAAAAGAAAACATATTCATATTTATCAAACAAGTAGACAAGATCACAAGATAGTGTTGGTGATTCTGTTGAATGACGATGGAATTGAAAAAGAGGAAGGGAAAGGACATCTCGATGGTGGTCGCGAATTTTCCTGCGCTAAATCTCGTCTGAGTCCTGGTATCGGTGTCCGTAGTAAAGGATGGAATCTGGGTCATATTCGTTGATATTGGATGGCACGTGATCTAGGAATGAGTGAAAGAAGCCTCCGCGCCACCACATAGAACGGGGACGCTCCCGATTGCGAAGAAAGCAGAGACTTTCGGAAACTACGCGTTTCAACAAGTCGTCTAGGGTTTGAAATTGCTGTAGATGGGAAACCGGTAGAGGATAGGCATTCCGAAAGTAACGCCGGTGAATCCAGTCACGGAGTGCTAGTGTCGTAGTGAGATTGAACACCTCGGTCATTTTTGTCTGTCGCGTCCACCGTTCTATTCGTCGGACCTGACGTCGATCCACGCACCAGTGTTGCGCTTCATTTTTCAGTTCCGACAAGACCAGTTCGCGGTTGGCACGGCTGTACTTGCCACTCTTGTAGCCCTTGCGAAAACGGCGCACAAGGAAAATCAGTATCAGGAGCCGCGCAGGCACGAACGTTGCCAAAAGCATCAAAGCGAACAACAGTATAGCGAGAATTTGAGAAATGTGCGCGTATTTGCCCTCGAACAAATTGTTACGGCGCTCGATGTAGTCCGCCCAGAAGAGAAACTTGCGTTCGTGCTTGTTGAAACGCAAAAGGTTGCGATCCCAGAATTCTCGAATGAAATTGCGATTCCCGCTTTTCTCGCTTTTCTCCGATGAAAAGAAGCGCCGCGCAGCGTTAAAGGCACCGCCACCACCTCCGCCAGAGGAGCCCTCGTTCTCGTGTGACATCAGAAAGCCTCCGCTTACAACACTGTTGATGTCATCCCGCAGCATGTAACTATTTTTCACGTGGTGATCAACGTGATGTCTACCCTGATGCTTATCACCCTGCGCATCGAGCAAGCTCCCATCACCGAACCCAAAACCGTGATTTACATTCACAACTACTCTTCGTAGCCGTGGACTTGCATCCTCGCTTGTCTCGCCAGCTACAGACCGCATGCCCGTCTTCCAGGTTGCGAAGCCCTCGATTCTGCTATCTGCTAGGTCGTTTCCGTTCCTGGCATATACTCCCGCTTTGTGATTGTCCCTTGTGCGAGATGTGCTGGAGGCCGAGTCCCCTGCAAAATTTATCTCGTCGCGGATACCATTTCGAGCACTAGAACCGCCTTGACAGTCGCGACTTATGAATGTATGAACGTTCATTTTTTTACCAGCACCCCCTCGGTTATTCTCGGTTTCTCGATCATCAAGAAGCGTCATGTTTGAAGATCCAGAAAAAATCGTGCTCGGAGTGTTTGTCGATGTGTGTAGCTGGTCCCCGACGTAGTTAGTCGAGAGAATACTTGATGAGCCTGCGCAAGAGGAGACGTCGTCTTCGTCAAAATCCAAAATGGGCATGCCTATATGCCTTCGCTCGCGAAACATAGACTTGTAGGTAGCCTTGTTCGTCAAAACATGGCGCTTCGCAGAAAATGCGCGGCTGTAGCTCCATCCGTTGTCATCAGTGACAGGAGACACGCGGACCTCCCACCGGTAGCGAATGCCATTTTCAACAGACTTGGGGGCTTCGCATGCGAACCCGCGCTCATCCCGCCAGGGGGGTGGGTCACTGAACAGCAGACGTGACGAAGAAAAACCACCCCAAAACCAACATCGTTGAGATTCGATGCGTTCTATACGCTTCGATTGTTCATCCTTGCTCCTGCCTCCTCCCGTCTGTGCATCAGGCGTTTCGTCTGGCATGAAGCGCTGCTTTGCAGAGGCAAAGCAACTGCGATGCTGACCCTTAGCCGCAAAGCCACTCTGCTGACCTCGAGTAGGGCCACCGCGTACTCCGCTCATCGTCCCAGGATATGAGTCTCGCTCTATGCCAGCCGGCTCCTCAGCTCCAAGACGAATGCAAGAGGAACGGTTTTTCTTTCTTGTCGATGACGGCGTGCTATTGCTCCAAGTGCTCTTGCCGTCGAACGAGGATGACGAGCCAGATTGGTTTTGGTGTTTCTGCATGCACCGTGTCCTGATGTTTTGGTTCTCGTCAAGGTAGTCAACAATGGCATCATTCTTTCCGGTCTTGCGAGGAGTACAGGCGTCCACGACTGGATCAAAGTTGTCAGTATCTTCACGACAATCCTCTATCACTTTTCTTTTCATCTCAGCCACGTCACGTGATGATGAAAGAGAAGCTAAAGGAGCGTCTTCATCGAAGAGTGTTGATGTATCCGTGAAGAGAGTCCCAGTTGCGATTCTGTCTGTCTCTGTGTTAGACTGCTCTATCCGATGCTCGACCGGCGTGGCTCCATGTTGGCCACCTTTCTCTGTCAACTGCCTCGAAGCTTCGTCTCCGATGTTGCTGGGGTCCTCATCAAATAAGCACGTGGAAGATGTTGCTGGTATGTCTTTTGTTGATAAAGCCTCTAGTTCTAGAGCTGCCGCTTCTCCCCATCGTTTTCGCTTTGTCGATGATTCTCTTCTACCTTCTGTCAAAGATGAGTGGCCATCTCCATATTCTGCTTGCTGGTGTGCGTGCTCAGGTTGCAGCCTGCTCCCTATGAAGCGCTGAAAAAGAAAAGACATCTTCGAATTTGTAGTAGAAGTAGTTGCACCAGATACTTCGTTTGTGGTCTTTTGCTCTCTACGAAGCTGTTGACCGGTTCGAGAACGCAATGGTCTGTTATGCTTCCCGTTGACGTCTTGGTCAACATGGTGATCTTGGTCCATACTTTTGTTCCTTCTTCTACCAGGGACGACAGAAGAAGATGCGTTTAGTACGGATGCAAGACGGCCTTTAGCGGCTCCGAGCCTGTCCGAAGAAGCTGCTACACTTCGACGCAACTGCTGAAAGCGCAACTTCGCTTCTGGCGGTGCCAAGTTCGTAAGGGTCCATTCAGCTTGCCGGCTGATCAGTTGGCAAAGCCAACCGAGAAAAACCAGTGCCAGAGAGTACTCGAAAAAGCACAAAACGTGGACTATGAGCGCACACAGCACGAGAGAGGATAGGGCCGGATCATCCCAGCGCTCGATCTCTTTCCATTTCTCGCTGCCCTCCTTAATGCGCTTAACCAAAGCCTCGCCCCGCTTGAAGAAGTGGCGAATCCGATCGATCTCCTCACGATCGAACATTCGTGTTTTGGTGAGTGCATCTTGTACCAAGAGCGCGCGCTCCTGCATGAGCCTGTGCCGTGGCAGCGGCTTAAAGATACTCGCAAAACGGTGCCGGACAATCACCTCCACCTCCAGCTCTGCCACCACCAAGTTCTCGCGTGAGACTCCGGATTTCTTGATGTTCGAGATGTTTTTCAGCGTCAGCCGATGCGTTTGCGGCATGTTGCGTCCAAATCCAATTAAGGGCACTGCGGCCGAGCCCACGCACTTGCTTGGCGGAACGCTATTTGTCAGTCGGGAACCAAGAATTTCTTCCGGTCCTGGACTAGTCCACGCTTCGAACCACACAGGCAGATCGGGGTCGTCGCTCTCGGATAATAACCTCAAAGTTTCGCCCCACGCAGGTGCGGGCTCCTCGTACAAAGTCGTGGTACGAGAGAAGCACTGGCCGAGACGAACAACGACAAAGGAATTGCACAACGTGACTCCACCAGACGCGGTTGACGAGGACGAGGCGGCGGCCTGTAAGAACGTAGAGGAAATGCCCGACGACACCAATGGCACATCTGTCGCGGCAGCACCGCCGGCAGGTGAGGATAATGTCCCAGCGTTTAATGATTTGTGACCACAGACTTGCTGTGCACTCACCTGGAGAAGTTCCTTTGCACTGCTCTTAAAGAAGTCCAGTAACGGCTTCTTGCGCGATTGCTGCTCGATAGGCGCGAGGGGTTTTAGAGTCTCACCTAAAATCAGCGATTTATCCGGGTCGCTCGTTCTCGTTAACTTTACAATGGGATCGCATTGTTGCAGATGCAGTTCATGCCCTGGAGTGCCATGAGCATTACCCTCCAACGCTTGCACGCTTGCTTCCTCCGAACAAGCTCCGTGTTCATTCATCACACAGGTCGTGAAATTGCTTTTCGCTCCATTTACTTCTACTTCAGGTATCATATCTGCTGTACAGGTTTCACTTGCACTGGGAAGATGATTCTGATGCTCATTCTTCTCTGGTGAAGGAGCTGCCCTCATAGATTGGACATCCATATTCGATTCTTCGGGAACTTTTGGTAGTTGCCCGGTGCTGGTTGAGGACGATGAAACGACCGCAGCGACCATCTGGTTGTGTTTGTACTGCAAGCGCTTCACCACTACAACTAGTTCAATCGCTGGAGCATCATCGCTAGCGAAAAAGTCTTCGTTTCCTCCTAGCTTTTTCTTGTGCGCCTGCAATTCGGCGCCGAGCAGACTGGCACAAGCATGGTTCATCATCACCTCCCGAGTACTAGTATGGTGGTCTTTTCCTCCTTGAAGATGATCATGATGATTGTTGGTGCTAAAGGACCGTAAGAGGCTACCCACATGATGGTCGCTGTCCCTCACATGATCTCCTGATGAATGTGAAAAAACATGATGCGGTGGACGTGGATCCTCGTCAGTGCGATGTTGAAGCAAATGTCGGCTCTGCTCGTCATTTATCCAGCTGGAACTATGTTGAATTCTCGTTTTTTCCGATGGACTACTTTTATCTCCCCCGCTACCGCGGGTACCGCCTGGTAAGGCGGTGGATTTTCTACTGGAAGCTCCACCTGTGGAGCTGGAGGTGAGTCGACGTCGCACACCCACACCTGAATCATTCTTCTCCAGCATGCCCAAAAGATTCGTGGTGTCTTCATCTTCATGTAATTCATTGCTTGTGCTAATAAATCCATGATCTCCATTTCTAGTCTGCTGTTGGGTGTGAGGCTGCTGTTGAATCTGCACACTCCTGTGCTCTGTCGCAACTGAAAGCCGGCTGTTCGCCCGAGAGTCGCCGCGTAGAAGAAGCCTCTCACTCAAAGCTGAGTACCTTGCGACGAGCGCGGGCGTCAGTACTACTGTCACACCTCGCCATGCTGAACTGCTTCTTTCGACATGCTTCAGTCTCTCGATGTTCCCGAGGCTCGGTGATGCCTGCAACAAAGGTCGTGCCGGGTACTCCCACCGCATCGCTGCTCGGAGACTGCATAACCAGGAAACCTGTGACGATTTCTTCAATGCACAGAAGGAAAACACGTTTTCAACTTGAGACTCACTTTGTTTCGTCATAGTATACCCAAGACCTCCCAACTGTCCGTCATTCTCCAAGCGTGATGCAACTCTGCTCACGAGTCGCCTCGTTCTCTCCTCTTCACGTTGCCTTCGAAGCTCTTGCTGAAGCAATGTTGAGCCCCTTTGATTGCGATTCCTCGCTTGGTGGCCTCCTCCTGCTCGTCCGTGAGATGCCGGCTTGCGCTCGCGATGGCCGGTGGACGAAGCGACTGCTGGTGCACCAGCACTAGACATGGCGACGCCTCCGCCAGAAAGCTGTTGGGTCGAAGACGAATTCGCAGACACCGCCATATTGCCGCGGCGGTAATTCGGGTTGTCGCGGTCGATTCGCGCTTGCTCTAATATATGATGTTGATCAGCACTCCCGTCTCCTACATGAATATGACCGCCTTTGCTACCAATTTTATCCCCTGTTGCGGTGACGCATTTTTGCGGAGAGCGAGTTGCTTGACCTTGAGCACCCCTCAATCGCGTACTTTTCCGAGAACAACGCTGGTCGAGGTCTGACCCTGAGGCAGTTACAAAACCAGCACTCCTTCCGTTGTTTGTATGGCGTGACGCCCTAACAGCGTCAGACCCAGAGGTGGAGTCGACAGAATTTTCACGCGATGACCGGCGACTGGAAGCAGTGCTCGCTCCGCCTCCACCTAGAGTCGAAGCCGATGGTGAAAGCTGCGGAGAGAGTAGGGATCCTGCGCCGCTCGCGGCTTTGCTCCCCCCACGCGCGAACGGTGTCGACAGAGCAAACATATCGGATCGATACTTGCGGATCTCTCGACCAACACAAAAAATAGTGAAGTGGAACAGACTTTCTCCTGTCTTCATTTTAACCTCCCCGTCGTCCTTTACCTGGGCCCCTGCAAGATCCCAAACTCGCTCCGTGCACTCTCGCTCCACGAGTAGGTGATATCGCATGGCAGGCGGGCAGGATGTTGGTTGTGCAGAAGTAGATCTCGCCAAACCTGCGCCCGATGGCGTGACTTTGCTGGTCGTAGGCTGACTGCTAGTGTTATCGTCCGCTTGATGTCTCCACTTGCTTACCTCAGCATGTTTATCACCCGGCATCATTCGAATGTCACTCGTGCTGGAGCGAGGCTCCTGCTTCTGACACTCGTCCTCCATTACTCCTGTGGTCGTGACGGCATTGCTTGCATCAGAGCGATACTGCACATTCGTCGCTGCAACAGGTGCGAGATGCAGGCGGCTTTCGCCTGCTTCGTGTCCCTCTAATGACCTCGAACCGGACGCATCGTTCGTGTGGTCATCGTCCCACCCCGTCCCGGGCTTCGTCCTCGCCGCAGATGTCACTCTTCCTGCTCGCGGCAGGTTAATGCTCGATGTGCTGGACGAGGAGGCCGGACTATGTGGTGACCAAAGGAGAGACCTCACTCTACCTGAAAGTCGATCATCGCTGTTGGGGGAGTCCGCCAAGCTAGGCGTTGTCCGGGTAGTTTCTGGTGACGCAGCTGAAGAGATCGATGATATGCGCGACGCTTCTGGTAATTGCCACGATAAAAGACGAGCTCCGCTTCCACCGCTTTCTTTAGCAGTGGCACCAGCATCATGTGGGTCATTTTCATCGCCTATGATCGCAGAGCCGGCTTCCTCCAGAACATTTGCTATTTCCCCGTCAGTACCCTCTTCTTGATCGTCTTCTTCGCGTCGCGGCGATAGCAGTGGCAGTCCACCACCACTTTTCACGGCCTCGCCCCTTCCAAAGTCATATTCAATCGAAGCAGCACGCGAAGACCGCCGCCTGCTTTGAACGGACGTAGTAGAAGCGCGCAGCTCTGACTTCCTTGTCCGTCTTGACGTTCGCCAAGTCTCGACGTTATCTTCATCAGCATGTTCATCTTGACATATTGAAGAATCTTTTTGGTGTGTCCTGTCCTCGCTCTTGAGGCCTGCATGGTCATGATTACTGCTGCTTCTATCAAAAGGTGCACCAGCCGGGGGAGGCATCGCATCTTCCGTGGTCGTTTTTGATTTTGTTTCTCTTCCACTCGATGTCGTTAAGACTCTTCTGGTCAAAAACGTTCTCTCTTCTGATTTCGCTTCTACTTGTTCGAGTTCACACTGTTGCCGAAGGCGTTGTACTTGGAATGCGTCACGCGTCGCTAGCTCGCTTGCAGCAGCTCGAGGAGGAAAACCTGTGCCGAGCACCGGTCCGATATATTCACCGCTCGTCTCCCGACATGACGTGCAGGAAGACAGCAACCCGCCAGCAGAAGTAGGTGTGTTCACATCACAGAAACTGTCAACATTTCGTCTTATTTCGTGGTCCTGGTTTGTGACAATCCTTCCTGCAGCAAGGTGATGATCATGCTGAGAGTAGATGCTAGTACCTCGCGCAGTTCTTGACTTGTGCCATCTACTCCGTCTATCGTCCTCTTTGTTGCTCTTTGTGGATGATGCCGGCGAAACGGGACTTGTCAGACATGGCATTGAGCTCCGCGCTGCGCGTTGTATACTCATTGCTCTGCTTCTTCTAGATGACGGCGAAAAATATCGCGAGGATTGCTCCCTGTCGTATAGGCCACCACCTGAGTCGGAGTTGACGTCGTCGTCTTTTCGAGTCCCCCGTGTTGATGTAAGTCCACTGGTCGCGGCATCACCAACACCAGGGTGAAGCCCCGCTGACGCTCGGCTCGAGGACGAGATGTCTCCCTGCGGCGACGACGCCGCAAATTCCAGTGCAATGCAGGTACTAGTCCGTGGTGGTGTTGTCGACGTGGCGAGGTTCCCGCTTTTGTCCACTGACCCAACATATATCCAAGGTGCTGCTCCGGATGAAGCGGCGAATCCATCGATCATGTCGCTTATATTGCGCAACGAGCCGTTCTCTCCAGAATTGGACTGATCCGAGCCATATCCGCTGGATGAGGCGCCGGGCCTTGCTCCCCCAGTTGTAGACCCTCCTGCCTGAGCAATCTGCTTCGACTCCAGAAGGGCAGCCAGTTTTTGCCTGCTCCTCACTTGTTTCACGCGATAGCACGCAAGCTGCCACTGGCAGCCTGGGTAACGTTCTACTTGGACCCAGCGCAACACTTGTTCATCCCGCTTCTGCAGCAAGAGTAACCCGCCGAAGCATTTTTCTTTCAGAGGCGCCGGCAGCGTACCGTGTAGATGAGACGTCGAGGACGAAGAAGACGATGGCGACGCTGCAGCACATCCCGTCGACACACGATCTTGTACCGCGACAGGACACGGCGGAGACGACCCAGCAAGAAGGAGGAGGCTGCTCATGGTGATGATTTTGATATACGCCAGATTATGCACGAGGAAAATCACAATTGTGTCTCACCTTTTTGACATTTTCTTTCATCAGGTGTCACGCGAGATGAACTTCATCTTCTTGCGGAAGATAATCTCGCACATCTAGTATCGGCTGGCATTTTGCACTAAATCATGAGCTACTTAGTAGTGGAAAATGCAGTAGATGGACTTCTTTGTAATAAATAGAAAATTCCTGAAAGCTCTAAGCTCTTACTCTAACCTCTCTACTTCACCTGAACTAAAAACGTATCTAACTCTAGTTGGGGACCAGAATCGCAGTCGATAGAGACAATAGGCCTGAAACAAAGCAAAACTACTTCCGGGTCTCGTGCGTCTGACAGAGACACAAGAGAGAGCAACAGTAGGACTACTAGAATCACTCTCTCGTCCAGACGTCATATTAGTTGTTCTTATGCCAAGAAAGCCAATTATTTTCAGAGTATGCAAGCACACACTTCTGTGCTCTTTTTCTTTTTTGTTGTCTACTTGTCTACAAGTCCACCCGCCTTTATTTACGTGGCTTGAATCGGACTCGCGTGCGGCACACGTCGTGTTTTTCAAACAACCAGGACAAGAAAGTCAAGACAGAGACTGAAATTTGCGCCTGGACAAATGGAAAGATACACAGGAAAATCGCTGCAGGGGAACCGATGCTTCTCCTACATCAGATGATGAGTTACTTTGGTCGTGCCGACCACCAGGAAGAGCGCATAAAGATATACATAGTATTCGCTCCGGCTCTTAAATTATTTGACGGCGCTGCGCGAATGCGAAAACCAAAACTGCCATTGTGCGGACGTACAACAAGCAATTTGTTTATGCCTTCATTTTGGGAAGAAAATGGTCTCGTCTGCATTGAGTCGAAACCACATGATTAATTCGATGCGTCATTGTCTTTGAGTATGTTGTTAATGATAGATCATGATGCTATCATGCTCATACATATACCTATTAGTGTACTTTATCTGAGGATCGATAAAGTCGATCACTGCGTCTGCTTGTTTGTTGTTCGTAGTTAACCTTTTTAAGCAGTTCCAGTTATATGACATCCATGAGAGATTCATGATGGACGCCGTCAAGCCTCTCCATCAGACGGAAACGACGATCATCTGCATCACTAGCCTCTTCACCCGCTGAGGATGAAGTGTTCTTTTCTCCTTTATTTTGCGCCGAGTCCTCCTCCTCCTTCACCTGCTCATCTCTATGGAGAAACACCATATCATCCTTGTGTCTTCGCCAGAAGTCACCTATTTCGTGCTTCAGCATGGTCGCAGCAGCAACTAGAAGCCGTCCTTTCTTGTGGGCTTCGCCCTCCTCATCAGCACCTGCAGACTTTTTGGTGTAGTCTGTTTCGGATTCATCGGAATCGGGACGCCGACTAGAAGATGAGGAGGCGGGTGTCGGTGCATCGAGAGCACGTAGATCTGCTACGCTACCTCCAGCCGGCGATTTGATTTCTCGTCTGCTTTTGCTCGCTGCATTGATCGCACTGCTTGTGGTCTCGTCTAGTACCTTCGTCACTTCGACATCGCCACTTGCAGTCTCCTCTGCTTCTCGAGCTGCAGGTGTGGTACTCTTCATCGACGCAGCGGGCCTTTGAAGTTCTTGAGCATTTTTATCATCTACGTCCAGAATTACTGGGACGTTCTTCTTTTTGTCGCCATCATCTTCATCTCTTCGACCACGTCGAATTGCTGCTGCTTCTACATCTTTCGCAATTTCTCCTGCTACACCAGTTACTATTTGCGGATCTGCTTGGGTTTTGCAGTCATCCTTGACTTCGTCTGACACCTCGAAAGCCTTTCTATGCTCTGCTGAGGCGGAAGTGCAAGTGCCAGGAGAGCCCCTTGATGATTCAATAACGTCATTTACCTGCTGCGACGTTTTTGCAGTTGCCGCTTCTGAAAATGCTGATGTGCCGTCTAACAGCTGATGGGGTGCCATAGCAGCTAGCGGATCAAAATCGGCCTTTGTCGCTGCTGCCAGCGATTGTAAGATTTCCGACTCTCCAAGGGTGGAGGCGATAAAGGCTAAAGGTGAAGAAGAGGATGATGACGACGCGGCGGGCGAGTCTGGGGCTGGACGAGACGCCTCTTCTTGCTTGTTGCTTATCTCGCTCTTCGTTTTGCCATCGTCAACGCCATCATGGACTGAAAGTGGCTGGGCTGTCGCCACTCTAGAAGCTGTGGCCTTCTCTGGCTCATCATAGGCATCTTCGTTGTTACTTGATGAACGGGATGCGCCGTCCAATGCAGTTGCTTTTAGATCTGCTTTTCCAGCGTGGAGCGTAACCTCGCCTACAGACACGGAGAGAACATGATCAACATCTTCTAGAAATCCCTTCTCCGAAATGCGGTGGGCCTTCACATCCGCAGCTGGTCCGCTGGCATCGGCTAAAGGCTGGGTTGCAGTCGCAACATCATCTACAGATGTTGAGGAGCTCCACGAGCCGGCGGCCGCTACTTCTGGTTTTTCTTCAGTCACTCCTGTACTCGGAGGTGAAGTAGGAGTGGAGAGTAAACCATGTTCTTGGTCAAGAGTAGCAGCAGGGTGTGGTCTCCCTTGCTCCTCAATACTTGGTACGGCAGACGCCTCCTCCTTTTCAGCAAGTCTTGTAACGGCTCGTTGCGCATCATGTATTTTGTGGTCGGCTGGCTTTACTTCTGAGACTTCATTTGAGGAGCTGGCTTCTGGCAAATGTTGATCCGTTGATGTGACAACCACAACATCCGTGGTCGGCTCATCTGGTGGAATAGGAGAATTATCACGAAGAGCAATCGTCGGCGAGGATGATGAAAATGCCTTTCCCTTTGCTACAAATGACGACTTCTCTTCTACGGCGAGCGCAGAAGGCACACTAGGCACCATTGGCGATGTTCGCACAGTAGGGTTGACAAGCTCAGGCATGGGTATTTCCACCTTCTGATACTGGTCGACGGTCATCCTCTCATCTGTTTTCTTTTTCGATGATATTAGACGATTGCACTCTCGAAGGATATTTTCTTTCTCTGCCTCAGGCAAGCTTTCCCAATGGGCTTCTGCACTACCCAGCATTTGCGCCAAACTTCCTTTCTCGCCCTCGCGCGAAACTGTTGTTTGAAACCATTATGCTGGGTTTTCTGTCCTCATAGAGACCCTCACTTAATACGAACGAGGCTGGTCAAAGTCATATTAAAGAACAACCCTACTCCTACAACAACATTCAAAATCTTTAAGTGGAAAGGCGTTGAAGCCGGTAGTTGTAGTAGCACTAAAGGTAAGTATAATGGGAATACGAAATCCCGGCATCATGATGCCCCAGAGCGCTGCTCGGCCACTGCGCTGCACCTCATCCCGACGCAGCGTTTCCGAGAGTGCCGTGACGAGTTCTCGCTTCAAAAATTCGTCCTCTAACAGCTCTTTAGTTGCACGCCGCCCCAGCGTCGACACCCGATTTATCGCTTCTTCAGTGGTCACGATGTCGTAGAGTGCTTCTGCTGTGGCTGTCATGACAGCTTCGCTTTTCACGATGTCTCGGGTCAGATGCACCGTCTGGTCCAAGATACGCGGCAAGAGGAGAACTTGAATCACCAGATCGGCTAGTGCTTCACGGATTTCCGGTTTTTCGCATAGCCGCTGTATCCAGACCATACCTAAGCGGGTGAGCTCCTCCAAAATGACGTCCTGCTTCAAAAGAGACGCTATCTGCTTGCCGAGCTCCGACTCGAAAAACGCAATCAACTCCAGGACCCATTTTCCGGAAACGCGTGAGATTTCCTCATCCGTCATCAGCTTGTGTAAAAGATCCTTGCTGAAAATCGAAGCCTCGTCCTTCAACTCGGCACTTGCGACGACCTGAGAAGATGATGAACGATCACATCGTGAAGATATTCTTTTTTATATCAAACCACATCAATGCAGACTCACGAACCAGCTGGACAACAAATGCCTACTTTATCGCGCCAGCCACTCCATCCCTCGATAAAGATCCTTAGTTCTTCAGGACACTCATTAACAGCCTGCACAATTAAACTATGACTTCTGCCCCTAGCGAATAGCCTTTGCTAGGTCGGCCCTTAAGACCTTTTACTGATGCAAAGTGCGAGCACCCTGAACACTTCTTCCCAGAAGTGCACGGCATGCCCGTGCTTAAAGCTAACCTCTAACGCTTTCAACTTATACAAGCGAGTAGAGGTTTTCTCTAATAATCGAATATGCTAGATTCCAATCTCGCTTACCTCCATACGCCATACGAGAAGGAATCTGCGCAGACAGATATTTATATAATAGGCTTTGCGACTGGTCTGGGGGTGGTGAGGACAACGAACCCTCGTTACATTGTCTGGCTTACCAGATCTTAAAGAAAAAATTTTTATTCGTGCCAGATTAATGCTCCCCTACCTGGATCATTAATTCTGATTCTTCATCCTAAAATACTTAATATTTACGACAGAGTCTTTCAGAGGATCTAATCTTCTTTAATTCAATATTTCGCCTTGTTGTAAATCCCAGGCTATCTTCGTAGAAGTGGTAATATTCCTCATTTCCTTTTGTTCCTCTACTTCTTGTTCAAACTATTACTCAAGATCATTTACTTGTACTTGTTACATACAAGTAACTGAGCAGTTCCACCAGTACCTCCTTCACGACTTTGCTTGTTTCATCAGAGACTGCGCCGACTACCCATGTCCAGCGCATGTAGAGGATGCTGCAGAGCAGCCCTAGACCACCAGCGATTCCCATGAAAGCGAATCGCGGCAAATTTCGTGTTTTCTCGTGTAACTCGTGGAGCTGCTCCTGCAATCGGTGATAATACAGGTAATCCGCAGAAGGCGGGGAAAAGGAAGATGCGTCTCCACCAGGAGGCGGGGCGCCGGCTGAACCTCGCGCTGCTCCTTCTACAGTGAAGCTTTCTGGCGTGCTTTTGCTGCGCACAAACTGCTGACCGTTCGGAGGAGGTGCTGCGGGATTAGCATCGTTCATCGTGCTGGCGGCGTTATCATCTGCCTCAGATGGTGAAGTCGTATTGGCATCTTGGTCGTGCCGAAATCCAAGACTCTCAGCGCGCCCATTCTTAGGCTCCACAGCCGGTTCTTGTCCACTCCACCATGATGAAACCTTCTCAGAAGCTGGAACTCCTGGTGCGCCACTTTTACCGTCCTCCTCGAGAGTGCTTGTGCTTGGGTTGTCTACCGGAGGCTCTGCAGTAGCAACTTGGGGTGCACGGTCTGGCGCGGCAGAGTGATTCGAAAAAGAGGACCGCAAGTTGTCGATGACCGTACCTCCTCCGCTGAGTGTGCTTTTGTCAGGTTGCGGATCATCACCACTGCCCCAGCGAGACCACAACCTTCCCCAAGAGTAGTGTCTTCTCTGGAAATGCCGGGCCTCACCCTCATGCCTTCCTCGACCTCGCGTAGGATTTCGTACTAGCCCTTCGCCTCGTCCTTTATCATGCAGATTTTCTACGACACCCAAGTGTGCAGCTGGTGAACACGACCCCGCCTTCAAAAACTTGTCATCTGCTGATCCTGTTGTTGCAGAATTCGACGCTGAGAGTCGCGTTGTAATGCTTGGCGCATGCTTCCGCGCAGCTTCCCGCCCAATCCGTCGTACAAGTGTGGCCAATGCGGCAACAGGTGCATGAGAGACTTTCGCCGAGACCACTGACAAGGAGGCACTGGCTGAGGACAACATGATTTTTTATTTGTGATTTTCTCACATAACAATACAAGAAATCAGGGTAAACATCTTGCCCATGTCGACAAGGAACAGGAACTAGTCAGTACCAGTCGCTTAATCAACTCATGGTGCGTAGGTGCCCCCCGTACTACAACGAAAAACTGAGAAGACTACAAGAACACGACGACGGACCACGTAACCTTGTAGTTGCACAACATATTTTTGGTGTTATTTTGACACTACAACATGATTCTTCATCTTACTCAACGACAACGGAATGGCCTGATAAAGATAATAATTACGTCAATGTGGGAAAGGGAATTATCATGCGACTAACAAACTAAATTTCCTACGGTAGAGTAGTTTCGTCTCTAGATATGGTATTACTTGAAGAGCGCCAATGGTATTATCACAATTCAAGGTTCATAACAAGAACATTCGTCGACGTCACACCCGACGAACTATATGATGCCATATTGCTTACGCGGCGTCTTGAATAAGGATGGAACGATACTAAAACGGATGCGATCTGTTGTGAATTGAAAGATCTTCATCGCACTTCTATTGAGCGCCGGTAGCACTAGCATATTCTTATCTTGAGGAGAAACATGTAATTCACGTGCGTGTTGTGAAACGTACAGAGGCTGGGGGAGCGCGGTGACCTGGTTTTGCAGATGCAAAAACTCTTCTAGCACTCACATGAGCATGACACGATGATAATGGTTTAACAAGCTGTTTGCCTTTCTTGCTGAAACATCAAGAAGGTCATTCTTGATATCGCTGAAGAACATCCACATCCTTTATGAAACCGATATGATCAATGCACCTCGAAGGGCGAGCATTATAGACTGCGACTTCATCGCCAAGTACCATTAGCAGAAGAAGACCGTGAAAACTCTCAAAATCACTCTACACGCACGTAGCTAGCTGCAACAGCAACAGCAGCATCTCGATATCTTCTCAATCTCATATTTATATAACCATGCGTCTCGAACATCTGTCCTTCTACTTTGGCAACCGCTGGTTTTGAGCGTGCTCAAAGTTTGTTGTACTTGTGAAAAAGCGACTAGTCAGCTCAGTGCCTGTAGCCAAAGGGAGAATCCTAAGAACAGAGTTTGAAGCCAGATTCTAGATGACGGAAGGGGATCTTGTCGACACGCATCTTAGGCCGATCGGGTTCTAATCAATACTTTCGGATTCGGACTCGATGAGAATCCTTCTTGGTAAAATGTTTCGAAAACATAAGTGGAGGAAGATAGTTGATGTACTGGAATTGCAGGTTCGAACTTCGAGATCGCAGAGAAAGGACGGGCAACTTTGAGATTATTGGCGCAAATCTCAGGTCACAGCCACAAGGAAGATGGTTACTAGCGCATACGTCCTAGTGTCGTACGTCGAGTCGTGTTGATGATGAAGGTTCATCTTCTACTGACACCAACGGAACGCCAAGAACGCGGACGCGCAGTTTGATCAAAAAAACTTCTTAATCGACTACCTGGTGCGAGTGATTAAGGTAGCCTCTACAATTTGGAAACGATGTTTTGCGTCGCGTTGTTTTGAATGACTCGCACTGCCTCTTCGCAAATATTCTTCACGAGGTCCTTGCAGCTCGGGACATCTTCGATAAGCCCAATGCTCTGTCCGCAACTCCATACACTGTCATCCGGGTTTCCGGTCTCCTGAAATGATATCCGGTACTTTGCGCCTTTCACGAGATCAGCAATCGCTCCGAAGTTCCCTGGATCCTTCTTCTCACGCTCACGGACCTCTTCTGCACAAGCATTTTTGAACACCCGTTCCGTGTTCGCAAGCGTCGTGAAAACGAGCGTCGTGTCATACTCGCTTGCCTTCACAATGGCATCCTTAATTCCTTGCTTGATAGGAGCTTCTTTGGTTGCCATCCACCTGAGAGGAGAGTTGTTGTAGTAGACGATGGCGAAGTGAGGATGAACACACAGATCATCATGAGGGCGGCCATGCAACTACATTGTTTCTCGCAGAGACACTGATGACTGATCTATCACATTTTTAGTCTGTTTTCGTTGCGAAGATCATACTATACTTGCGTCAGCACGCTATTTCTAAAGGCTTTAATAGCACCTTGTTCCCATGTTCATGCCCTCGCATCCAAGCGCGAGAGCCGCAGCGAGCTGTCGGCCATCTGCACACGCACCGGAGGCAATGTACGGAATCTTAAGCTGTTTTGCAGCTCGTGCAAAGAGGACCCAGTTTGTAACGTCGTTTTCTCCCGGATGTCCGCCACACTCGTATCCGTCCATTGATATCATATCCGCACCCATTTTTTGCGCAGAAATCGCGTGCTTGACAGCAACACACTTGTGGATCACAACACAGCCAGCTTTCTTGAAAAACTTTATCCACTTTTCCGGATTGCGCCCAGCAGTTTCAATGATGCGGATCTGTCATTTATTAGACGAGATGAACAAAATCTGTCATTGAAAAAAATATGCTAGGCCTAGGACACACTCAATCATAAATGTAATCACACAGTGTCAGTGAACACGAGCACGCACTTGCTCCTAAATACAACAATCAACTGCGGGTGAAGATCATTTTCGTTCTTCTTGTTCGATAATGTTGAGCAGTAGATCAACAACAACGTGTACTACCCCCTCATCCAGCACCACTTGAGCGAACTCTTCGTAGTTCGGTGGGGCCAGCATCGGTAACAGAGTCAGGTTGACTGCGATGGGCTTCTTAGTGAGACTCTTTGCTTTTCGGATCTCCTTTCGCAGAGATTCGGGGTCAGGCTGTGTGAGTGCTGTTATCGTACCCAAACCGCCCGCCTCTGAGACGGCTGCGGCCAGATCTGCGTAACCCACAAAATGCATCCCACCCTGCATCAGGGGGTACTCGACCCCCATCAGTTCTGTGAACTTCGTTTTTAGCATTTTGTTGATTTGATTTCTATCGACAAATCCATAAGAATGCGGAATAAAAAGACTGAGTATATTTTCAGGAGAGGAAAACGAAAAGAAAATGTTTAGCGACCTCTGAAGCTCGTACGAACACAGAGCCAGGTGCGGGCACAGGAACTTAAAGTCGTAACATGAACGACTTCCTGTTAAGCTTTAGTTATAGTCACCTACCAAATCTAAGAATTGGAACAACAACAGGGGTTGTGGAGAGACAGAATTTGAGACAGAAAACCCAATCGGAGTAGGGTGGTTTTCGTAACTTCTCATGATCTGCAATGGAAATTAATCGGGTAACAGTAGGTTTGAAAGCAGGGTCGTTCTTGCAGTACCATTCTGTACAATACAGTTCGTCCCTCGTCCCGGAATCTTACCCTTATCTGATTATCTTGTACCAGAACTAAAAACAGTGGCCCGTTGATGTATTAAACAAGGAAGGCTGGCATGCCGCCAAAGATAGCTGCTCAAGTTTATGTTTAACCGATTTCACTCGTCGTCTCGTAGCAACAAGAACAGTGGCATCTGCCACAACCTCCTCCGCGGGAACTGCTCGACATGATCGAAAATCATACCAAGCGAGAAAAAAAGCGAATTTATAGAATACATGAATTCTATGTAAATCTTCAGCGCGTATTTTCTCGACCCATTTGATGTGCCACATGATCTGCATGCATCACCAGGGTGGTCTACAGATCGTCTAAGATTGCATGCCCACCGGAATCCGCAGCAGCTGTTACCCTTACCCCTGACGTTCCGCCTGCCATAGTATTGTTACTCGCTGCTAAACCCACAGTAAACATGTCGGATATACTCTCAATCTGAAAGATCGTCATTCCTATTCTCAAGAGGGCCATCTCTGCAACGATGACTATTGCATAAATCGTAAAGAGAAGACCAAATGTGGCCGTCTGCGAATACCTGATCGTGAATCGGGCAAGGGTGGGTTATAAACCCTTGCATCTTCTTCTTCATCTTTGAAGATATTTATAGATTCATGATGGAGTAACTGATGTTTCCGCACACTTGGCAAATGCATAATCAAGATCAGTTTCTAGTACTTACCCGCTAGATCGCAGAAGCCGCACGGTCTTGAAAGGATTTGCAGCAGAAAATATTCCTCCTTTCTCCAGTGGTAGCAAAGGCTTTCCTTCTTCCTCGTGGTCGAGCCCCTTTCCACTCTTCAGAAGGCCTTTCCGTAGCACAGGATTCGTGGATATTGAATGATAGTCGGCACCTAACTGGTCCTCTAGCTGCTTCATCTTTTCATGGATTCTACCTGGATGTAGAAAAGATGAAGAGGAGGTGCCGAAAAAGACTTAGAGTACGAGTATTGGTTTAGAGTTTGATACCTGAATATAATGCACTTGCACTCCTACACTTCTATTTGACAACGGGTTCAAATTCAAAACGACGCTGCAACATGCTCACCTGCCTGTTCGTAGTTGTGATCTTTGACGGCCTGCTCTCGCTTTTTGTTCAGCAGGTCTAACGCTGCAACTGCCACCTCCTGACTGACATTTTTCACCTTCTTCACTGGTCTAGTTCGCGGGTCCGGACTAGCCCCGGCCGCGCCTCCTTCCGACGCGGCAGGCAATGGTGACTCGTCGATGGGAGCCATATTTGATTTTATTGGATGTAGTGCTGAAGGCTTAGCCCAAACGTGGAGAAGTAGAAGATATGACTACAAGGAATTGCGACAACTCTACCTGATGCCTTTGCACTGCCCAAAAAACAAAAACTAAAACTGGTCTTAGAATTATTAAAAACGCTGTATCATGAAATTCTATATCAAAGAAAACTACGACCCTGTCCTTTTCGGCATGCCCTGCGTGACAAAGAAGTTCTTGAAAGATGCTATCATGTAAAGAAGTTTATAATCTTGTACTTAAACGGTTTCCACATCCTCAACCTGCTTACATAACTTTTTTCAAAATTTCTTGAATCTCAAAATTTTTGGAAGCGAAAGCAAAAGGGAGACTCCCGCAGTACATTTGCGTGGGGGGCTCTCGTTATTTTTGGGGTCCTGACGCTCCAATGACCCGCTGTTCTGTATTGTTAATAAGAAGTGGTAGTGGAGGTGCTGGTGGCTTAAAAATATGTAACATTTTCGCCTACACGACTCGTTTCGGAATCTCTGCGAGTGTGTGATGTGCCGATGCTGCTGATGGTATCGGAATCGGTCAACAGCCATAAACCACTTTCACTTGAAAGACTTGACACCGAATAGCACGGCTTTACAGCTTTCTTCATCATGGAGATTTTTGATTCAATTATCTGTACGGCGCACCTTAAAATAAGGTCGCACTTTGGCGCAGACAGTTATGAGGATCAAACACATGATGAGTTCTTCAACCATAACATCTGGCACCTACGAAGCATCATGCAGCAAATCATCGTTCGGAAGTAGTTGTTCATGGGAAAGATGATAATGAAAGCGAATTACTTGATGAAATATTTCTATGCGATACGGGTTATACGGGGATCATGGGCAGAATCGGTGTGGTCTTCGGGACACTTTGTCTAAAGAGAAAAACTAGTACGGTAAGAGATGAATTATGATGATGGTGTTCATCATTTTTGCCCATCGTCCTCCACGAATTCGTACCGTATTGACATCACTCCAGCCGTTCTGTGTTAGACTTCCCTGATACAACGGCCCGCGGATCTCGTTGTGATAGAGGTATGCCGGTAACTACGCCTGAGCTGTCGGTCGCAATCCACTCGCGGACGGGTACGCCGTCCTCCGGATTTTGCGTTGTGACCGTGTAACTTGTGCGCTTGCGAAAGGCACGGTACATCTGGACGCAGCTGCACGTGAGTAACGCGAGCGCCAGAAGCGTGACTACGCCGTTTGCAGCATTGCTGGCAGCGGCCGAGGTTGACCCGTCCTTTTGCGCGAAGTAACTTGGCAACCACGCGCTTTTTTCCTTCTCAACGGCTGTTGATGAAGACGACGCGGCTTCCGGCGTTGTGGATCCTCCTGTCGTATCTGTTGCGGATGTCTTTGATGATGCGGCAGAAGGCGTTGCTGGCGCTGCTGTAGCTGGACTTGGTTGCGCTGCTGCTGCTGCCGCAGGAGTTGGCTTCGGTGCAGTCGTCGCGGGGCTGCTAGGTTTGACTCCAGAGGACGACGATGCAGCTGGTGCGACGGGAGCCACAGAGCTCTTAGCAAAATCTCCTGGCTGCGGGGCTCTTGGTCGGTTGGCTGCTGAGAAGTGCGGACATCGCGCGTCTGCAAAGCCAATCTGACGCTTCTCAAGGTCAAAAATGCAACTGCGGTCGATCATCCAAGAGGCACCCAAAACTGTGCCACCGCTACCATTGTCGTCGAACGTGAAGCAGAGAGTTGCTGAAGATGAAGTGTTGAATGAAACAGATGAAGACTGGATTTGAAACCAGACGCATACGCATAGCAAGCCGCATGGTCCAATTATGAATTTTTTGAATAGCCCTTTGTTTCTTCCTCCAAAGAAGAAAGAACATCTCGAAAATGCTTTGACTACTTAACTTGTTATCGGTAATAGCAAGAGCAATTTTCTTTGAGCACTATTAAAGTACATCCCTTGCCCCGGCGGTACATGTAGCTTCGTGGATGCCATTTGAACCATTGTCCCGAAATCTCCATCTCGATCACCGGGAACTTGGTCTCGATGTTGTCTTCCGTCGTACCAGGCGAAGACTGTCGTGGGGAAGATGAGGTAGTCGTGGCTTAGTAATTGACTCAATTTCAACTTCGTGTTCAAGTTGATGGGTTCATTTCCATCATTTACGAGCATGCAAAGAAGTACGCTAAAAAATCAGACGAAAACGGATGCCAGTCCCAAATGCTCAAATTCTACATCATCAGCTTGTTACTTAATATAGGCTAGAAAGCTACGACAACTCTTACCCAGCATTCGGCGCCGCGACGAGTTCCGCACTTCCCCTGGCACTGAGAGTAGAGCTGTTTTCGTAGACTTCGGAAAACTGCAGTAGGAAAGTAGCTGTAAGTGGTCCCGCTATCAACGATGGTTCGGCCATAGTTGGCTGCCGGCAGCAACGTACCGCCAACTTTCGTTTTACTGAGACTCACAACATAGAATTTGCTGTTGGCGCCCAACGGAACGTAACGGATCGGCGCATCAACCGGCTCATGATATGAACTGTTGTAACCACCAGCGATTAAGCGTCCTCCGTCTTGCGCCAGGCAGATTGCTGGTGTAGTCGGGAAATTACGTTATCAACTTAGCTGCCGTTCGGAAAAGCGCCCATGATGAGAAGTAGAGCAGGTACTATCACAAAGACCTTTGCGCGATTGCTCGTAATATATTTTTATATATATATAATGTTGACCCTAGAGAATAAAAATGATTGACCTCGTCCTACACAAAAGTAAGTACTGAAAATTTTTGCGTTCACGTGCTCGCGATCTCGAAGAATGTCAGCTAAAATGGTAGGCTTGGTCCGCAGATTGCCTCCGCCGTTGCCAGCAAGACCGAAGATTCCGTTCGCCTTCTGTGTGTAAAACCTGCAAATGTATGAGATGTGCACGTCTTTTCCACGCAGAAGGTGTACAAGATGGCATAAGGTAGAATCTTCTAGTGGAAAGAAGTACTTAAGTCCTTACAAACGAGTCAAGACAAAGAGTTGAAGCTCAAGAAAGATGAAGAAGTGACGTACAATTTGTTCTCGCTCATGTGACAGCCCATTTTCACCTTCACAGGCGGATTGTGCTGTATCGTGTCGCCAAGCCGTGCGTAGTCCTCGAACCAGTGACCACTAATGGAACTGCCTTCTGTGTAACCTTGACTGTAGCTACACTTGTCTCCTTGACAATTACCTGGTGTTTGTTGGAGAAGACACCTAGGAACAACTAAGTAGAAAGATTGCTCAAGGAACAAGAAATGCGATCAATCTCAAGCGCAACACGCTTATCTATGTATAATGAGATAGACCGAGGAAGACCAAAGTTGAGTTATTCTTTTTACAACGGATAAAAAACATTCGGACCCTAGAACTCAGAACAAGCTGCACTTCAGTTGGAATGTCAAAGCTTGAGTCAAGCATTTTGTTTTCAGTATCTTGCGTTAAAGGTGGAAAGCGATATACTAGTGTAGGTTTTGGCTAACCTACATCGAGTTTTGTTGTCCTATAAAGCACTGATTGTCCTACAGGTGTTTGATTGAGGACGAAGAAGTAAAAATAATTTAAGTTAAAATATGTCCAATACGCTTATCTATGTATGTAATATAATTTCTAGAAGAATGAAGACTTCGTATTCTTGTAACATCAACTTAAGAAGCTTGACGAAGGGAAAGGGAGAGTACAATTTGCGTTGCATTTGATCCAATGGAAGCTCTTTGACTTCGACACGTCAAATGCCGCGTCGATATGTCGACCACAATGAGAGCATCCCTTGCATGGGTAACCGCACAGCGAGGATCCCGTATCGATGATAACGCTTGTCCGCTGGGCCTCTGGGTCGCCGATTAACAAGTCAACGAAGTAGTACGCGAATTGGTGGATACTACCGTACACCTGGTCATTTGGGATTAATACAACTACCGTACACGACCTCGTGGTCACTTAGAATGAATTGGTGGATACTACCATACACCTGGTCATTTGCAAGAACAGAATGAAATAATATTTTCACCATCTTCCATCAACCAGGGATAGTTCGTGTAATTCCATCTCGTCGGAAGAAACAAGACGCTTGAAGAAGATATAAGTTACCCTCGCAGCCTCTAGCTTTTTCGCTTCATCGTACATGAGCCGCCGTGCGTCAACACGTGTATCGGTGGTAGGATCAGCGTGTATTTCTACCATATCGTTTAGAAAAGCGAAATTCTCTCCCTCGGAAGCTGCGTACTGACCGACTGCGGAGTCGAGCTGGTTGTAGCTGTTCCGTCGCGCACGATCTACTTGTGGTTCGATCTCTTCTTGGTCAGTATTCGGGGGCTCATTTCGAAGATCCCTTGTGTGATGTAAATTTGGATCATCACCAAGGTGCGCTTCGCCATCATCGTCTTCAGTTGGAACTGGCTGTGGAATCACAGGTGGTGGCAAACCGAGATTACCCTGCTCTTGAGGTGCTGGATGTACATCTAAATTTCCGTGTGGTTCTGCGAGTATTCTGCGATTCAAGATGTCTTCAGCAGGATTGGAAGATTGCTCAGCTACACCTTGCTCAGATGACCAGGCTTTATCTAGTAAAGATTGTCGAGTTGTGCTGCCCCCACTTCTTGGTACCCAGTAGACATCACTTTGCCCTGGTTGTGGTGGTGCCTCTGCCAATCGACGACGCACCACTGGCTGAAATTCTTCATCATCTTGTTCTTCGAGACTGCCGCCTTCGTCTTGTCCAGCGCGTCCACTAGAGCGTGACTTCTTCTCAACACTGGTCGTGTCGTCTTCGTTTTCAACGCACGTCTCTGTGGATAAAAGTTCTTTCTCTTCGCCGCGGCCATCTTCTTCTAGTTCTATCTCATCGTGAATCATCTTCCTCGAAATACTGACGAGATCTATTTCATCTTCCTCGTTAGCGCTTTGCTTTAACTGTCCTGTCTCCTCGTCGATCTCCACTGCAAGGTCGTTTCCTAATAGTGAATGCCTGGAAAATATTCTTGATGAATGCAACAACCTCCAGTAAGGTAACAGCCCTCCACCTAATATGACCTTGTCTCCGCCAAATAGATAAAGCGTTAGTTGCGGACATCCTGCCAGAAGGGCCGAGAGTGCAGCACCAAATAGCATGAGAACTTTTGTTTTCTGATTCTGGCTCCGCTCAACACCGGACGTACTTGAGCCAGCTCCTGTACCTGCTCCAAATTCATCTCGTCTTTTGTGAATGTCTTTCATGTCTCTGCTCCTCGGGCTGCGAATAGTTGTTCTTCTTGATCGTGAGCTGCTGAAAGTTCTCTCCATAGCTTCACTGTGGGACGCGCGCGAGTGCATGAAAGGCATGGACTACGTCATCCTTGCACTCAACCATGCAACAAGAGACGATATTAATAGCTGAAGAATCAGTAGAATGCGACTACAAAATAAAAATGTATGGATTCATATTCTTTATCACTCACAGTCTCATAATCTTCATCAAAAAGTACTGCTAACCATCTTGTTCAACAACTAGTCATATCAGTTTGCTATCACTATCAATGATGAAGAAACCTAATTCTGGGAAAGCCAATATTGGAATTACTAAATTAGACGTTCTTGTTCCTAATATTAAGGAGTATACGATGAGGAAAACTTCAACATGTAGTACGTGCTCTTATTTTTGCTTCCTAGTAAGGCGTAGTGTCATGCCAGAAAATCTCTGTTTCTGTTTAGTACTGAGGGTCGTCCTCGTCGTCGACGACAGAGTCCCTTATAATACTAAGCAAAGCTCCTGTAGCTGCTGTTGCTAAGAATACAATTAGAAAGTGATAAAGTCCATTTCTTTTATTAGCAGGAGGTACTCTCGTTACATCTTTTCGTCAGCTCGTCCGGGTCTCTCACTCTACTCCTCTCTGCGATTTCTTTTTCTACTCCTCATCTCGAAGTAAAACTAAACACTCTCGTCATTGTGATCTTCTGCAACATCCACGGCAACTCTAAAGAAGAATCATTCCTCAGCCTATTACAACAACTGGTTGTAGTTTGCAAAAAAGGTAATGGCTACGTACTTGTAGCTGTTTTGGAAAGGGGAACGGAGAACAAAATGCGTTTGAACACTTTCGGCACTTGGCTCTGTTTGAAGAATAATGGAGTTGTCCTCGAATCCTCATGTGGTGTGCAACTGCAACTGAGCATCAGAATAGAAGTCGATGAATTTATGAATCAAGTGCTGGAGATCGAGCAGGAGCAGCTCGTTACTCGTTCAACATGATTCATCGTTTGCTGTGGGCATTTGCATCCAGTATGCTTGTGAATACTTTGTGGTCATTCTGAAGAAGACGATGAAGAAAATAGATGTTACGTATCGGCAAGCAAAAAATAAATATATCAGGTCGCACACGAACAAAACTTCAATGAGTACTACCAGGAGCCCAGGTTATTTGTTTGACATCACGAGAAAGGCTATGCGTCATGTCATGTCCTGGTACCTCTTCTGTAGCTACATGTGTCGAAAACTAAGTAATGATACTGACAACACAACTGCTTAGTTATACGATAGATTGAATTCGACGAGTATCAGCCTACTAGCGCATACAAAAACGAAATCAATATCAATATCAAAAAGGGTTATATATAAAATTTCGCAGTCGCGTGATTCATTGCTGATTTCTATAGGGCAACAAAAGCCTGCATATTTCCTCTCGAACAGACCAAGAGGACGAAGAAACACACACGAAGAAGTAAGCTACCGGTAATTCCTCATTATATATTTGCGCATATTGTTGTCGAGCTCGTGCTCGAGTATATATCCAAGAATTATACAAAACTTCAAAAACTATGCAAAACACACGAATAAGGGCATGGCTTCGATGGTAGTGCTACAGCAGCATATTCCGGGGCTATCGGACGAGCGTGAGCCTCTGCAGTCGTGCTGCAAGCATCGTGCGCGTGATGAAGATCATCCCTGAAAGGGGTAATGGATAGTCTCGCCATCTCTTCAAAATTCACGTACGGCGCGGGTGGACAAACGGGATCTTCATCAACAAGACCATGACCACTATTAGCGGGATCAGCAGCAGCAGCCTCACGTAGGTTCGACACCGGGTGCCTATTAGTGAAGCCACTCGGGGGGAATACCGAAGCTGCGAACGCGAGTCCTGTGCTGAAGACGAGGAACCTGCACAAAGCACGTGGCATTTTCCTCCGAGCCACCAGGAACGCACGACAAAGTCCCATATTGATGCTCATCCTAATTTACATTTAGTTTTAGAGATAGAGCAAGAGGTGTCTGATAATTTTATCCATCGATCTGCTAGAATGTACAGCATTACCTGCCAGTGGTCTCCATCTACAATCACGGATCGGTGTCACGTGCAAACGCGTCTGTCGAATTCATGTTTGTCGATGACAATATCTTCAACCTCAACATCAAGTACAAAGAACAAGTACAATACAACACAACACAATACAATAAAATTAATCCCGCACAAAGTTCAGTGCAGACTGCCATAAGGGCGTCGTAGATGGTCTACACGATGGATCTCAAGCAAAGAATGTAATAGCGAAGCGGTGCGGTTACTTACGTATGTTTTGGAAAGTAACAACTTAACAAGAAACAGCACTGAAAGAGAGACTTAGACAACCATAACTGCCTCCGTTAAACCAGCTAAAACTTTAGTAAACAGCGCACTTAGGTATGAAGGGGCAGTCTTTTGCTTTATTTACGCAAGCGGAACAGCTTAACTACACGACTTCGCGCGTCACTACACCGGACTACAGTTAAACAAACTTACCGCAACAGACCTTTTTTTAAAAAAAACTTAAACGAGACAACAACCACTGAAGACGGCCTCTGCCTTTTATTCAGCTTAGCCTGCATATGTTGGCGACCTTCTAGACTACACTGCTTCTGCTTTCACTAGACGAGAAAAAGAGTGACGATAGAAAGAGCACCTTTAACCTTTATTTAGACGAGCCCCTTCCTTACTTTCACACAAGTCAAACTGACAGCTCACTTGGCTGCCAGAACTTACCTAACCCCATCCACAACACGACCCCACCACCGTGTTTGTCTGGTTTTTTAAGCCGAGCCCCCTCCCTCGACCCCGGCACCTCGGAGCTCCGCAGCCTTTTCGTCCCTCGCCTTCATCTTTGCCCTCTCCCGCGCCTCGCGCTGTGGGTGCTTGCTCTAGAAGTTCCGCAAGCCTCTTGATCGCCTCCTCCCTCTTTGCCATCCGCATGTGTCTGAACGCAGCGCGAAAACCCCCAAAAGGCTTGCCAGCCCCTACACTTTGCGCACGAGCACCAGATGCGGCCATCATCTATCTTCGCGGAAGTCAAAGAACAGCCACGCGTGGGCCTCTCTGTACAAAGCGGCATGTCTGGAGTGGACCTCAGCGCACTACGCTCCAAAGCCTCACAAGGCAGCTCAGACTGAGCAACCTCGCCGAAAAGCGAGCGGACAGCCAGACCCGCCTCACGAGCGAGAAGATGGAAACGCCCATCCCCAGGCGAGGCACCTTCGACTTCGAGGCGGCATATGAGATGAGCCTCGAGCTCGACCGCACACACACCGTCGACGACCACTGGCCCGCCCAAGGTGCAGACTGTGGCCCCTGGCTGGACTGCCGGCGCGCAAGTTGCCTCGTGCTCCGCTGCCTCGTCTGCCTCTATGCAGATGTCTCGCACGAGCGCAATAAGAGGGCGCGCGAACTTAGTGGCGTCGAGCTCTCCTCTGCTGCGCAGCGTAGATCCCACTGGCTTCCCTGGACGGTGAACCCACACCGGCAGCACCAACTCCGCCCCAGAGATTGAAGTTGAACTACCACAGTGCAGCTGCGCTGGCAGGCTGCGTCAGCTAGCTGCCCTGCCCCAAGTGGACCCAACCACCGAGAACCTGACTGGCAGCCTGCTGACAGTGTCGCCCGGTGTTTGTCCATGAAATGCGTCCGCCACCACTGCCTTGCCGACTCGAACTCCTCTGGGGTCGCGCTATCATCCCCCCCGTAGTCTGCCATTATCTGGGACAACCTCAACTCCAGGCAGACTACGCGCCACTACTCACGGCTGAGGATCAAGGAGAGCAACTCCTCATCGGTCCGCAGGACACCCAAAATCACCGCTAAGCTGTCCCTTACTTGGTCCCACATCGTCCGGCGCCTACGGCCCCTCTTGCACTGCTGTGGATACTGTCCCGCCAAGCCTGGAACCTCTTCGAAGGTGAAAAAGCCGAGGAATAGAGCACCGCGGGCCAGGCGGTTCTTCAACGGTCGCACCGCGTGGCCTACAAACGACGCCCGCACGTAGAAGATGAAAGAGTAAACACAGTCCACCCTGTACCACCGGCGGAACCTAGCTAGCAGAAGGCCATAGCTAGAGGCGCAAAAAGAAACGAGGCGCCCCGCATAAGATCAGCAGCGCCGTGCTCTCCATTGTCTTTAGCGATTGGATGCCCTCCGGTCCCCAGCGCCTCGTCTCACACGCAAATGCCCCGCGCGTACGCACCTGACCGAGGAGATTCGCACGCAAGTCAGTTGTGGCCTCAGCCACTCCCGGGATGCCGTTCAGGCGCGAGAGTGCTCCTGCCATCCTGCGCACTCGCTGGCCAGTGTCCTCCCTTAAGTCCATCCAGTTACCAAGGTGCCGCACGCTCGCCGTAGTGTTTGGGTTCTCCGCCAGAATGCTGGCAGTAGTAGTTCGGTTATTGACAGAGCAAGAACAGTCTCGGCGCCGTCCTTAACTGGTGATCCCTCATCATCTATTGCTGAACAATCGGACGTTAAAGGTGCAGGTGTATAAGCATACTAAGGGCTACCTTAACATGCATGATCAGGTTTTGTCGGATAAAGAAGATCTCACAAAATTCATTTGTCTGTAGCAGTAGAGGCTTTCCCCTATTTCCTTAAGGAACAAGATAAGCAATCTATAGCGTAAAAGTCGAGCATAAAAATGCTGGTCGTGAAGCAAAGGAAGTAGTGGCAGCAAGTTATTGATAAATGCTAAATGGGTCTCCCACTATTGCTATTCTATTTCTTGACAAATTCACAGTGTCAGCTGCGTCTGCAGCGTTCGATTAAAACATCGAGTGTTGCCAAGTCTTATTCATAATTCTCCTCTTCGTGGTGCAACTCCGTCCGCTTCCCTAGTATTGATTTATAGCAGACAACTTTTCGTCTATTTAATGTCTCGCAATACAATGGCTTGGGAATTGAGTTGTAATCGGTTGATATCGCTGAGTAGCACGCTCGCAAAGTGATATTTGCGCTGCTGTTCATTCTCATCCCTATGCTAAGATAGCAGGCAGCTACTACAAACATTTCAGAGAATAAGGCTTGCGACCTGTCGTGCTTGTGCTCTATCGTATACTACGACGAGTAAAGGCGAAACAAATTACACCAACATTTTTCAAGTTTAAACAAACACAACACGATGGCAATGCTGCGACTATTTACCGAACATCACGAGCGATCATCTGCACTAACTTCTTCACTACTCTGCTATCCCGAAAAGGCAGCTGCTGCATCCTCGTACGACGAGGCTGCTGCAATCTTCATAGAATTTCAAGTTAAGCTTTTCAACACATCAACAACTTTTTTTTGCACAATCTCAGCACATGCAATCCCCTAACCTATCCAGTGCACCAGGGGGCTCATCATCTGCTCTCGAAACCCAATCCCACATTTTGGCGAGCACGCGTGGCGTGAGTCCTGCCATCAGCGAGCCACAGAAATAAGCAACAGAAACGATTGCGCGAGCCTTGTACTGGCTACATGTCTCCTCGCTTATTAATACTGGAAACGATTTCGATCGCTCACTTGCAGCTAGCTTTTGGCATGGATTGTTCCTCTTTGTGTCCTGGACCTCGTCTGAGCCGGTGTCACCATCCCGCAATATCGATGATGAGGCACCATCTTCCCGCTTGCTAGCAGAGATTGGAATTACAGCTTCCTTCGGCGACACCGAGTGCATGCCCGACCCCGTTGCTTTCTCAGTATTCGTGCTCTGCTCCATCTTGCCTCATCTATGTCCTTCCTTCGCCTGGTGCAGGAGGCTCTTCTATTTCGGGGCTCCACTTTTTCCTGCAATTCATCCTCCGAACCAAGTGGAACACTCCACGACATTTCATCTTCTTCTTCTTTACCGAAGGACCGGAGGCTAGTAAGAGGAAGAGCTTCGTCGCCCACCTCCGAAGTTGGTGCAAAGAGCTCAATCACTTCGCTTCCCCAACAGAAAATATGTCGTCGTTTTCCTTCTTCACTACGTGCTTCCCCTCCAGCACTTCCATGAAATTGAACGCCGTTTTCTTGTGTAAGTAGTTAATTCTTCTCGCTTCCGATGTCCCTGTGCCTCCGGCAGCGTCTTGGCAATTCTGTCTTCACGTATTTCGATCAAATTCGCCGCATTTGGGTCGCCCGGACACACGGCGCACATGACAACACAGAAGGCCGAGGTTACACTGGTGAATGTTCCCAAAAAAATTGTTCTCACGCATCGAGTTGCCCTAATGCGTCGTCGCCTAGCTGGTGAAATACCATAAGCCGCGTCGAAGTAAAGGCTCCTGCTGTACTCCAGAAAATCCTCCTATTCATCTGGTTGAGCATTCTCGTCTTCGTCTTCAGGACCAAAAATGAGATCAGCAGCTCTCCTGAGGTCTTGTTCTGAACGTCCGACCGGAGGGTAGTGATGCTCCAGTGAACCATGACCCGAAGCGTCTCGCCGAGTCGCACGGCTCAAACGATTGCGTGATGGGTTCCGAAAGAAGGGCGTATGCAAAAGATCTGCGGCACGCAGGTTTAGAATCGCTCCCCACGCATCATCTGCGAGACTTTCTCTCTCATCTACTATGTGAATTACCGCCGATCCATCGTTGCGCACCGCAAAGCTGCCGCCGGTGGACGGAACAGACTCCAGCCGTAACATGCTGTTCGAAGTGGCAGAAGCTTTACCTCTAACTCTACTGATGTAACCTCGTCTAGGATTTCCAGCTTCAACTGCTTCACCTTGTGCTAAGTGGCCCGCTCTGCCAGGTCCTGCAGCACTTCGATCAGTCGTCCCACTGCGTGACGCGCCTTGTTGTGGTTGTCGTCCTCGCAATCGGTCTAGGGCGGTGGCTCTTTCATCAAACAGAGTGCGACGCACGTGTGTTTCGATCGTGCGTTGCGGTGTAAAAACCGCTAGTAATTTTCGTCGAGAAAAAATCAGCAGTCCACTCCGGTTCGCAAGGTAGTGCACATGATGGCACTGTTCCACTGATGACGTTGTCGCCGCCTCCTCGACTTCAGGATCATCGTCAACACCTGCAGAAGTAGCACCTCCGCTGATAGCCCTACCTAGTACTGGCTCTCGTTCTATGTGGCAAACATATGAAGCCAAATCCTGTGCACCCGGAGGCGCGTCCATATTGAAAAGCACCGCGTCGATCATCTGCATCAGCGTCCAACCCGCCTGGTTGCACAAGTTATGCTCACACAGCCCCTGAGACTGAGAGTCCTGCTCTCCTTGCTCTTCAATAGACAGGGTAAAGTGGAGCCGATCTGCAAGTAGTTTTCGGACAGCGGGAACGATGCGCAAATCTCCATAAGCATCATCTAAAGCCGTCCACAATTAGATTTAGACGAACAAAAAAAATGGACGTTACTTAAGAGAGTTTGCAGTGTTACTGGTCGCCATCGTTCCATACCCCTCGTGTCCTGGATCCACCTCAGGACTATCAATTTGGCTTTGATTCTGGTATGATGATTTTATCATCATCAATTATAAGTAACAACAGTTGTTGGAAACAAGACCAAAAGGCCCACATTGGCAATGTGGTTCCTCCTAAGTAGATGGGAGTAACGACAAGGAATGGAGGAGGCGGGTACTCGCGGCAAACAACCTCATTAAATCCACGGACACAATACCAGCAAAGCAACGGCGATATTACAAATCAAAAGGCACAAGCTACAAGTAGACTTTGAGTTGGGAAGTTAATCTTAAGAAGCTGCTTGGAAGTCGGGGTAGCCCCGAATTCGAGAACACGCTGCGCCGCGAAAGATCCTGTCGCACTCACCTCACATCGTCACCATGGCTGGGCCCGACAGAGGGAACAACGCTGCATACTCTGCAGCTTACTCTCTGATCCAGGATCTTCCAAGGAAAGACAATCGCCACAAATTGAATGGTCGCAGTCGTATGGCTGCTTGAGCTTCACCCCATATCTTTGGCTTGTCGCGTCATCCTCAGGTGTCTGTGCTCGAGCGTTGGTCATCGAAGACGCGACTGCAGTGTCGAGAGGAGCCTCCTGCTGTGAATCGGAGCCGGGGTTGTGAAATTCTGCAGACAGATCGGGCAAGTCAGCGCTGCTGTTGGAGCGTCGGGAAGAAGATTCACCCGCGCGTTAGCGCCAGCCTGGGCCACGTACGGTGCTGCAGGAATCCTGGTGGAAACTTCTTGCAGGTTGAGGTAGGCAGGGGCGGTCGTCATTCTGGAGCTACCAGGTGCACGCCGAGAGCCGAAAAATCCAGACTCAGGAAGCGAAAGTAGCGGAGAGGCCCCGATGGCCACGTCTACACAGAGACTGCAGGCGACAAAGCACCGCCACACCGCGGATGTCGACAGGCGAGGCGCTGACATCGTGGCAGACGACAATGGCGGTCCGCCTCCGACGCACCCACCTCCAAATCATTGAATCATGCGCAGACGTTGTAGAACGGACGATGGGCAGGTACTACACGCCGTCGCTTATCCCTCTCGCAACGCGACAGCACACCAGAAAGGTCGTCTCATCATGCGCAACGTGGAAGAAGCGCGATGACAATATCTCATCGTTTGTCTTCGGAGTACGCACCAGGGAAAAGTGCAGCTCCAGCAGACGTGGAAACAAACCACGATTAAGCATACTTCACCAAATTTAGATCCAGAGACAACAGCAAAGCAAATTACTCAGATCACGCACGCGAGTAGGAACACTACCATACACTATGCACAGTCCTGCTTCGTCCTGGTATAGTAATCCCAAACAATTTCATTGGCCTTAGAATTCAAGAAGCTCTTTCTCTTCTTGAGAAAAAAGTCAGTATGCATCTTGCAGAGTCGCAAGCTAGTCGGCTGCTGATGCCGGGGGGTCATTTTTTGTTTTTTTGTCTTAAGGTGGTGCTGATTGATTGAAGAAAGGCAAGCTGATAGCAATCCCAAACAAGTTGGAACGTGATATTTTAGTTCGGCGAGTACGACGACACTTAAAAAGAAGCATGACTTAATTCCTAGTGTACATGAAAAGGGAAGGGCAAACGCTATATCACATCTGCCGAGTCAACGTCTGAATGATCGCATCCGCATCTGGAGCATGAGGAGCACATCATACGTGCGGTTTAGAAACTTGAGCGGCTGCTCGATTCGTTGTAACGGCCGTGGAGGTTCATTCCAAGCATTTGGTTTTGACACCTTCAAGTTGAAGGTACCTAGTGCTCGCTACACACCTTACGCTTCTATCATCAAGAACGGTCAACAGGCGTCTTTCTAAGTCCCAAAACGGATTTTCACTCTCGATTTAGACCTCGCTCGGACCTATTTTTTGTCGAAAAGAAACAAGGTACTCGCATAACCGACACCCGATTCCAACAGATCGGCATAGCCGGCAAGTCAATGATGATGATCATCATCTAACATCAGAAGCAATCGCACAGAAAAACGTCGACGCATGCGTGAGCGGTGTTGCTCACCGTCCTCTGCGTCGCTGTACCCCTTACGGAGGTAAAGCCCCGACGCTGTCTTTTTTGGTAGTAGTTTCTCATGGATTGCTCTTCCAAACTCTACAACCACCCGCGAGCGGGCTGAAAAAACATCGAAGCTTGTTCCTGTCATATGTCTCTGTCGTGCTATTTCCGGTGCAGTATCACATATGGCATCAATCAATACACATGCGCTTGCTCTTCACCTTCAACAAGACCCACCGAGCCCACATCAGAAATATGACAGTTTGTTCCGTATAATTCAAGACCCCGCTTCACATTTCTCTGTTTTTCACCACGTTCCACTCGTTATGTTCGCCTCCAACATCGTACGTCTCCTGTGCGCATCTTCTGTAGTTCCGGCCTCTCCTCGTTCCAGATCTACTCCGAATAAGTGCGATGAAAGATATCTTAGGCGACCAAGACGCACACACCGCCGACGGCGTTGATCTTCTGCTCTGCCTCACGAGAGAAGAATCGGGCCTTGACGATGCACGGAATATCCGGCAGGGAACCCTTTCCGAGGACCTTGAAGAACCCAGCCTTGACGCAGTCGATGACCGGAGCCTTGTCACCTGGAAGGAAAGTTTGGAAGGACGTCGACTAGAGAATGACATGTACCTACTTTCGTTTTCTAAATTCAAGTTCAACAGCATGCCGAGAGATATCTGCATATCATACGGACTATTAGAATCTGACATTAGTTACGAAAACTGAGAAACTACGACTGTGGAGAACGATTTTAGATGAAGTACTCTCTTTCTTCTTGTAGAACTCGTAAGCCTGCGGGGTCAAGAGAGACCATAGCTTCTCAACGTTGATCTTCGGGCACACGTAAGCGTTCTTTCTCCAGCAGAAGTGACGCATACCGACCTTACCGAGGCGACCCGGATGGTACTTATCGACGTTGATACGGTGGTGGTGCTGCATACCGGCGTTACCTGAGTTGAGGAGAGAAGAATGGTTGGTGGGCAGTTCTGTTTGGTATATATGGCGTGTGTACGTACGTAATCTTAGACGGGTTTAGCTGACTACAGGCGCACTTAATGGCACCATCTACAGTGACATCTCAGTGACGGCGGTGATCTAACAATGTCTTCATTTGCAGATGTGGAAAGTTTGCGTGGCTATACAATCGAAGATATTTTCGATTTCAGGAAAAAGTGTTCTTGAGATCATCTTCTGACGCAATCTAAAGAATGTGGGGAATAGTTACCGTGACCACCCGGATGCTTGCGGTGCTTTCCGATACGACCGTGACCGGCGGAAACGTGGCCGCGCTTCCATCTGTTGGCTTTCAGACGAGCAGTCATTTTCGATGATGAGGTGGTTTGGAGCAATCCTAAACTACGAAAGACAACTTCCGAGGTCTTCCCCTTATTTTCCCTGTAAAAAAGTTAGAAATATTGTAAATGACAATAAACATGGGACGAGAACGGCGACCATGGTACTAGTACTAATAGCAGTTTATCCACAATGGTAAACTTTTCAAGTGCTCTTGAGTATTTAGACAAGTAGAATATCTTTTGATCCATCATGTTTCGGACAGGTGAGATCTCTTTGAGACAGATGTGGATTCTTGAATTTTGCAGATCCTTGATCTAAATCCACTTCGTGATCCTCACAAGCCTAAACTTTTGACCTTGATTTCGTTTATTGCGCAGCCCCTAAATTTTCGGGTTTTTTGAGAAACAAGAACGCGTGGTGTATCCTCTAGTGATCTCATCTTTAGATCATACCGAGACCATTTTCTCATCTGCAAGAGAGAGTAATTTTAACAAGAGGAATTTGATGACTAAAGAGTGCAAAGCTGTGCCCTACCTAATAGATGCTAATCAGACAGACCGGTCTACGAGCCTAATTTCATATTAATCCATCACAATTGAGTCTGGCCTAATAAGACGTCGATCTCAAAAATCACAGCGGCATTTCAAACACGAGAAGGATCTAAACACATTTTTGGGGATCGTGGCACGCGTCGATTTTGCAGAATCTGGAAGTTAAAAGTTCAATGGTGGATAGTCGGTTATCAATCGTCAGTTCCAAGAAACACGGATTCTTGATAGATAAAATAGGTTACCGCAGACAACACTATTACAGTGCATCACCCACAGCTAATACTGGAAAGTCATGATGAGATTGCCATGGGTTTGCACTAGTGCCTGCTAGCTGTACGAGAATACATAGTGATTTCTGAAGATAGAGGTCCCGCATGTGATCCGCTATCTTCATCGAAAACATCTTGATGCAGCGGTTTCACCAGGAGCCGCCGTCCATCCTCCCTCGTCTGTGCGTCCTCGTATCGGTCGACGATGGAACACAAAGAAATAAGCGTCCTGGACCTAAATTCTTTCCTGCCATTTATCTCTCCCCAGGTGACCTAGCGCTGGAGCCGCCCGCTCTTTCTCCGTCCTCCATCGGTGTCTCGCACCCGCTCCGGTTGCCAAATTTCAACTGACTATTTTCCATTGTAATTCTCGCATCAATCAGTCGAGTGTTCGCAGCAATGCAAAGCATTCCGCGATCAGTCGCTCCGACACCAACTACGCTGACTTCGCCTTTCCATTAGCTTGCGTCTCTACCGCTTCTTCACCCTCGTCTGCGATTGAGGTCATCGAACAGGGTTGCAAACCTGCTTCTTCCAGCTGTGATGGTGTCACGTGCTGCAGGAGGTGACTCAGCATAAAGGCCTGTGGGTCGGCTGGTCTCTCTGCCACTAAACGCGTTGACAACGCCGACAGGTATCTAAAGAAGGAGTTTTTTGATTTTTATGTGTTCTACAACGGGAACACTGTCACGTGCGTCGGGGGTACTAACATCTGGTGCCTGTGCCTGTCTTCATCAATTCGCTTTCCTGCATAAAAAAATGAATACCCATCCAGCGCTGTTCGATCAAACCATTTCTTCGCATCCTCCTTCTGCTTTGAAATTGCTGGGGGAGCAAAAGCGCCACGAAGGGGAGACATGTTTTTCCTCTAGGGTGTTGTGGTCCTTGTCGTGTTGGTTACAAAAAATAAGCTGACGCTCATCTAAACGATCCTCCAAAGATTTGGCTCTTCGAGGTCCCTGAGAAGCGACCAACCCATCAGGTTCATGGTGATTTTGGACTGACTGCAGTCCTCTGTTGACAGAAGTTTTCAGTGTTTTCCCACACAGCGTCTTTTTGTCACGGAGTCTCTGCCCTTTTCTCACTTCGCTCAGGGAAAACTCCGTCATCCTGGTTTCTCCTTTGCGCGTGTCTTGTGCAACCGGGCTGTCGCATGTTTTTTTTCCTTTTGACGGCCGCGTGACACATGTTGCATTCGTCAGGCGGGTCGTGTGTCGACGATGCTTCTGCGTAAGTACTTCACCGACTGGTGTGAAGGCGTCGGAGAATAATGACGCTTGTTGGAGATGGCCATTGGGAGTCACGAAGAGAGCTATAAATCAGAATTCGCAACCCAATCGTCGAAGAGAGAAAAAGCCAAAATTACGGACAGGAGACATTTAGTAGGAAAATGAGAGACCAGGCTACGAGTAGCAAGAATCTATTTCCTATCGTTAATAGATACCGGTCCACTGCTGTGCAGGGGAATTCTCTTAAGCGCGGAGCGGGCGCTAGTGCAAGAACGGTTTCTAAAATCAATAGTAGTAGTGGGACTGCGCGACACAGTACTTTCTCTGCATACACTTGCTTTGCTTGTTCCACTGACAAAAAAAGTCTTGTTCATAGTCCATGAATGGTTATTGGCAAATAGCTAAAGCAAAACTGAACAAATTGGTAGCTTCTTCCAGGATTTTTTACGTGTCTCTAGTACTAGACCGCTTCTATCATACCATCGGGCTTCCTTTACACAAATCACACGCCGCTACTACGTTATTTTTCCAAGTATGTCTATGGCGAGCAGAAGCTGATAGAGATAAATTCAAAGTTTCCATGTGGTTGTGCTAAACCTAAATCTCCTGTTCGTCAGATCCTAGTTCTCATAGTTACATGCCCGGTCGTGTCGAGCACGGACATTCTGCATGATCAAAGAGAGAACGCACGACATCTACAAATCTTTCGTCTTCTTTCCAAAATTATGCACTCACCTTCAATTATCTCGTTTTCCCGTAGTTCAGAAACGCAATCCAGGCGGAGTAGAGATCTTGCATCAAGCACGTTGCAAGAATTCCCCGCTCCAGACCCAAGCAAGACACGCCGTCACAGTCGCTTAGAAGACGGTGAAATGAGGCTGATTGGCACTCTATGCCAAGACGTATTGTTTAACCCTCGCGCATTCCAGATCGGTTCCGGATTTTCTGGTTGGACGTTGTAACTGGAATCTACTGCCTTGCAGCAGAGAACCACTTGCTCTCCCTTTTCCATCTTCCGTCGTAGCTCGTCGGAGCTATTTGCAAGTGGAATCAAAATTTCCCAGAAAGTCCATGCAAATGCGCGATAGGCAGGTTGGTCCGAGCTGGTTATTAATTCCGTAAAGATATGCAGTTGCTGTGAGAGAAAGGTCAGAAGCGCCTCATTCGATTTTGTGATACTCATGCTATGTATTACCTATCAATAAAAAGAATTCATCCTGGGAATTCATCCTGTGAATGATCTTAACAATAGCCACTGCGTGTGCGTCTACTTGTACTTCTCTTTTGCTCGAAGGGTGATGGGTATTCAAAATACTTACCCGTCCTTCAGTGTCGCAGTGTGCCAATTCTTCCCGTTGTCGGAGCTGACGTCCACACGCACAATGCCGTTGCCCCCTCCCGAATACGCCCAGCCACGCGCTGCGACGCACACCTCTCCTTTTGCATTTAGCTCCAGTTTCAGCTTTTCTCCCTTCGGTGGTTGCGATGCTTCTTCCACCGCTTGTTCTTTAGTGCGTCCTAGACCGATGAGGCTCTGGAGCTTTCCAACCCCGAGGCCTCCTGCTCCAGAAGCACCACCAATTGAACTCGGGAAATCATCGACAGAAATATGGTCCGCTTCAGAGGGATAACAAACTACGCTCTGCACCGGTACTTTCTGCATACTGAGTACCTTCTCAGGGTCAGCATTCTTGAAATCCTTCAAAGACGGCGGAAATCCCTTGTAATTGATACCTGTGAGGAATAGAGTCGAGGTTCAGCCTCGATCGCCGGAACAGCTGTCAGGGTCGTGCTGATAGCGGTTGTCACATCGTTGCACCTCCCTAAACACTTTTGTATTTACAGATGAAAGATCATCAACATTACGAGTCCACTGGGCTTCCAGCATCATGATTTCAACAATTATATAGAGGAACTACCTCTCTGCCACGGTCCGTGTGCTTCCTCCGCGCTTCCTTCGATTTTTGTGAGCCACTTTACGTGTCGCACCCCGACAACTCCTGGCACAATGAGCCGTAACGGAGAGCCATGCTCTCGCGATAATGGCTTCCCATTCATATCCCAGGCTAGCAGCACCTCTCCGAAGGGATCCAAAGCGTGTTCTATCGGAATTGAAGCCGACATGTCGTCCTGGCGGTGTGTTCATAAAAAAGAAGGATATTCATATTGTTCGATGATAGCGCTGATGTTGACATTTTTACCCTGCGACGGCTAAGGATCCCACCATCAAAATTCGTCATCTTGACTTGCTTCTGCAAGGACATTTATGATTATCATTTCAGTTAGGTCTAGCATGATCGTCTTCCCCTTCTCCAAGTAGTCAAGTTTGAGTGGGAACAAGAAAAGCAAAAGACCCATAATACGAAATACTTTCGCATGAAAGACGATGTGTTTCACGTTTTGTTCTGCGCATGCTCTCGCGTCGGACAGGCCCATGGTTTTTAGGACGTCGCACAGCCGAACTCCAGTGAATGCGCCAGTCGATATGCCACCTGTACCCCACTCGATACCGCTAGTTTTCTCCACCCTATTCATCTGCGACCTGCGGTTGCCACCGCACTGCACTGTCACTGGAATAGTTTCCACCTCAAAGCTTTTCTTTAGCGCCTCTAGTTAGAACCAACCCACTGCGATCCATCTTTTTCGTTCCCATCTGTGTCCCTTTTTCTACTTCCTTGAAGGCAGGTCACAGATAAAGTAAGAGATGGATTAAGCAAGGCCTTAATCTAGAGACAATTTCGAATTCAGGCCCGATGGCGTTTCTAGTTCCAGTTTGTACGTTTCCACCTTGTCTGTTACTGGAACTGGGTGATGATGGCGAATGAACCACAGCTCATCTGGCGTAAGCCACCTGTCCATCTGCAGATGTCTCGGCAGTTCGGCGTTGCAGGCTTTCATATTGTGATAGATCAACGCCGGACTGCGCGGATCCGGATCTGCGTCGTAGGGATCGACCTAACGAAAGGCGAAGAACGGCTTCAAAATGCACTCGAGAAAACACACTTGATGTTTAAGTTGTAGTGGTTGTCTTTCCGAAACTAAGAGGTAGAAGATGACTGGGTCAAGAGTATTAGTATCCGCGAAGATCAACAAGTCAACAAGCAGAAGCGGGCATCTTCACGATCAGTCTGTCCAAAAAAGGAAGTACGTACGTCGTCATATTCGATTTCTGGCTCGTCTGGGTGCACTTCACCGATTTTCATCATTTCGAGCAGCTCTAACGATTCGCCGGTTCGAAAGTGCTGTTGATACACCCTCCAGTACGGATCAATAGCCTTCCCTGCCGCCTGCATGACTTTGTGCGGTCCTCCTGGATGGCTTCGCAAATACCCGGTTATGTCGTAGACGCCATCCCCATATGTCACCCACACACCTTTTTCTACTGAGTTGTGCTTCTCGATCTCCGCCCGCCGAAAGTACTTCACGCCTCCATCTTCTTGTGCAGCTGCAGCACTTTCGCACAAGACAACATGCGAAGCATGATAGCCACAGCCTGAAGCGCTACTTCGAGTTCCTCCACCGAGAAGACCACCTCCTCCTCTGCCAAAAATACGCGTGTTCTTAATCTCAAAAGGAAGTCGTGGACCACATCTCCCACTGACGAGCCGGCGACGTTCTCCCCACCTTTTTCGAAAAACGGACGCCGCGCAGGCGGAAGAGGATGGGGCGGAAGCGGTTCGCGCATCTCCTGGTCCTGCTTCGCATCCAGCAAGACCTGCTGCTACGTTCAGGGCAGCTGGAAAAACGCGCGTGGATGATGACGATGCAGCCGCCATTTCCTGTTTGAAATTCAAAATGATCAAAATTGCGCATATATATGACGCAGGGCCGGACGCCCCCCCTCCCCCCCCATGTGGTCTGGTCTGTGGTGGCGCGCGCGCCACCAAAGACGGACTTTTGGCGGATTCTAGTGGTGAAAGGCCTCGCAGGCGGGAGGTCTCCGGGGTAAAAGGCCGCCGATGGCGGCCACGGTCGCAAGAGCAAGGAAGCCGATGACCAAGGACCCGGAGGGCACACGCGGCACGGCTGCGGCGGCGAAGCCTAACGGATGCACTTCGGGCACAAGCAGGCACCTGGACGGGGGCGCAGGCGGTCCCTTGGGCCCCTTTTGAAGCCTCCCACCACCATCGGAGGCATCTAGGGAACAGCCAGGCAGCTGGAAGGGAGCGGAGGGGACAGGTCACTGGGCCCCCTTTTGAGGCCTCTCCCCCCCCGCAGACGCCTGAAAAAGGGGTCCAGGGCGCCCGGCCCCCCCGCTCATGCCGTCGCCCCGCGCCCTGGAACATATATAATTACTCTGAAAATTCAAATAGGTCGGTATCCTCGGTCGTTCTTGTTCTTTTTCCTGAAGAGGTGGTAGCTATTTTTCGTCGTATAATAGAATAGTTTAGACATAGGAAGGCCAGACCCGGGACGATGGGATGGACCGGATGGAACGGATGGACTTTCCACCATTTCAAGTAGGGTCGGAAGACTTAGGAGGGCCCATGCGATCGGATCCATCCAAGTCCATAATAAATTCTACATCCGTTCTATGAGTTCTATCTTTACTAATGATCGGCAAAAATCGAGGTCGGGCGTCAGGGTTTTAAGGGCGAGCAAGGAGAACCACAAGGGGCAGAAATCAACGGACCAGGACTCTCAGAGTTTTAAAGGGAAAGCCAGGGAATCCCAGGGTTCCCGGGTAGAGCTGAATCGCGGTCGGGTCAGGGTTTTGCATCTCAGGGTTTGCAAAAATGGGCACAAAAGTCAGGGTCCAGTTCTCAGGGTTTTGCAGGCAGAAACGGCGTCAGGGTTTGGCATCTCAGGGTTTGGCATCTCAGGGTTTCGCAGGGTTGGGGATCTCAGGGCTTCACAGGGTTAGGCAACTCAAGGTTTGGCATCTGAGGGTTTGGCGTCTCCGGGTTTGGCATTTCAGGGTTTGGCATTTCAGGGTTTGGCATCTCAGGGTTTGACATCGCAGGGTTTGGCATCTCAGGGTTTGGCATCTCCGGGTTTGGTATCTCCGGGTTTGGTATCTCAGGGTTTGCTTCCCGCCTCAGAGGGGCGCAATGTCAGGGTTTTCGCGCCTCAGCGTTTCCCGCGTCAGAGTTTCGGCATGACCGGGTTGCCCGCGTCAGAGGTTGGGCGGGTCACCGTTTCGGCGTGAGGCACTGTTTTACGGAGTCGCGAAGACGTTAGCGAGCTTTAACGCGGCCGCGTGCCGCGTTAGGGCCGTCTAACGTCAGGACCGCGGCAAAAGTCGAGGCCTGGCGGCAGGGTGGGAAGGGCAGGGTTTGCAAAAAGGGGCAGAGAAGTCAGGAGCCAGTGCGCAGGGCTTTGCAGCCCAAACGGCGTCAAGGTTTAGCATCTCAAGGTTTGGCGTCTCAGGGTTTGGCATCTCAGGGTTTGGCATCTCAGGGTTTGGCATCTCAGGGCTTCGCATCTCAGGGCTTCGCATCTCAGGGCTTGGCATCTCAAGGCTTGGCATCTCAGGGTTTGGCATCTCAGGGTTTGGCATCTCAGGGTTTGGCCCCCGCCTCAGAGTGGCGCAATGTCAGGGCTTAGCGCCTCAGAGTTTCGGCATGTCAGGGCTTCCCGCCTCAGAGTTGCACCAGGTCAGGGCTTAGCGCCTCAGAGTTTCGCGCCTCAGAGTTTCAGCATGTCAGGGCTTTCCGCCTCAAAGTTGCGCCATGTCAGGGCTTAGCGCCTCAGAGTTTCGCGCCTCAGAGTTTCAGGATGTCAAGGCTTCCCGCCTTAGACTTCCGCCAGGTTAAGGTTTAGCGCCTCAGAGTTTCGCAGGGCAGGGTTTCAGCGTCTCAGAGTTGCGCCAGGTCAGGGCTTAGCACGTCAGAGGTTCGCGCCTCCGAGTTTCGGCATCTCAAGGTTTAGCGCCTCAGAGTTTCGCGCCTCAGAGTTTCCGCGTGTCAGGGTTTCCCGCCTCAGCGTTGCGCCAGGTCAAGGTGTAGCGCCTCAGAGTTTCGAAGGTCAGAGTTTCCAAATGTCGGGGCTTCCCGCCTCAGAGTTGCGCAGTGTCAGGGCTTCGCGCCTCAGAGTTGCGCGCCTCGGAGTTTCGACATGTCAGGGCTTTGCGCCTCAGAGTTCCCCGCCTCAGAGTTGCACCAGGTCAGGGTTTAGCGCCTCAGAGTTTTGCCGTCTCAGGGTTTCCCGCCTCAGAGTTGCGCACTGTCAGGGTCTCGCGCCTCAGAGCTTCGCGCCTCAGAGTTTCGGGCCGTCAGGGTTTCCCGCCTCAGAGTTGCGCTATGTCAGGGCTTCGCGCCTCAGAGTTTCGCGCCTCAGAGTTTCGCGCCTCAGAGTTTCGGCATGTCTGGGTTTTCCGCCTCAGAGTTTCGGCGGGTCACAGTTTCGGCGTGTGGCACTGTTTCACCGAGTCGCGAAGACGTTAGCGGGCTCTAACGCGGCCGCCAGCCGCGTTTGGGCCGTCTAACGTCAGGACCGCGAAGGGGCCCGAATCGGCTCGCGTACCGGGAAGAGATCGCCCGCGGTACGGGGAGCCGGAGGCTGGAGTCCGCCCAAGAGCTCCGCGGGGTTGTTTTCTCCGAGAATCTGCGGGGAAACCTGCACGCGCCGGGGGGCATTGTCCTGAAGAAAGAGCTCATGCGGGCTATATTCCCCACGCGCCGTGGTGTCTCCTGCTCCTAGCAGCTCCTTCTCCCTCGTTCACCTTTCCATCCTCTCGGACCGCTAAACACACGGGAAACGACTAGTTATTCTAGTATAAACCATTTGAGTTTGGATATCGCTATCATGTCCTCCTGCTCAAAATGCCTATTTTGCTGCGGCGGCAACACATATCACACCAGACAAGAGAAACAGCCGCAACAGTGAAGCGTCTCACATACATCTTGTACATTGGTGAGGTTCCGTTTTCAGCGCCTCGTCTCAATCTCTGTTCTTGTATCAACTCGAACATCTCTACACACGACTTCCTCACTCAGTCATGAACATCTGTGTTGAGTGCCAGTTCTCATCTTCCGGCCCCTTTCTGACACTCGCCCTCGCGTTTCGTCTCGTATAAATCCTAATCCTTCCTTCAAGCCTATTATTCCGGAAAACCGCAATGCCTCAAGCATTATATCGATGACCAATTCCTCCACCTAATTGAGGTAGATAAAATTGATCCGCCGCATCGTTGGCCTCCGGTTTTTCATTGCTCGTGATGACGATGGCAAAAGTTCCTCTTGGAGTTCTTGTCTTTTCGGGCCGCCTGCGCCTTGACAATGAAAGCTGATAATTAGGTTTGTCAAATTCGCATGATCTTAATCAATGTAAATCGTCTTCGTTGATCCACTCACTGTCTACATTCATTGAGAAAGTCTCCATAATCTTGCTCTTGGAGGTCTCCCAATTGCAGCATTTATTGATAGTCAGCTAGTAGCATCTTCATTGCACATCGAACATGGCAAAGATTCCACGTTGGTCTATCGAGGAAACTCTGAAACAAAACGGAGAGAGGAACGTAGACCAGAGTAAAACGCAAAAATCGACACCAAACTACTGCAATAAAACCTTTCGGAGACTCAAATCAGAACGTGAACGCGTGTCATGTCCGGACCAGTCACGTCTTTCTCTTCGTGGTCAGTAGGTAGCAATACTTCAAATTTAAATAAAATTGCGGCCCTAATCCAGTCCTCCTTTTATGTACTTAAATATCGGTATGGCAATGGTGGTGGTCGCACCACGACTGCCGTAAAAAAAAATAAAACATTTTCTTGTTGCAGACGTACACGTTAAACAGAACCAAAGTTGCAAAATGGCAGAAATTACCATCGGATCGATCACCATCATAGGCATAGTACTGGGTGGAGAATAAAAATCATTCGTTTCCCGTCCCAGTTGGACTGTGGCCATAGATCGCATAATTGAGTAGCAGCAGGATGATCATGTTCTTGAGGTAGAATTATCATAGGTCCTTGGCAATCAAGAAAAGCACTTGCACTTGACCCATGTGAAGATAAGCCTGTCGTCTTCTAGTGTCTACTCGGTGTCGTCGTCGTCATTAAACTGCTCTTGCAATTTTTCAGCAGAGGCAGAAGATTTTCAGGCTGTTTAACAGGTACATTTTCAATCCAAGCTGGTGACGGCATCGCTGCCCCGTTCTTAGTAATATAATTTGTTGTCGATCGGGGGCGATCCACCTATGTATGTAGAAGAAGCGAAAAAGAAAAATCATTAATATTTTAACTATAATTGCATTCTATTTTGGTTTTATTATGAGCAAAGAAATCCATCTCTACAACGGTGCGCCGTTCATGAGATCACCATCAGTATTCAAGCGAATCCGATCACCAACCTTTTTAACTTCAGATCCTTTAGCCAGGACGATGGGGACCAGAGTGAACTATATAGGATAGGATAGGATTTGATCCGCCGTCCACAGTTTTACTTGCATACTCAAGCGGATATGCGCAGCCTCAGAAGGACTACCAAGCTTAATCATCTTCAATTGCAGTTTTTTGGATGTATCACGCCCTCTATGCACCATCTAGGCTGCATGACCGATTTATTATGCGCTGCAGAAGAACGCAGAACAGATGTGGCAGCATCAATCAATTCATCGATCGTCAGTCGCTGCTTCTCATTTCATTCAACTTCAGGATTATTATTCCACTGAAAGAACTACTTCTTTCTTATTCACCTCGATCTTTGTCCCTCGCTCTTGTCTCATCTACCTTACAAATTTTGTGCTCGGTATTACGATCTTGTCTCTCGAATCGTCCGTCAAATTATCAGAAAAAAAAGAAAGACGCGATAATCGGAGAGAAGGAGAACCGTTGCTGTCTATTATTTTTCAGTGACAGAGTGAAGCAAAATACGTGGAGGTCACGTAGAGCAAGAGCAACACTGCACAAGAATACTTTTTCGCTTAACCTTAAGTATGTTTTCCGCTTGAAGCTTCGAAGTCGTTTCACTCTGGGGAAAGCTCAAATTTTTGTGCCAGGGGTACTGCAAGCATGAAGCAATTCCGTAGTGATGAAGAAGGATCACGTTTGGAGTAAAACTGGCGTTCCAGTTCATGTTACTGGTCGTTCTCTTACGATAGATGGTAACTTGCTTGCTATGAGTGCTTCTATGATTCTAGTTGGTCTTCAAATTCATTCGCCTCTAGGCTAAACTTGTGATCCCAATAATGTCCTGCGCTATGATAGGTCATTTCTTGCAGATCATACCTGACTCACTGTCACCCTTGTTATTTTCAAAAGAACAAGACACTAAGCACCAACAGCAGATACGATGAAGGTACTCCCGGCGCTTATTTAGTTTTTTAATTTCACGAACTACGGTCGAGAACTCAAGCTTATCCCTCTAAATACGTAACATTAAACGAAAAACAACGTTTGTAGTTCTTCGAACTTGTTTGCTATCGCTAGTAAATGATTTACTTTTTGAAGTTGGACTGCTACTGCAGTTCGTGTTCGCGTTTGATACTGAGCTACTAACTCTTTCGTTCGAGCAGTTCACTTGCAACTATTAGTCATGATAAGGATTATGATTAGCGCAAAACTACTACATACTTATTTCGTGACCCAGTACAGACTATGCGTATGAGTATCGTGTCTTTCTATTTTGCAACGTTCTAAATCTAAATCTGTGTTTAAATATGAACGTGTGATAGCATGAAATATACCTGATCCTTATGCTGATGACGTGTCGTTCACCACAACTTGTTGCACTTTTACTTCTATTCAGAGGGTTACTGGGGTCTCTAGCAACAGCCTGCCTTTATTACATGTAAATTAGGAATGTCTGCATTTCGACGAAATATGATGCCTATAATTGTTCTAACCATAACCAAGTACACCACTTGTTTAATCATATAGTATCTATGCATCAATTCGTGCTGCGTCTCATCAGAGTTCCCGACGCGTTGTCTCCGCGCCTGCCGTCAGCTGGGTCTCCTGCCTCACTCACGCTCTCCTCAGGGTCCATGTAGACAGGATCCGCACCGACATACTCGTCGCGCTCTTCCAGCCCTTGATACATGGAACCCAACACCATAGCACAAACGAGCCAGAACAGGATCCAGCTGCATCCGCCAATCAAGGACGGCACCGCCATGAAGAGCGGCACATTGAAAATGTTGTTTCCTCGATTGCCCAGCATCTTCATCAGGTTGTTCCCGAAACTGGTAGAGAAGAGACGGACAACGACAATGCTCCAAGCAAACGAGGAGGAGGACAGGATTCAAAATTGAGTTCTTGTGTATTTTACTACAAGGACGAGTTGCACTAGCAGTACTTTGCACTTGACTTCTGCAGCTATCATCGTGATACTCATCAAGGAAGAATAGATAGTCTAACCTACGAATATCATTGTGAAGATAATTCTTGTCATAATCCCGAAAATAAGCAACATTTGTACCTGTTGCTCCAACTCTTGGCCTTGACTTTTACTTTAGCCGTTGTTCTCAAAGTCAGCAGAGCGATAGTTGGATTGCACACTGAGAAGTGGACCGCGGACCAAAGCATCCAAAATATTGCGATAAATATGTATCGCTGAAAGGCGGAGAGACCCCAAGTGTTGCCACGCATGCGTTCCATACTCTCAAGGTTTTTTCCATGGGCGAGCTCATCACTCCATGATCTCGTTGGGATGATCGCTGTCAAGATCGTCAACGACTCTGCTTCCGCAGTTGGTGTTCCGTCTGTTCATTTCGTTTAGATTGGGATTGGCTTCATTTGTCGTGTTCTAGTTTTGCTAAAAAAGACTGGACTCACATATACTGAAAACTTTTTTTTGTGAAACGGTGAATAGCAGATTTGTAGTTGAAAACGCGTTACAATATATTTTCACATGATGAACTTCATAAGTTCTACTAATACCTGGTTTTTGGCTTTCTTTGACTTGATTCACCGATCGGTTCATGACGATGACAAGCGCGCCACCCCCTCCTCTCTGGACCTCCGCTGCGACCTGCTCGAACGTTCTGGGTGAACCAATCGTGTAGTACCCTTGCCCAGTGCCCGCCCACACAGCTTGGTCGAGAGGTTGGTGCACTGCTTTTGCGCGGTCAGACAGTCGCGTTTTTCCGAACATGGTGCATTTCCCGCTTGCAGTGTTGAAAGTAAGGTACTCGCAATCGTGGTAGTGCTTGCTGCACAGTTGCGCGCATCCATTAAGATTTGTAGCGTCCTGCTGAAGATGCGTTAAGATTTCGTAGTTTGCACGCCCTTCAGCATCTACCAACGGCAAAAAATCCTTGCCATCTTTCTGATCTCCAGCAGCTCCCGCTTCCTTCTGACCCACTTGTTGCGGGCCTTTTGGTGGAGGACCCACGGGTGCGAAGACTTGCTGCGGCTCGAGATGCTTGGCCCACTCATAAGCGACCACACGACCGTTGTACGAGTTCACACCACCTGGTGCAAACTCGACGACACCACCACGCTTGGATATTTCAGTCAACCGGTTTACCTGAAGAATAAAAAGTTGCGAAAGTAGAATTCGCTGCGGCGAGCACCAGAGAGAGAATGCAACAGGTCCGAGTTCATCAACATCAAACTCAGAAGTAATTCATCTCGTGCTCTACGTAGAAGTACAACAGGAGGTACAATTTCAAATTCATGAGGTCTACTTCTAGTCCATGGAGTTAAAAATTGCGTGAAAGTGTATTTTTGCTTCGTCTTCGAAGAAATGCGTTCTAAAGCTTGTCGTACCGCTCCATCTTTGGCACTTGCGCGATCATTCCATGGCACAAAGCTCTCAGTGTAGCTGAAATGTGCCGAGTCGTTTACTTGTACCCAGCTATGGTGCATTGAGCACCCTTCGGAGAAGACGAAAACGAAAAGTGTGAGCAGAGCAAGTAGCGGGTTCAGAACTAGCGTGAATTTTACGCCCAATTTCTTCACTAGCTGCTGTGTGCAAACGACGTTAACCACTGCGTTCAACGCACCGGCAAAAAGACCACATGCCGTCATCAACGTCAGCTTTTCGTCTTTCATATGCGAGCAGCTTGGCAACGATGAAGGGAGAGACGAGGGACATTGGTTTTGGAATATGCGGGAACTAGAAGTATGGCAATAGATACACACGACTTCCATCACGCCCAAAAAATACTACGAGAACAACCTGATTCTCATTTTTCATCTGGTGAAACTTCTAGAACAGGTAAGAGGAGAACTTTAAAAAAACAAAAATCAGTGTGCAGAAAGCTTGTCATCTTCCATAAACCTGAAAGCGAGTCTCCGCCATCTGGCGGACAGGGATAAATATGCGCGAGAATCACAGCGAGTTGGATGTCTATCATCTGCCGAATCGGGAGGTTGCTGTAGCTTACTATGAATAGCAAGAACACGTAGCTGTGGCTCAGCAGGAGCAGTAAGCCCTCTACACTGCTATAACCCTGTTGCTTAAGGGCGCTCCAGAACTTGGATTTTGTCGTCAGAGTCGTCTTGTGTACGTCTCCCCCGGCAAGCGTCTCCTTGTCCAGCGATGCGCCCGAAGATAAACCCATTTTGACGATGTAAGCGTGTAATGAAGACAACTGAGAGCTCACTCGGTCCATCGCGGACACAGGTTCGTCCCTCTTCGTTTCGCTAGAGGAGTCGTGGTGATTCAGCCTGTTCCCGAAATTATTACCATCGACACCACCTCCGTCTTGTTCCAGACGGTCTCCTGCAGCGCCAAGCTCTCCAGTGTTTACGGCATCGTCCTTGTTCGCTTCCATCCCATCGGTGGGTAAGGGACCATAAGCTCCCTGCGAATGGTTCTGCACGAGACCGCCGTACAGGCATTCTTTAGAGATCGACAATTCTTGAGCTTTTCTTTATATGCTTCATATGCTTCAAATTTATTATCAACACATGTCAACCTGTTCTCGGATAGAGATCCACACGTATCTATCCGATAGCTTAATAGACCTCTTTCGTGCCTTAATGTTTGTTTGCTGTTCTCTCTCGAAAGACGCGCCTCGAGCACGAGCGCTGTAGGACATGCGAGCGCTGCTGCTACCAGCAATTGTTCTGCCGGCTCCAAACGGCTGCAGCGCTGCTGCAGGCTCGGCGTCTGCGGCATTCATATCGCGGTTTAGTCCTGGCATATTGCTGACCGTTCCGCGTGCGCTGCCGGGGATCAGCGTTGACGTCTGCGAGCCCGCTGCACCATAACTGTATGTCGCAGTTTTTGCTTGACTCTGCAGACCTCCAGCGCGGGCCTCCGGTGGTAGGTCAGGATTTTCGGCCTCCTCCCGAAGTTTTAGCATCTCGAGAGCGTCGTAGGCAGGCACGGAGAGTTCGGCAATCAGGAACGTGAAGACCGCTATCCCAATGGTGAGCACGACTGACCCAGAGATCGCGGCGCCGTCCCCGACATCGATGCTCATGTAGCGACTGATGCTTCCGCCAAAGAGAAACGTCATGATTCCTATCTGCTGCCAGAAGTTCATGAAGGCGAAGACAGCGACAGAAAACGTTTTATTGGTTGCACCCATGTACAGTTGCAGAAAGGACATGACCATGCCGTTCAGGATCACAGATCTCGTCTCGACCACCAGAAAAAAGAGGTACAACATGAAATGACGAAAAGTTACGCTCCACAAGCAGCCATGATACTGCCCTCCATCAGGATCATCGAATGCACGCACCCCGTTCTTGCCGCCGTTTGCATCGAGCCGCGCGATGTACAACGCCAGTACCTGTCGTGGTCGTGGATTTCCGTGCTGTTATTGTCGACATTGTAAGTACCAGCATCCCGAAGATATCGATGTCGTAATGAAGAGCATGGTTATCGCACTAGAGGCAGAGGAGTCTCGGACGGTGTTCCCTCGGCGTAAAGGAGCAACGAACAACAGAGCAAGAAGGACATAACAAACGTACCAGCACGCCTATATTCTGCTTAAGAATTAATGCAGCCCACCATGTTGATTGTAGATGTAATACTTCTATAACAGGAAACAATAAAGCGAATAAAAAAAATGCATTTGTACATGTCAAAAAATTAAACATGATTGTCCATATATTTAATACAAGAAACCGGGGTCGCCCCGTGGGCGGCCCCTCGTTGATAACTTACTACAGCACAACCACAAAGAAAAAATAGAAATAAGTATATAAGAGAAGGAAAAAAAAAGCGGCTGAACCCCAAAGACAAAGAAAGCACGGGCACAGAACGCCCGCCGCCTGGCGGCCGCCCGCCGTCGAGTGAGATGATGAAGAAGACAGAACAAAGACCGAAGCAGCCCATGCAACCGATCCAGAACCCTTACGCGCGGAATGTCGCACGCCATTGAGACGCGCCAAGAGAACACACACGCGCCGGGAATGTTGCCAATGCCGCAGAAGGCGCTCGACATCGATGAGCCTGCCGAAGCCCTGGCGCCCTGCCCGTCCTCGCTGGCCCCACCCAGCTTGCGCACAGAGTTTGCCAGCTTTGGCCGCTCGGGCCTGTCAGTCCGGTCTGAGCTGCCCGCAATCTCGCCAAAAACTAGCTGTCCCCAGGCTCGTTCTTTGGCTCAGCGAGCTGGGACTGCCCATCCCACCTCAGCGAGCCCCCAAAATACCCCACGGCCCCCCCAAGCCCAAACACAACACGGCCCACCCCCTAAACACTCACAGCGAGCACGACAGACCCCGAAACACAGCGCGCCCCCTAGGCAATACATGAGGCCCCAAAGACAACACGGCTCCCCAAACTAGCACCCCACGATCACCCAAAGACACCACGACCACCCAGACACGCCACGGCCCCCCCAAGCAAGAACACACTAAGGCTCCCAAAAGGAAACACAGCACGAGCGCGACCCCTGGGGCACAGCGTGACCCCCCGCCCAGCCGAAAAAATTACAGACGGGTCCCCAAAACACAAAGCAACCCCGCAGACAACACACGACCCCCGAGGCCGAGAGCGAGACACAACGCGACCCCCCTGCTAAAAAAGGCATGGCCCTAAGATGCACCACGATCCCCCCCAAGCGCCTCACCGCCCCCCAGACGCACCGCATGGCTCCAAAAATCAGCGCGGCCCCCAAAACACAGCAAGACCTGAAAACTCAGCACGGCCCCAGCCCCACGGACACAGCGCGGCCCCATAACTCCAAGGGGGCACCGCAGTCCCCTCGAAGCACCCCACGACGGACCCCCCCGGCACCACCTGACCCCAAGACCACGCGCAACCCCTAAGACGTAGCACGACCCCAAAACACAACACGTCCCCCCCACACAACGCAGCCCCCTAGAAACAACACGACCCGAAGCCGAAGGGGCACCACGATCCCCCAATACCACCCCACGACCCCAAAGACGCCGCATAACAACGACAAGCCCGAAAACTCAAGAGAGCCCCAAAAACGCAGCACGACCCCCGGGCGCAAGGTGGACCCCAAAACAAAACACGACCACTAAGACACACCATGCCCTCCAAAACACAGCACAGACCCAACAAGGCGCAGCAATGCACCCCCGGCACAACATGGAGATGGACCCCAAAACACAGCAAGACCCCGAAAAGCACGATACCACCGCCCCGAACACGCCACAACGACGACCAAGACACACCACGACCCCCCAAACACACCGCGACCACCATAACACAGCATGACCCCCAGGCAAAAGCAAGCCATGCTAATGCCTCACATGTTGACCACCAAAGCGCAGCCGCATGGCCACCAAAACGCAGCACGATCACAAAAGCAAAGCGCCCCGCCTACTATGACTCACCATTACCCCAACGACACACCATGACCCCCTCAAATCTCACTGACTGCGACCACGCAGACGCAACACGTGACTACCTGGAGAAAATAAAAGTATGACCCCGAAGGGAAAGCCCGGCCCCTATCCTAAGTGAAGCCACCACATGACCACCCCCAAAAAACAGCACGGCCCCCTAGAAACAACATCACCCCCCTAACACCACGGACCCCCAAGCACACTACGGCCACCCTGGCACCACACGGCCCCCCGAACTCACTGCACAACAAAGCCCCCCAACCGCGGCCCCCCAGCGCAACACCATCCGGGACACAAAGAAAGTGACCCCCGAGACGCAGACACCACGACCCCCCAGCGCACCACCATCCCCCGCAGCATGGCCCGACCACCTGCCGAAGCCGAACATCAACATATCTACTTACACGACCCCAAAGATGTCACGTCATGGCCCCCAAAACAGAGCACGGCCCCTAGACACCGCATGACCCCCCCCAGCCGTGCAGCTAGCACGACCGCCAAGACCCTCGACGGCCCCCAGGGCACGACGTGACCCTTGAAACCCACCGCGGCCACGCGCCCACACACAGCGGCCCCAAACGGTGAAACTGAAAGAAAGCGTAACCCAGCCCCCGAACACGCCACGACGACCCCCCAGGCACGCCACAATTCCCCAGACACCTCACGACCATTCACCAAACAATAACAAACCCGCAACCGCCTAAACACCACATGGCCCCGAAGTAAAAACGTCCCCCCTCCAAGACACCGCATGGCCCCCCAGAGTCTCAAGCTCAGCATGGTCCCCCAGACACACCACCACGCAGACACCCCCAACACCCCGCGACCACTCCGACACAGCATGACCCGCAAGGAAAAAGCGGCCCGCAAAAAAAAGCTAGCGCTTGAAAAAGCAGCACCGCACTGCCCCCAGGGCCCAACAAGACCCCCCCGGAACAACGTAGCCCCCGCTAAAAAGCGCAGCCCCTCAAGATCGTGGCCGCCCTCTATAGAAGCGCACAAGAAAACCAACCAGAAGCGCGTTGCTTTTCGAGAATCTCATCGCGAGGCAAGGCAAACCCCCACCAGATTCCAAAGCTTCCCGCCCCCTCAGAACCGAAGCCGAACGCCCTTCGCTGGTTGCCGATTGGCTGAAGAAAAGCCCCGACTTTTGAAGGGTTTCCGAGTGAAGTTGAGCGAACACCTGAAAAAGTCGCGGCTTTGTTTGAGACCCAGGAGACCGCGCGCGCGCCTGCTGAATCCATGGCCCTGCGGCTTCGCAGCCGCCCCCCGATAAGTCGACGCGGCGACGAAGCCTCTGGCGCTGGTTGTTGGTCTTGCTTGGTTAAAAAGCCCCGACTTTTGCAAAGTTTTCAAGTTGAACACGTGAAAAGGCCACAGCTTTGGAAGCCAAGGAGACAGCGCGCGCACGCCTGCCACCTCCATGGCCCTGCGGCATCGCAGCCGCACCGCGATAAGCCGACGCGGCGGCGGAGGCTCTTGCCCTGGTTGTTGATTGGTTGAAGAGCCCTGCCCTTTCTTTGAAGGGTTTTCAAGTTAAACACCTGAAGAAGGCGCGGCTTTGGAAGCCAAAGAGACCACGCGCGCGCCTGCTGCCTCCATGGTCCTACGCCTTCGCAGCCGCACCGCGATAAGCCGACGCGGCGCGCAAGGTCTTGCGCTGGTTGTTGATTGGTTGAAAAGCCCCGACCTTTGAAGGGTTTCCAAGCTGCACACTTGAAAAAGCCACGGCCTTGGTAGCCAAGGAGACCGCGCGCGCGAAGTGGGAACGCTGGAGAATTCGGCGGAGCCTCCCTCAGCTCCTCCATTGAAAGTTTGAGATATTTGGCCCCGTGCGCCTCTGAAGAGGGCCTCCTGGAGCATACAGCACGACCCGTCCACACCGCAGACAGCCGCCAAGACACTACGCAACCCCCCAGACACCGCACGACCCCCAAAGCCCCGCCGCGTAAGCGTAACCCCTAAGCGCGGCACAGTCCCGCAAGGCAAGGCCCGACTTCTTAAGCAGCCACAGCCCGAGCCAACCCCTAAGCACTGCGTGGCCCCTCAGGGACAAAATAAACCCCCGAAGGAAGCACCGCACGACCCCTAAAACACAAAGCGACCCCCCAATGCTCTGCGACCCGCCAAGCAAACCACGACCCCCCCACCCCTCAAAACCACATCACCCTCGACATACACCACAACCCCCCTAGAAATGCCACGAACCCCCAAAACACGCAGCACGAACCCCCGCAAACACAGCGCGACCCCAACAAGCGCACCACGATCCCCCCAAACATAGACGCCGCGACCTCTAAACACACCACGCCCCCCCCCGCGCAATAAGACCCCTGCGACGCAGCCTGACAAAACCCCCCAAACACAGCACGAGAAAAACAACCCCCGAAAGCAGCCCAGCCAGGCCCCCCAAACACCGCGCGACCACCCCACCCCAATACAGCACGAGCAAGCCCAAAAGCTACAGCAAAGCCCCACAAACATGCCACGGCCCCCGCAAGATGAAAAGCAACAGAGCCCACCGAACTGGCACGGCGCCGCCACCAAAGTCCCGCGCTTGAGGTGATTCCTCCCATGCAGCTAGACCCCGCAAAAAGCTAAAGGCCCGCGTGGGGCATATTTATCAGCTGTGAGCGTTGCCAGTCCCGCCCTTCCGCGGTTTTCCTCTTAGAGAAACGCCACAAGATCAGCCCCGAGGCTGGAACTATTTGCGGCCCCCTCACGCTGGCGGCTGTGATCGGGCGCGGAGGGCCTGAGGGGGTTGCCAGAGGGTGGGCGCCTAGTTTCTTGGCAAGATTCACCGCCCGCAACCTCCAGCCACACTCCCCTCGAGGGGTGTCCGCGCGGGCGCGGACCTAATCGCACGCCTGCGGCTTTGGCTTCGCACCCGTGTGGCCGGCTCTTACTTTCGCCCGTTTTTCTGCCTCCCTCCGCGCGGCGCCGCGCAGTAATCATTTGGCGAGAGGGGTGCGAAGGTGTTGCCAGCAGGTTGGGCCCCCTCGAGGTTCCTCGCTCGCGACCTCCGGCCACACACTCACAAGGAGGAGCTGCGAGACGCCAATCACACCAATGCGGTGCCGGTCTTTGCGCCGCTTTCTTTGAGGCTTTCAAGCGTTGCCGCTTCCGATCTGGCGAGGAAGGTGGGAAGGGGGTTGACCCCTCTCCTCCCAATAATCCATCCAAAAACCCCTCCCAAATATTTTGGCCATTAAAACTCTTTTAATGTCAAAAATTAGAAATACGAGTAGTGCGGCTCCATAGGCATAGGAGATTCGGTAGACGAGTGTTTGCGGGCGTGAGATGGAGGTGAGCACGTTGTAGAAAAGGATCAACGGGATAATGCTCCACACTGAGTATTCCCTGGCCACCCGTTCACTCTCCACTGATACGTACTCTTGGAAAATAGGCGTGCGGAGCGCCGCTCCTAGCCATTGAGTACCCGTCACCAGCAGGACGACGAACGCGATGCGGCGCAGCGCCCAAATCTTTTGCTCCTCGACCCGAAGAACACTGCCATCACTATTCCGGATGTTCGCCAATCGGTCCTTTGCCATATGCTGAATGAACGGCAGACTCGCACCGACGAGTACGAGGAAGCCCCCCAGAACGGCCACCCACGCCCACGAAGAACAACACCACGCCATCTTGTTCTTCTTAGTTGTGCTTTTCGTGGATATGAAAGCGAAATATCGCTATTATATTTTCAAGACAAGGACTATAAGGCAAACTGATTCATCGCCTTCCTACTTGTTGTTGTTCGCCTTCGCGTGGTACGTTAATATTTTTACCTTTTCAATGACAGACTGCCTCGGTAGGTCGGCGCACGTTACTATTTATTGCCCTAGGTAGAGGTACTCTTAGGTACAATAAATATGAATATGTATTCTCCTAACTACGTCTCTGCCGCGCAGGAGGACGCTTCTTCAATATTTCATAAAAGATGATCGCAAATGTTAACATAATATTTATTGGAGAATGTGAATGTGAACATCCGAGGATATTAAATAACATGATATTACTAAGAAGTGGTTTGCAGCACATCAAAAATTTATTTCAATGGCAACATTAAGAAGACGAGAACTAGTCGTGTGTGAGGTGCTAAAGTTGATGTTGGGGTGATGATTTTTGAAAACAGAGGCAACAATGCGCCGCTTCTCCGAAGTAGCAGAACCGATATAAATCAACCGATTATTCCTTTTAAGTGTGCTTGATGTCGTCATTTCGCTCCACAGCTTCAGAAATGCAAGAAATTCAAATTCTTGCACCAGTATAATTACTCGTTTGTTCCTGTGCATCAAAGAACAATAATAAGGATCTTTTGATTCTCCCTCTTAGTGAAGTGGTCACCGATACAGGACATGACAGTCTGTGATTCAAGTCACCGATGCGAAGAAGGGGACAGGAGAAATTTCGCACGACATCTAAACCATACAGGAATTCCTCTAATGAAAACTTTTGCGAGTATTACAACATGAATAGCAAAAGCAGCAAGAATGATGTCTGTATCTCTCTAAGCCATTGGTCTATACTTGCCTAATGGTGAACACAGCGCGAAAAAGTGTACGCGCTCACTCGCTAGGCGAGCCCGCTGTGGAGACAAGAAGGATAAAAAGCACTGTCAAGTCTTGTCAAGCATATGGCGTTCGCAGTCTTGAAACTTCGTCCACTCTTGGACTCCGACATCCAGCATGTGAGACGAAAAGACTATAATAGATGTCCTAGGGGTAGTGCCTGAGTCATTAGCGAGACACGCGTTCTCGGTTTGTGGTTGCCTACTACCAATTACGCAATGAATTGTTGGCATCTTCGTTAACGCCCGTAGTTTCCGTCTATTTGCTCTAGTGCTAGTGCCCTCTGTTGTACCCCGTGATGCTGTGCTTGCACCACTTGCTGCAGCATTAGCTGTATTGTAACGACCATTCTCGATCCCTCCCTGGTGTGAGAGTTGACCAAGATCATTTGTTGTTATCTCGTCCACTTCAGACCTCGACGTGTGACCCATAGTAGAGTGACCTCCCGCAGGAACGGGCAGCTCATCAAGTTGCCTTAACCGTGTATCAGATACGCAAAGATAGCGAAACGGAGTTGCGGGGTCGTCCTCGTCATTTTCAGCAATCGGATTCGTTTTGACTTTTTCCAAGGCAACGGCTACAAGGCACTGGACATCTGGTAAGCTCTGCGGTCGGAGAGAGTTTTTCTGCGTGTGCTTCATGAGACGACCAGAACCGGAAACGAAGTGATCGCTTTGGTCCTCATCTCTGTTCTTATTGAATGCAGGCACTTTGGTTTCTATATTACCGACAGCGGCGCTGACTGGAGTAGGGTTCGCACCAAATGGGACAGCGCGAGTCATAGCTGCTAGCCCCGCTTGTTGCTCGCGACTTTTTTGAGTCTCAGAACCTTCGACTAAAGGTAGATTGCTGCCACCCTTGTTTTCTGTTGTATCTTCGCGATGCAGTAAGAACGCAGCGGCCGCTTCGCTGGCTCCTTGGTGCTGGTAGTCAGGCTCCGAAAGTCGTAAAACGCGTACTCCGTTGAGTTGATCATGGGCCATCTGTTTTCGATGCTGGGAACCTTGGTTCGCAACGTCTTGTCCTGGCTGTTGATCTGCCCCACCTCGCGCAACATTTTGATCAACTCTCGTTTCGTGTTGATTAGCTCTTGCAGCAGGTTCGGGAATAAATGCGGTCACAAGATCGTTGCCACCTGAAGCTGAGGGAGTCTCCCTTGCGGATATATTTCCTGCGTCATCGCCTTGCGCGGCCGCCAGTCGCCCTGTAACGATGCTTCGATTGGAGGCCCGTTGTCTCGGCTGGAACGAGAAACAGGGGAGGCGCCATACTCTGGAGTGCTGTGCCCGCGTTCCGACCATCCTAGGTGCTCGTCCAGCAGCGCTATTTGCGACTTGTTGATGTCTTCCTGCATGATCATCATCTCCTTTGCGAGCAGGAGGTGCGTGCGTCACGACATGAGCTCCAGTAGACGGCGGCTGCTCCTCGGTGCGTTCCAAGCCGGTGAGCATATTGAGTAACAAGCTGTTGTCACCAGCAGCATTCGCAAGGGTTTGAGGAGGGCTAGCACTAGGACCAAAATGGGCGGCGGCATCTCCCTTCCCATTTCTTGGTGGCGCCACCACTTGCGTCGTGCTTCTTGCAGTTGTCTGTCCACCAAGAATGACTGCGCCGCCGTTGGTCTCCTCTTCGATGCTTTCGACTATAACGAATAACATCCATTCTAAGTCTCCGTTCACACAAACTTGGGCATCAAATAGTTCCTCGAGGAGGAGATCACTGAGAGCAATGCGCAGACGCCGGGATAGAAACTTCCGCGAAACACCATTTGCGTTGGCCGATTGTAAGCGTCGACGGGATGAGCGAGGAGCCCTCATCACTACAGCGGCCGAGCCACTTTCCTTTTTTGGTTCATCCACAAAATTGCGCACACTGTGCTTCTCGTCCTCCGCCACTGCCTGTCCGTCCTCTTTGGAGACTGTTCGACTTGAAAGGCAAGTCGTGGTTTCCTCTGGTGCGTGTGTTCGTCGACCAAGTTTGCCACTGCCCTGGAGGTGTTCATCTTCTACTCGTAGATCATCCCTTGGCGTCACTCCAAGTCTAACATTCGAACTTCCTGCAGCAGACAACTCCTTGTGCCGTATGTCTTCAACCAGCGTGTTGGTAATGCGACATCGATGCGCTTCTTGGCCACCTGTGACCGCGACCGCCAGTTCCCCAGCGACGCGCAAACAAACCGAACCAGCGCAGTTGAGAAGTCCGAGACCAGCTGCATCCGCGAAATTCTGGAAAACAAAGAGCTGCATGCACAATTTCACAGGATCATCCAATTCAAGCACCTCCTCATCTGCTCTCTTGCTGCTCGTATTTGTTGCTGCATAGGCGCTACTTGGTTCTTGTACGTGTTGTAACTGCGAAATCGTTCGATCTCGTCCAATATCAATTGTCAACGCACGTGACGTCGAGCTGTCATGCCCGCCGAGGCCCGCACTAGCGAGTTTTCGCTCGAATCGCAGGAAGCCGCTAGAACGCTCGAAGACATAAACACCAGAGACCGTCATTTTAATTTTGCGGCGCGGATGGGGATGAGCATGAGCTTTAATACAGTAGTATTTCGTCTTCGATAATATTTTTCATTCTTCAACGTTTGTTAACCATCATCGTAGAAGTTCCATCGCATGATCCAAACAATTATCAATGAGCACTAGCATACTCATGTACTTCAAAGAACTCGACTTGGTAACGTCGCATACATAAGCATCTCCAAGAACAAAGATGGACTAGATACTCCCAGATGGTGCAGTGTACTACATACTATAATAGTAGCGATGAGCATATCAATAGTCACCTTTTTGCGGTTAAAGTTATTCTCTCTTCTTATATCCTCCGCTCCATTTTTTTCGTTAACACGAAGAATTACCTGCGCGCTTCATTCAAGATGCTGAACTTTTTTTTGTTCGATTCAATGTTCATTTAAAAGATTTGCGGGTAGTCCTTATGGTCAAGAAGCCTGAAGCCAGCGGCTTTTATCTACTAAAAATTCACCTTACTTCATTTAAAAGCCACTACAGACATCTTTGCTCCGGAAAATATCTCTCGACTGGTTCCCCTCCACTATGGATACATCTGTACGTTCCACGAGCATGCTGACGATGCTCGCTCGTCGATCTGCCTCCAGTGTTATTTCACCTTCTGCGTCGTCCTCAGATTTATCGTGTCAGTTATCGCGTCGTGAGAAAAGAAAATGGCACGAAGACAGACTACAGACCGTCCTCGAAATAGCATCATACGACTGCCCTCACTGCAATAATTTTCCAAGGGTTTTTCTCTCTGCGTGTGCCTAGCACGCGGTAGGGTCAGCAGTCCAACAACATGCGGGTACGGCCAGTTTAAACATCATTTCAAGAAGATAAAGATTATCACTAGGAAAAGCATGAACGAAAATATCTGATAACATCACGTTTGCGCCGCATGTATGGGATGATCCTCAACATGTTCTTGACAGTTGTCTCACACTTAGACTAAATAATAAGAAAGAAGAGTAAGATAATGATGACCATCATTGTGAGTCGTGCTTCGATTTTTGTCATGTAGTGCGATCAACATCATCAATCCATATTGGACAAGGTCAAGCGTGTCATCTCCTCCAAGAAGAGACGCCACCCTTATTCATTGGTTATTGCCTCCAACGAAACAGTTCGATATTCTATTATGATCAAGTAGAGGCGGAAGAACGAACAAAATACCTCATGTGATTGCAGCACGTCGCGAATATGATTCATACCCGACTGATTACAACAAGCATAGAATGACGAGACAGAATCATTTAAGAAACGAAAAGATATAAATTTTCTCATTAATCATTATTAAGTAAAAAGCTGTAGAACAAGCAGAATTTTATTGGAGTTAATTTCAGTCACCTCACATAAAAGTGGTTGTTTTGCGATCTTTCCAACACATCTCATGCGGAGGGTAGTTTCCATGCACGCTTCTAGGTAGTCCGCATCAGCTCGATCGAAATCCTTTCAACCCGCCATCAAACAACTCGGTGGAAGCTGTGATTTTATTTTAGTACTATCTCACATTCCTCCATCTTCAACAGCTGCAAGTAAATACGTACCACTACAAACTCCTGGTGCTTCTCCTAGACAAGGTACTCCTCTTCCCGTCTTGTAGAGGTGAGTACCTCCGTTGACCTCGGTCCAAACCATTGTGGGTTCCTTCTAGTCACGGAGAGTACATGATTTTGAATCTGTCAATCTCCATCGTTAACTGCTCCCTTTGCCTGTATTGATGCACAGCACAGATGAACACCACGGATGGTCACGCTCCTTGTGATCAAGTACTTTTGTGTTTGTCATTGTGTTGCAACATCTTGTTACAAATAAATTCCTTGCAGGGAGGACTGCTCGGACTATCACTATCTATGATCATGTTGATCCTCGGTCCTGCGTACCGACACAAAAACACGAAAGTCGTAGAAGAAAATGGCCTAGGTTTTGGTTTGTAGGTTAGGTCCCGAACGCATGAGAATGATGACCTAGCATCTGGGAAAGCGGAAGGTTTACATGTCGAAACAAAGATTGATTGATTTTTGTGGTTGAAGAGTAGGACCAACAGGCGAATCCGAATGGTAGAAAAGTAAACTCAACTGGGGTCAATGTTGATGCTCTGTCGACAAACGACAAGCAAGGCTTGCGTAATCATCGACACGGTCATGTTGCATGTGCGTGCTATGTCTTCCCCTACACAGATGTAACTGGAGATCCTGCACGACAAGGGTGGCGATTACTCGGCATGTGGGTGAGCAGAAAGATTTGTATTTTATTCATCTCCCATAAACCAGCATGTTATTCCACCATAGTATCTATCATCCAGCATGGTATCTACCATGAGGACGTCGACGAGGAGTAGCGCCGTAGCAGGATGTTGGATAACATTTGAACAACACCAGGGACATCTTGTTCGTTAACATTTGAACAACACCAAGAACTGCATCTGTAGTATGCATAAGTGTGGGACACGCAGTAGCTTGTCGCTCCTCTAGCACTGAGCCTCGTGGTCACTGCCTTTGTGCATGATCAAGGAAATGGTCGTGTACTAAAAAAGTCTAATATACCACGACTACGACGGCAATACTAGCCGACCAATTACCAAATCGGTATTGATAACAACAACTCATGTCATGACTCGCACAAGGGCATGATGCTACCGCAGCCGCTCATCGATAACTACATCAGCAACCGACCTCACCAGATGAAAGTACAACTTTTTCCCGTTCTATGAATCTCAATTGTCAATATCATTATCAAGGAGACTACAAAACTAAAACTCTCATATCTATGGATTACTCATCTTTTCCCTGCCTGTGCCTTCACAATAATCGCGCCGAAGGAATGAATTAAACTTAAAACATTTTTTTCCATATCTATGTAGCATTAAAGTTTCATCTATCAAGACAATAAAGCATGATCTACTTCCAAGAATCTTTTACATTCTCTTTCGTGGCTTGGTTATGCTCAACGTCATCATTCAGATTCACCTCAGTACGAGTCTGACCTTACACAGTAGCTGATCTGGAGATAGGGCATGTCGCGGAAGATCGATGCATTAGTAAGGGGTTCCGCGCGGTACTCAACACGGGGCACGACATTAACGGCTTTGGAACGACTCCTGTGGATAAACCAATTTATCAACAAAAAAATGTAAATGATATATAAGATTATAATTAAAAACATTGCCGTTCCGCCTGAATAGAGAACCAAATTGTTCAAGCAATCTCTTTGTTGTTTAACATTTTTTTCACTCCATCTGTTGTAAGATTTGTGCTAGTTGTTGATTGATTCTAAAAATCTAAGTGGATTGGGTCTGAAAAATGAGCTAATTTGTGACGACGATTAAACAGAGTATGAGTAAGGAGATTGAGATCTTGAGCTTGTTAGTGACTACGAAAATAAGGGACTTTTTTTAGGAAGAAGAGAGAGGAACAGTCACTCGAAGTAGTAATATGAAGATGGTAACCAAGAAAACACGAAGTATGTCTGATATTCCTGGCATTTTTGAGCCTTGCCTAGCATTCTCCTCGTCAGTCTATCCTGAAAGAGTTAAGCTACCTCTTTTCATAATCGCCTTTGCCTGTTGCAAACGAGAAGGTCGTCAGCATCATGACGGTTTAGGCTTTCCGACGCCCTTCACGCACAAGCATGCAGCACGCCATCATTTCTACAACTGAGGTTTACGGAGATGACAGGCAGAGGCACCACAGCAACAGAGGTGAGACATGCTGTTCTATGATGAAAGCCGTCCGCTTGTTTTCATCTTCATGTTGTCAACATGATTTTCTTTTAGTGAAGAGGACTAGTATACGACTTCTGAGAGAGTGAGGACCGAATTTAGGAGATGGATCTATATTTAAGAATATCTATACGGGGCATCGGGAGCGGGATGAAGACAGTAAAAACAAGAAAACTTTTTCCATTTTCAATCATTTTTTTTGATGTACAACAAAGACCTTCATGACTATGTACGACTGCTATGGACTTACAGCGCTAGAAAAATTTACAACACGAAACTCGTCGAAGCGACATATTTATATCAACAACAGATAACGATCATCGTTCTTTGCAGGCGTCGTCTGCGCGATTGTCACTACCGACCTCCAGGCGAAACTTTTTACGCGACGGTGGTGTCGTCTGATGAGGATAGTGTGTGTTAGTTGCAGTTGTAGTTGCTGAGAAATAAAGTGTCGTAAAAATGCAAGCACAAGGAAATAAGTAAATCGCAACGATTACTGATGATTTTTTCTGATAAGGAATTTTTTGCGACATGAACAACAGCAAGAGCTTCATCCTCATGAAAATGAAATGACTCAGTATCGCGAGAACATGGTCTCCAATGATTTGTAGATCATAAAAAAATCTGTTCACGTCAGTTAGAGTGAGTACTGTTGCCTTGCGTTCCCGCCAGTTGCGCTTGTTGCTGCTGTTGTTGCTGCTGCTGCTGGGTTCGATAGTTCAGCACGGTCCAGTCGAAGATGAAGTCATACTGAATCTGCTCCCGGCAGAAGAGATCTGTGATTGCAGATGGAAAAACGAAAAAAGAGTTAAGAATGGTATGAGTGGAATGTCGTTTGATGTGAAAAGCGTCAATAATGCAAATGTTGACTTGCATATTATATCCTTGTCTGAAGCTCTTCTTCTATTTCATGACCTCATCGGTCATGTTGGGGTAGCTCAGTATATATTGTAAGGTTGTAACCCAGATATAAAGATGCCAGTACCACGCAAAGCACTAGTACATGGGCCCCATGGGGATGGGGAGAACATAATTAATATTGAGTTGTACCCTTCATGAGTCTGCGAAGATAGGCGTAATCTGGGCGGTCCTCAAATCGCAGGCCTCGGCAATAGCCGAGATAAGTGATAAATTCAGACGGGAAGTGCTTGCACAGGGTTTCGATTGGGGTTGCCATCTTCTTTTCCATGATTTTCTCATATTTCTCCTTCTTTCCGACGGCTCGCAATCCTGAATATTGAAATTGATGTTAAGGTAGATAAATATTAGCTGAAGTAGCAAGTGGAGGTTGAGTACAAAACATAGTAAGTAGATCGGCTCGTCGGGTTGATGAAGGCGGTCCCATAAAATTGTACAACTTGGGAGACTTAGAGCAGAAGTAAAAATGAACGATCATCAACTACATCAAAACGTACCAATACTGGAACAAGTTCATAAGTTGCAGTTACCTTGCCACGGCAGCGATCCTCTATTGAAGTACATAAGAACGTAACCAACCGCTTCAAGATCATCGCGCCGAGACTGCTCGATTCCGAGATGCGTATTGATACTCGCGTAACGTGCTGTACCGGTTAGATTTTTGTTTTCACGGTATGGAATATGCTGCTGGCTCTTAGGGTCGCGGTACTTCTTCGCCAATCCAAAATCGATGATATGAACCATGTTCGCTTTTTTACCTGGTTGGATTCTTTTTTTTGAATTGATCACGATCACGATCAGTGTGTTCGAAGTAAAACTACTTCTAGTCCGACAAATTTGATTTCCTTTCGAGTGGTACCCTAGAAATTATGAGAAAGTAACTTCTTCTGCTAAATCATGGAAAGGAGTACCTAGACCGATGAGAAAGTTGTCGGGTTTGATATCTCGGTGCAGGAAGTTCTTCGTGTGCATGTATTCCACTCTATTGATCATTTGATCCGCCAACATTACCTGATAGAATTGATGATTTGGCTGGCAGTGGCAAGAAGATCACCACAGGCGGCAAAACGAGATGTACAACTGCCGTGAACAAACCACAGTCGAAGATGGCTACCAAAAATCATCTATTGCTTGTATTTTTTCTTTTGGTTACCAGCATAATCCAGATGAAGAAGATGCCGAAGTACTCGTTTGCACCTTCTACTGCAGCTGTAGTAAAAGTAAAACGAAATTTGTGGTAATAGACTGATAAATATTTAAGTACATACAAATCTTCCTTCGGTATAGGTAAGTACCACTGTCTTAAGTGAAAACTTTCGTCCACAGAAGGAAAAGAGGTCCTCCAAACTGGGTCCCAACAAATCCACTACCATGACATTGTAGTCACCTTCCACGCCGTACCTGAGGTGCGCAAGTTGGAAATGACGATATTTTCCATCCATTGACATGGTGTAGAGGCTGCTGACAGAAATTGAAATAATGAGTAGGGCTAGCTGCATATTAAAAACTACAACTAAGCTTTGAGTAGTACTCAGTGGTACTTACGAACAATTAAGAAAAAGAACCTACTAGAAGTGAGCCTTGAATAAATACCAGTGCAGGTTGGGGATGCCAACGCCGCCGGCGAGAATCTTGTAAAGTTTGGATTCATACAAGAGTTGCGGGTGTCGTGACTTTATGCTTTCTAGCTTGATTGCGACCTCTTCACCAGTTTGGATATCAGCTCCGAGATAGATATCACCAAAACTTCCGCTGCCGATTTTGTGTCGCAGACGATACTTATTACCTGATTTTAATTTTTACGCTTACAAAAAAATATGGTAAAGGAACATGATCACGAGCTCCACCTCGCGAAAGAGAAAATAAATTACAACAAAGGTTCGACTTTTGAATTTTTTAGCGCTTACCTACTCGCAGCTCCATGTTCATGTTTTCGCGGCTTGAGCCGCTTGCCCGGTAGCTCGTGTCGTTCATTCTGGTGCTTGAGGGTTGTCACAAGACCCCAGTCACAAATTTGTTGTCAGCCGCTACAACAGTTGTTGAAGAAGCAGGATTTCGTGAGTATGCGATTCGTAGATCGATTTTTCTCTCGACTTCTACTTTTGTGTCGTCGCAGATTAGGTTCTTGTCGCCTCGAAGAAAGACAGCCTAGGTCATCTGAAGTCGCGGCACCGCGGCTGTGCTATCAGACGTCGGTCCGGACTGCTTCGCCAGTCTACCTTTTATAGAAGACCGCAAAATTTCTGGACAGATGATACGACATAGTTTTCCATGACAATAAACACTCCTTCTTATTCGAAATCCAGCTAAGAGCTACTTAATCACCTGTCAAAATCAATATGTTTATTTTAACCTCAATCTCAAAGTACGTTCAAAATATGAATTCTGATCACACTTCTTGTTCGTGAAACGCAATTCTCGTCTAAGAACAAATTTTCAACGTTGAGAGCTTCCTCATCAATCTAAATCACCAAAAAACTCCTGCAGCTCCACGATATTGGTTCATTTGATATTGATAATCATCCTTGTACTAAAGAACATAAAAAGTTGTAAGTTGCTATTTGTACTAGTTCTTGCTGCAACTACAACTATGTTAGAAATGCTTAAAGTGCAGGCAAAAGAACAATGGGGCTCCAATCATCCAGTTCCAACATCATGATGATTGATTTTGATCCCTATATATAAAAAATACAAGAAGCGTAACCGATTCATTGAGAAAGTCAAAACTCTACCTAGCCGGCCCTAGGTAATTAGTCAATATCCAGAAAAGGGGCCTCTAACTTTCAAATTTTCTCCAATTTCATCGATTTCTTCAACGATAGTTTCATGTTTATCATCTGGTGCGATGCGCTCCCTGCTGATTGAATCCTCGCCATCATGCCTTTGCGCAGTAGCTGAAGATTATGTGATTTCAATTCAGGTGCACTGCGGTCAAGATTTTCATTATGGATCAACACGACCTCGGGATATATTGCACCTTAGATGAAAGATTGAATTTGAACCGTACTGATTTCGCTTGCATTGAAGGATTTGCTCCGTCAACGGTGGAACAACATCGTTCTTGTTAAGAACGACAGTGTGCGTTTCGTCGTTGAATTCTATGTTTGCCGTGGTTACTTTTGTTGTTGCCAAGACATTCTTCATTTTTGGATTAAAAATTTCTTCATTCTATTTTTCGCGCGATTCTCAACACAGCTGGACCAACACTGCAACACCGCTGCCTTTCTACTACACACTGCCAAACCTCCAACGCGAATTATCGAATGGATCTCTTCATGCTCCTGAATGATCTGTGAAAAAACAAGGAGCACGAAGTACAACAACAGATCGAGCGAATTCAAAGTAGAACCAAATATCTATAGAAGTAGAATAGGGAACAATCTTGGAAACAAAGCAGCTAGAAGAGGCAGAGCAGATGTAGAAGCCCCAATCTCTATCCTAGAAGATCGAGTAGATCCGCATCTTCTTGGCTGACACCAGTCTTTGGACCAGCATCCGAATGATCTAAATCTTTTCGAATGGTGTCCATGCTTCCTTGATATCCAACATTCGCATGTTTCAAAACAGCCGGTTTGTGTTTCGTAGCCTCTGCGTTCCGTTGCAAGGTACCTGAGTGCAGAAAGGTCGAACAAGACCGTGTCGTTCTCCATCTAGTCTATCGTGCTCAACAGAGAAAGAGATCAAAGAATCAAAATCATTATTTGAACTCAGTTTTGAGCAAACGATATTGACACATACTTACAAGTTTTGCAATATATTAAAAGTTTTGCATGAACGTCTTCAGATTCAGTGGCTTAATAGAAGCTGCAGAGGATTCAGTGTGATGTTGATCATCTTCATTCTTTTCATACCGGATGAGTTTTCCATGTCGAACATTTTTTCGCCGGAGAACAGGTTGTTGAAATGGAACACATCGCTTGCTTCGACTTTTTGAGGCTGCAGAAGGCCTGCTAACGTATTTAGCTGGTCCACCGCGACGTGCTTTCTATCCTCATTGCTCTCTGGTCCGCTCATCGCTGCACTTCCACTGTCTGTGTGATGTGGAAATCGAAGAATCGAAAAGGATTGACACCCTATCTCTCTCATTTACTATTTTTACATTGATGATGGAAATAAAAGTTATTGTGAGTTCTTTGTCGAGTAGCCTCGGCAAATTCCTTTCTTTGTCCACTAGTGGAAGATGTGGAACATCAACATAGAAGAAACCTCGTATTAATTTGCAAAAAGATTTTACTGGCAGTGTTTGCGCCGCCTGGTTCGGTCGTTGACTTCGACTTTGCATAAAGGTTTGTGCCAAGAAGACTCCAGTAGCAAGACCCACCGGGGTTCACGCGCGCTATTCTATCAGGGTTGACTTGAAAAACATCGCCTGTGCTTGCCATTCCAGTTAGAATATCCTGCCTTAAATCTTGCTGCAAATACGTCACCGTGCCTAGAGACGAGATGATAGAGAACAATGGGAAAAAACTTTGGAAATAAACATGTTGAAAGGTGTCTGCGTCAAGCAGTCGGCTGACTGCGAGGGCGAAAGGAAGTCGCTGTAGCTCGTTGGTCTCGCTCTCGCCCAGGTGTGTCATTCTCGTTGGATTTTCGACATGACATAACCAACGCGCGCCCCGGGCTCTCTCACAATATAGCTAGTTACTACATATCGCGAAAACCTTGGGGCTTCTTTACCATGCTTTAGCCGCTCACGTTTTTGTTCCACCTTGCTGTCCCCATGTCTTTTTTTGCCTTCGCCTTCCTTACCTCCACCTCCTTGCCGACACCCTTTTGGCCTCACATCCCTGAGTCCACGGCCTCCACTCCACACCCTTGCATTCGCATCCTTGCCTCCGCCACCTCCTTGCCCTTATCTTTTTGCCTCCACTATGTTTTTGACATTTTCTACTTGTTAGAATTAACCTCTTCTGGTTAAAATTGCACACTTTTTATGTAAAACTGCGCGCATTCTAGTGAAAACTCAGCACGTTCTAGTTGAAATTCGACGCATTCTACTAGTTAAAGTCCGACACTTGCTAGTTAAAGCCCGACACTTTCTACTTCTAGTGAAAGTTGAGCGCTTTTTAGTTAAAATGCAATACTTGCAAGTTAACCTTTGGCGTGTTCTAGTTAAAGTTGAACACTTTCTAGTTAAAATTAAACGCTTTCTAGTTAAAAATTAGACACTTACTGAAAAAGACTCGACACGTTCTAGCTAAAGTTCGACACTAACTAGCTAAGGTTAGACACTTACTAGCTATAACTAATACTAAGCGCTTTCTTGTTATATTTTGACACTTTCCAGGTAAAGGTATACACTTTGAAGTTGTGTTTTGTGTTTTTGGTATGATTTTGATGAGGAAGCACGGTTTTCGTTTTTCATTCTTATTTTCTATGTATAATAAATATGTAATTTGTGACATGAGCAACCTACAAGCTTTACTTAGTGTGAGTATTTGTAGTTGTAGCTCGCCTATCGATCTCCGTCTATGGAATGGAATTTCGCCCTGAGCAGTATTTCGAAACTGTCGACGGGACGATTTAATACAGTACTTCACTCCCGAAGAAGGGCACCACATTAATTTGGTTAGAGGAGTTCTCTACTGAATGAAACGTCTTCCCGAGGGGACGAAGCATTCGATGCGGGACGCGAGCGGTATCTTATTAATCGATATCAGGCCACACGTCCGGGCATTCATTGCGACCTAGGATACAAGCCTAGACAGCGCTGCTTTCACAGCTGTTGTGCCAATGGCATCTTTTTGGTCGAGAACGATCGCGCACCTTGAATCAGCAAGCTTCACGAATGGCTCAGCTGATCACTGTTGGGCTATTTTTCGTCTCTTATGGGAGTTTCTTTCGATTTTCGCGAACGATCGAGTGCCTTGAATCAGCAAGCTTCACGCATGGCCCAGCTGATCACTGTTGGACTCTCTCGTTTGCAAACCAAAATACTTCTCCCTTGTTTCTGCCGTTGTCTTCGGGATTCCTGACGTTTTCGCGTGTTATTACCGTTGACTCGGGTTTCTAGCGTTGTCTCGCGTTTTCTGTTGCATCATGCGCGCAGACAGTGAGTGTGAGTCGCTGTTTTCATTTGATATCTGGCATGTGTTTAGTGCAGTGGCGTGGTTTGTTTGTTTTTTTTTTTTTCTTTTTTTTTTATCTTAGCGTCTTATTGGAGGTAACTTGTAACAGTCAACTTTTATTATGTTGTTCCTATGTTGTTAGCCTATTTGCTTTTCGTTAAATGATTGAACTTGAGTCTGGGCTTGTTGTCTTACTGTTTCTATTGTGTCTAAATTTATCTGTCTTTTGATCTATGGATGTTTTGTATTTAATTCATTTCATACTTTTTATTTTCCTCATGTAGTGGTAGAAATAATCCTCCTGCACTTTGTTCAACTTTCTCTTCCTCAGCTTTTTCGTACTCGTCCAGGACTTTCTTTATTTGTCCCCGAATTTTTGCAGGTGTGACTTTTTCGCCTCGCATTTGGTCGATGCACGATTTTAATGCTGCCGGAAGTGACCCGCAATGTTTCTTGATCTTGAGAGGAGGCTCATCCGTCCATAACCAAATATCGTCCTGCAGCTCCACAGTGATGGCCTCGACATTTCCACTGTGCGTTCGTGTCTGTGGCAGATCTTGCATCCATCTGGAGGCAGCAGAGTGAAAAAGGTGCGCAGTCACGGTTAGCGCCGCGATTGACAGGTCAGTGTTAATCATTGCACGTTTATGAATGTTGTCCACTATGTTGAAGACTGCAATCTGCGTCGATGGCGCGAGCTGTGCGGCATGCATTAGGGTGCTTATTGCAGCAGCACGCAGGTGCATTTGTCGGCGCGTCCTGAGTGTCCAAACCTGTCTGCCGTATTCTATTTAGCAACGTGCGGCATTCGTAGTAGGATTTTATGCGATAAACGCCATGCCCTCATAGTATCTTTTACCGCGACCCATACAATATCTGCGACACGATCTAGCCATACTGCCCACGCAACTTCGTTTGCTGCAAGGACCGTTAGCGTATCACGCGGCTTCCGATCGAGAATCAGAGCACTTTCACGGATGTAGTGCGTCGGCAGCCGCGGCCCGTAGATCGGAGGAGATTTCGGAATCTTCTCGATAACGTGCTTGCGATTTCGTAATATCTGGAGTGCCTCGGCATCCATCAGCTCTATCTCCGTCTCGTCGATAGTTTGACTGAAAACTAGTCGAAGCTCTTCGCGTGATGATGTGGCAGCAGCAAACTTGATTGTCTGCCGACGTAAAATAGCGCGACTCTGCGCTATCGGGCTGACCCATCCGAAGACTGTCGAGAAGATTAAACCTGACGGCTTTAACTTGCACAACTCCTCGATTCGTAAGAGCATAGCGTCCGAGAGTCCTAGCCCGTGACATAGATACTGCGCGAGCTATTGCGGTCGTAATGGTATTGATGTCGTATGATGTTACCTCGAAAGTGGCCAGGGGTAATAGATGCACTATTTTTGATGTGCTCAGCCATCTTGCAACTAGGAGCAGGCTCTCAATTTCGGTTCCATTCAGGTGTGATTTCGTGAAAAGGCGAAGGAGTCTCTCCATCCATGTTGAAAACGCGCGACCTGAGTGCAGCTAACATCGCTACTTCGAAATCGTCTCGATATGGAATCCCGAAAAGCTGCAACCGGTCCCGGAGCATGGGTTCGCGTCCGTAAACCGCGCCAGCGCTAAGGATTTCCTGCACATGCTCCTGACTTGCCGATGTCCCATCTGCATAGGGGAGAGTGAGGCATTCGCATTTTTCTGTTGCACAGAGCACTGCAGTGGCGCTGAAAGTGCACTGCTTTATCGTCGCGATGCCCTTTACGATTCTCTGCACACGTCTTGCCTCGGCGTCACGTTCTTGGAACAGGAACGCCACTAGTGTGCCATCCACACATACCCACGTCGAATCATTACTGTCTTCTTCGTTATCGTGCGACTCTCTCCGAGTTTTATGGATTTCGTTGAGGCACCGAACACCATCGCGAAAAAGCTCGCCAACTTCGGCTTCTGTGTATTTCTTGGACCAGTCGAATTCTTTGTCCTTCTGTCGCTGGGCCTCTTTGATCGCATCACTGATTTCTGAGTCCAGGCCTTCCTCTTGAATTGAGCCATCAGCATTCTGGACCTTTTGGATGAGCTTTTGTATTATCCGAAGATACGGGACGAGGATGAGTATCCCAGTGATCATGCTATCTTGTTGCCCTTGGAGGCAGCGAGTGTGCGAAGGTAGCTTATACGTCAACTGGTTCAATGTGAACAGGGCCTGTTTTTCAGCCCCGAATGCTAGATGTGCTGCAATTATCTGTGGCGGCGCCCTCAGTCTGCGCATTAATCCCACTACCAGACTGATTTCCAAGAGATTGAACATCTGTCGAGCATCCGCAGAAAGTACTACCGCACTGCATTTATCGCCTCGCGTCATCAGTTTGCGCCGTATTAGAAGCGAAGCTACCGAAAGCGAGATGTCCGCGCGTCCATTCACTGATATTTTGCCGCAAGGGCCATTTCGCTCGGCAAGTTCGCTCCATGTTGTGCCCATGATAGACATGAATGTTCGCACGAAAGGGCAGGACTTGACCACAAAACGCATGTCGCCTGCTTCTCGAGTCACGCTCTTCCTATGCAAAAGAGTTCCCATGGAAATCCGTTCGAGTTCCGTGCAGACGAAGTTGATTACATCATGGTAAGGATTTTGCATCAGTTGACCAAGCAAGTCACTGTAAGCGTCCGCCAGGTACTGGCCCACCCAATCGCCAAGGTCCTTTAGAATCTTGGCTCTGAATCCTGAGGGGCCTTGCAAGTTTTGACTCAATTTCGCCCGTGCGTGCTTGACTTGTGCTGGTTTAATTCGGTAAGTGCACTTGGAAGCCGTGTTTCGTACTTCCTCATAGACTTTCCCGATCTTTGTCTTGTCCCACCGCAAGTTTGTGGCTATTCCCGCCGATTCGAGAATCCAGCTACTTTTTCCGCAGTGGAAGTTTATTGTGGAAGTGAGAAGATCACGCTTGTCTGTCACTGTCACAGCTTGCCCGTCTACTACTACTTCAGACACTTGCCCCACCAGCGCGCCTCTTCCTGCGCCTGACACAAGTTGAGCAGCTTCTTGAAGTGCCCCAGCAGCCAAATGCGCTTTGATTGATTTTGTCCGATCTTGCGCCTGGAGGAAGTTCTGGAGATGAATCGTGGAATTTTCTTCATCAAAGTACTCTAAGGCGTTTGTGACAGGTTCGCTTTTTTTCAAAGTCTTCCTTTTCACAATGTTTTGTTGGATCAGGACATTGTTCACCATTTTAGCCATTTCTCGTATCGGAATCGGTCGCCCCTCTGGTGTGTAGGCTTGGACTTGTAGGCTTTTTGTCGCAAGCAGCACTGCGTCCCTGGCAGGGAGTTGGTTCCTGTTGATCTTTACTGTCGGAAGAAAGCGCTTTTGCAGCTGGAAGAGATCAACCTTCTGCGCCGCCTTTATTGGACATCCTCGCCTTCTTGCCTCGTGACGGTCAGCTCGACTTGCCGGCATGCGGCACTCATTGAATAAGCCTAGCATCTCTTCTCCGTGATCTTTCATCTGCTCCATCGTTATGTATGCTCGTTTGGCGAGTGCTTTCTTTCGATGATTGTGTTTGCCTGGACGGAATTGCTCCTGCATTTTCTGAATTTCTGTTGCGTCCTCGTCTGCTGTCAGCACTAAGATGAGATGACCAAGAAATTTTACATGGTCGGCTTCGTCAGTAGCGTCGTACTTTGCTACCCGGTGCTCTTTGTTGACGTTGTTTGCTCGCCTGTGTGCAGCATCTGCGATTGCCGCATACTTTTCGACCGTAGCGGAGGCAAGATTTGTCTTGAGCGAATCCAACATCGTCCCGCCGGCATCAGTCCAGTGCGTGATCCCTGTGACGATTTCCCGGGCACCTGATTTCAGGCCGAGCTGCTGATTTGGTAACCAGATGCTGCCGTATGCGTCGCGGGGCCACCTCCTACTGTTTTCGAGAGTGCGCCCTGGAGTCCGCGCGTCTAGGTTCAGACCACCAGTCGATATAACGACTTTTGCACCTTTTTCCATTTCCGCGACTTTTGCTTCGATAGTTCTCATTTGGTCGCTGATCCAGCCGCAATCTCTTGCGAAGTTCGAGTTGTTTGGATCTTTCAAGTATGAAGTGCGGCGGAAAGTGTCGCCGATTCGGACTGCACATGTCCACAGCATTCCTTCATCTTTGTCAGCCACTCTAAATACCGAGCCGCAGATCTCGCCGCTCTTGATTTCGTTTGTGAAAATTCCTTCCGCTTCCTGTTCGTCAGCTATGTTTTTGCTTTCCTTGTTGATTGAGACGACGTGCTCGAATGCTTCCCATTCCTCGGGGGGTGGAAGAACTTCGCCTGCTCGAATCACTAGGTAAATCCCTACTGCTGCGCATGTTGAAAAAGGAATGACGGAAGTACTTTTGAGCTTCACTAGTCGGAACTTCTTGAACTTTATTTCTCCCTGTTTTGTTGCTATGAGAAGATTTATAACTTCCTGCAATGCCACAAGTCGGATTGTCGGATGTTGCAAGGTGAGCTTCTCAAGGTACTCTACTGACTTCCGCAGGTGAATGTTGTGAGATATTAAAATCGGCACGAGGGATAAGTCATCCATTAGTAGTAGCTGATTGGTGATCTCATCGTTGGGCGTTTCTTCCGTGATGTCCTCTGCTGTTACCACTGCGACCTCTTCCTTGAGCTTGAGGCAAGCGAAGGAGTCCTTCGCCAGCAGTTTGTTCCTTATTTCTCGCGGCGTAATAGCCAAGTGCTGGATTTGCTCTTGTCTTATCCCATTCTGAAATATTTGAAGAATTCCGTCATCCTCGTCTCCTTTCCTTTTCAGTGCGAGTCTCACTGTTTCCCACCATGGTGGTACTTGATGAATGATTTTCCCACTAGTAACGAGCAGAAAATCTGCTTGATCAGTAACAAAAACCCGGGAGGAGCTGTTGGATTGCACGAATGGCGTCGACCTATCGCGGTACGGAGTTCGGAAGTGTAGTACTGTGTAGCTATTTGCTGGCAACTTGCGGTGTGTGGTCTGTAGATTGTTTTGGCCCTTCTGGATATTCACTGTGTTTCTCCATTCGTCAGCCTTATTTCGGAGTTCGGATCTTGAAGATATTGCTAGAAGTTCAGTGAGTACTCCTAGCGCCGCGCTTGTTGTTTCCTTCGTTGATTGTAGCTGCCACGTTATAGCCCATTATATATATAAACAAAAATAAGATGAATATAATGTACCAGGTGGCAACGTGTTAAATGGCAAGCTCCCTCCGAACGGGACGACTATGGCTCCGTCTGTATTCTGCGTTTGGTTCTGCAGGAAGAGGCTCACTTTGACTCTCCGGTCTTGAAAAAATGTACCGAGCTGCTAAGGATTTAGTCATTGAATCAGAGACTAAAAGTCCAGCAGTAGAAGGTATTTTTCAAAAACAAACAAACACTAGCAGCGTGGGCGTGCGAACAAGACCACAATGCTGAAAAGATCTGAATATCAATTGTACAAGATTATATCCAGTAACCTGTTGTACATCATGTTGAATGATCTAACGAAAAATCTGCGCAAATGCAAATTGATGCTGATGTACCTGCATTCTCAGTTCCCGGTATGCATACATGGACATATGCTCGTATTGCGCTTGAAAGAGGGCCTCTCCCTGCTGCACGAGCGCGAGAAGTTCCGGACTTTCTGCGCATATCCTTTTGCAAGCCGCTATATGGTTCAGCGTGACGTCAACTAGCTCTTCACCGCTGTGGCAGCAGAGAAATTGGTGAAGGATGAAGCATGAACAAGGCTAGAACGGGTGGTGACTACTACTGCTTCAGTATCGGCTATAAGCTTAAAATATGCCCATGTGGTAAAATTCTATCCGAATCTGACAAACATGCTCAAGGGAAAAGCTATGAACGATCTTCCTCATCTTCTAGTCATTTTATTTCTAATAATTAGTATTTCTATTTGATTCCCTTTTCGTTGTATGTGGATCATCTATCAATACTTAGAAATCTTTCAATTTGCCTTTCATACACTTGAATCCCATGGTAATGAGGTCCATCAGCTTGTCCATGCTTGACTCGTTCAGGCGCATGATGCTGCTATGCGCGAGGCGGTCGAAGATTTGTCGGCAACTTGCCATCGTGAAAATGCCCTGCGGCTTGAACAGCTCTTGCAGAAAACGAGGAAAAAACATGCTCTTTATCACGTCGTAGAGTACTTTTCGGCCTTTGGACATTGCGATTTTCTGCGCCTCCAACCGTTGCTCCAAGACTAGATTAGCGCTGGTGCTATATTCCTCGTCTTTGGCCTTCTTGTTTGTGGAACTGCAAGGATGGAAGAAATCAGTAGCAGTAGGACGACGAGGAGGATCACATTACAATCTATATTTACCACATCTTCATGAAACCGAAACGGAAAGAATCACATAAATATGAGAATCTTGCCTGGTTTTGTGGGACCATAATGTAAATCATCTCACCGCCCATGCACAGGATCAGCAAAGGCATCACCTGCAATCCGCCACAAACCGCCAGACGGCTTCCCAGAGCTTGTCCGCCGTTCGCTATCATTTTCGGGCCTGGTCCCAGTCTCCTGCTCGTCAGTGACTCTTGACTATACGTGATTTGAAACGATGAATGAATGCACCAGTTCGGTGGTGTCTTTTCGATGGGGCGTCGCAGGTATTGCTCGGGTAGCACCGTAACTGCCCAACTTGCTATATATTTCCGAAGTAGTAATATACGCCTTGTCACCCGGCCTCTCTCAATGCGTCGACGTCGCTTAAATGTACTACTTCTTAACTACAGAGGACGATGCTCAGTTTCTCAAATAATCCGACAAGGGAAAATTATAAGTAGTTATCAGGCTACTTTCGACACTCTTGTGATGTAGTAGAAATTCCCAGTGATATCATTTCTCGATGGAATAAGGATTGAAGAGGTGACCATTTTTCTAGATAGGTGAGCCTCTCGCGAATAAAGACAGATGAGCCTCTCCTCGCTAATGTAGATAGATGAGCCTCTCCCGAGTACAAATAGATGAGCCTCAGTAGTTGCAATGTCTCTGTGTGGGCTCGGTAAAGGTAATGTCCCACTAGTTTCTATTTCACAGGTAAGAATTTAGTTTCGAATTATGGTACTCTCCCAAATTCGCCTCCTGTGACCCATCGCGCCAGTGCAGATATAAAACACTTTTCAGTAGACGTGAAGTTGTTTCTCGCACTCCGATTCTCCATTGAAGTTAACGGTTGTCCTGTTCTTTGCTCGAGGCACAGGTACGCCTAATACCTTTTGGTACATGCTCGCTCTTACTTTCCTGTCATCGCTCCTCCTCAGGCCCTCTTCATTCTAAATCTATTTTGCTTCAACACACCGCGCACACATTCGTGACGAGTTGACAAGAACACCTGCAGCTCCCTCCGGTGCAAGCTTTGGTAAAAATAGGCTGACTTCAATTTCATCATTCTCCGTGCGGTAAAAAATGCTGTCGCTGGCGCCGTCGGGACCGTCAAATTCTTACTGTTATTCATTTTTTTGAAAACCGGCACGCTCCTGACGATGGATAGCAGCCGAACCATTTTCCATCCTGCTTGAAGGGGAAGGTCGAGGTGCCTGTGGCTTAACCAATGATCGAACGCATAATTTCTGTCGCTGGTTATCGAAAAATATAAACACCATAATAAAAAGCGAATTCACCTTCGTATCAACAAACGAAGAATACACTTCGATCCCCGCACTGCTACTACGGCCTTCGTTCTAGAATAGAAAAAAAGTTTGATGCTTACTTCGACAATTATTTACTTGCTTCTTTCGCTATTAATTCAACACTCGTTGTCTATGTATCTGCATGACTATGTCTCAACATCATCGAAGTACGAATTTCACTGTGCCTGCTTAGATCCACAGACCATAATTTTTGAAAAAAGTAGAAAAATCGGGAGCTACTTTTCAGCTATAATACGCGTGCGCACCAAGTCTAGTAAAAATACTGCTAGATTTTCGTAAAGTAAAGGATTCATTTTCGTGATATCGTGCTGTACTTTTACCGGCGATGTCGTAGATGCCAGCGTCGATGATTTTATCAGACTTTACTATGCTCTATGCATGACAATATGGGTTTTTCAAGAGGATGAAATATTTTAACAACAATTATACTGTTAGTTCTCTAGGAGCCAAGAAAATGCTGAAAATATTTGTAGGCATAGATCGAAACCCATGTGGCCTATGCTTATTGATTATGTGTTAGGAGTGTAATGCGAAATATTAAAAGGATTCATGTATGTAATACGAAATTTAGATTAGCGATCGCCGTGCTTTTCTGAATCATGCGTAGTACCTCGTGAATCATGAATAAAGCTACAAGTAGCAACTCGATGTTTGTTGTATCTATAACATTTTTTGTTTCAAACCCGGTTGCTCTGTGAATCTTTAGTGGTCAGTAGCTTTGGTATCACGGCCCACCTCTAAGCTTTCTTGTATGGCGTTCATGTTGCTGATGTTTCGAGAAATAGCATTGTTGATCTGTGCGTTAGCCAAAGTGGACTGTTTCTTCCGAAATGAGGCTGTGCGGCTTTTGTGTGTCTTGTGCGCCACCTGCGTACTCATGCGCTGTGCGTAAAGTACTTGTTTTTCTGCCGCTAGGCGGTAGAATTTTGCCGAGAATTCGTAGCGCAAGCTATCCGGAAGTACAAGGCTGCCACCGGCCTCGTCGCGCGTCTGCATCGTTTTGTGCCCCTCTCCATCCTGCATGCCCATATTGTTCTCGGCCGCAGCAACCACGTTCAATTCCTCGTCGTCTTCGCTGATCATAATGCCTCTCTTCTCCAGCTCATCCCGCTCTACTTGCCGCAACAAGGCTTTCTTCACCAGACGCTGCAGGCAGTCCTCCGTTTGGTCATACATGTCCTGCCACGCGTCGACCTCGGCGGGACCTTCCGGCAGCCCCGTGATGCGGTCTTTGCGGAGGTGGGACGTCTGCACAGCCACGAGGTCCTCGCAAGTCCAGGTGGTCATTTCGAGCGCCGCTGACAGCTTCAGCACCTTCTGCTCAGCGAACGAGAGACGATCGAAGTGCGTGAACGCGATTCCCAGAATGCCGTCTACTTCAATGTCATGCAAGTTTTGTGACGGCTTCACTAGAATTTTCGGCTCATCTTCAAGCGCGGCATGCTTGTTGTTCTGCACGAAGTTGTTGCGTACGAAGTGGTCAGCCAAAATGTTCAACAGGTACGCGTTTCCCACCGTCATGTCCATGATGTACTCCGTTGTCTCATCGCTCAAGCGCGCGCCACTGCAGTCCTTCTGCGTCCAATACGTGAGGCAATGCTTGAAGTACTCCGCGCTTTTGTGCACATCAAAGTAAGTCATTTCGATCAGTGCTCCAATGCAGAATGCTTTCTCCTTTACGAACTCGAACCACTTCGTCTGCAAAGGGCGGCTGCACATCACGAACACGAGAGCTCCTTGGTTGTTGTCGCCGCCGATGCCCAACATGCCGTCTCCGGCGATACTCTGGTTCGCACGCGCCGAGGGATCGTAGCCGCCGCCGTGGTTGCGCACTTTAGCGCGGCGTTTGCGTTCGAGAATGTACTTCGTGAGGCCGATCGAGAACTCTCCTGTTCGCTTGTCCTGGTCCTCAAAGAAGGCCGCACTACGCTGAAGATGCAGCAGAAGAACGATCTTCCGCCGCTGACTATACGCATCCAGAATACCCAGACACACATCCATCAATCTGGTGTAGAAGTCAGTAAGTTATTACGTGATTGATAGACGATGAGGTTGAGGACGACGACAACAAGGATCAAATTTATCAATCTATTAAATAGAGCAGCCATTCTAAATCATTTTCATCAAAAGAAATATATCTGAAGGAATGCTGTTAGCGACTCTGTGCTGCACTGTCGCTATCCACCCCTTAAGAATCGACGCCATAACCTAAAAAGCAACTATCCCCAAAATTAAGCGACAAGAAAAAGTAAAAAAGACCTATTTCTTTCGGAGTGTCTCAAGTCGCAGTCTGTCTGCGCTTTGACAATGGTATCACCAAACTCCACAGAGCACATAACTTTGGAGAGTAGCGGAAGCCATGTTACGAGTTCTTCATCGATCATTCCGCTGATGATGTCGGTCATGCTGTTGCACCTTTTCCCGGTTTTTTGCTTGATTTCTTCAATCAACACTAAATCTGTACGAATCGCTTCACCCAGCTGGTTGAAAATCGATTGCCAAGGAAGGAACGAAACCTGATGGTTTTTGTGTGGTCATGAGAGTGGAGTGGAGGAGGTCGCTGGTATTTTGATGTTGTTTGAAGAACATAGTAGACACAAATAATGTGGAGTAAAAAACAAGTGGCCGTAGCTACTTGTACTTGCAGCCTACAGGTGGAAAAAACTAAACTTATTTAACTTACTATGTGCTCGTAGCCACATGATGGCGATCGCATTACTTTACCTCGTTTATCATGTTTTTTTAGAAGTTAGCCCCAATCTGATAAATATATGGTAGAGGGCTGCGCGGCACCCTCCCCCTGTGGTATGGTCTAGGGTGGCTCGCGTGCTCTTTTTCCGCGCTGATTTTCGCGGATCCTAGTGGTGGAAGGCGCCAAAAGGGGCCCAAGGGACCTCCTCCGCTCCCTTCCAGCTGCCTGCCGGTGCCCTACGTGCCTTCTATATGCTTCGCCACCGCAGCAGTGCGCCGGGCGTGGAAGGCCTCCGATGGAAGGGAGCGCAGGCGGTCCCTTGTGCCCCTTTTGAAGCCTTCCACCTACGTTGGAGGCCCGTAGGGAACAGCCAGGCAGCTGGAAGGGAGCGGAGGAGGTCCCTTGGCCCCCTTTTGAGGCCTTCCACCCCCGGCAGACGCCTTCAAAAGGGGTCCGGGGCTACCGGTACCCCCCCCTACGCTAGGGGGGGTACCGTAGCCCTGAGCCCTGGATCATAAGCATTAGCAAAAAATATTAGAACAAAAGCAAGCTGCATTACCATATGCGATCGTGTTGGATTGAGCGCGTTTCCTTCTAGGAGGAGAAATGGTGGGTCGTGTCTGGAAAGATGGCGCAGGGGCTCTAGGATTTCGTGTTTCCCTGTACCTGGATCGCCGGTCACGCAGACGACGCCGCCCCCCTGGTCGAGCTGGCTTTCCACAACCTTTTCTAACTGCTGGTATTGTGTTGAGTTGAGCCAGAAGTCAGCACAAGAAGCATTCGGGTTCTTTTGCGACGCGCCGTAAAGCGATTCGTTTGCGCTTGTTTGGGAAAGTCGAGAGGAGCGGCGTTCGCGCACGTGGGTAGCCTGCACAGCTAGTCGCTCCTTGAACAGCCGTCCGGTGGGTTTAAAGACGGGAACTGGATTTGCTTTGCCCTTCATCTTCACAGGGTCCAGCTCCAAAACCTCGAACCGGTTCCTCTGCAGGCAGCGGGCTGTCTCCTCGTCGCACAGAATGCCCATTTCTCCAGCGTTTCCCATCAATCGCGCGGACAGATTGACGACGTCCCCTAGGACCGTGTATTCTTTTCGCCTGCTCGTGCCCAGCACACCGCACCAGACCACACCCGTCGACACGCCCACCTGTCCTTTGCATCCTTCGTCGCTAAGAGTGTCAAGCATCCGCATGGCAGCTAGAGTAGCGCGGACCGGATCGTCGCCGAAGTGGGACAGCGGCTTCAGACCAAAGCAACACAGCAGAAGCATTCCCTTATCGTCAACAACGAACTTATTTACGCTACCCTCCAAAGCATAGCAGGAACGCTGACAGCACGTCATGAGCATCTGTGTCTTCAGGACTCCAGCCTCGGTATTGCAATCAAGCCGATCGCTTGCAATAGAAAGAAAAATAACCGAGATTTTTCGCATTTCTGCGTCCATCCTCTCGTCTGCGAGGATGGCCCGGAATTCGCTCATGGGAATATACCGCGACAACATGCTCACGTCGAAATCCGGGTTAGGCTCGTACCTGAAAAATCATCAAGAATTTCTTGCGAATTGGAGTTAGCTACAGATTTAGAATAGATTGTCGACCTTCGGGGCATGGCCAGATGAAAAACACGAAAGCGAACATAAACGGGGAATATTATCATTAAGATTGGTTACATACTAACTTACTTGTTCTACTTCTTTTTCTTTGTCTTTGAAGATGAACTTTCTGAAGATTATCTTACTTCACCTACGAAGAAATCAGTGCAAAAAATCGAGCTGCAACGGCTACACTAACTATTCAAGTTCGTCGATCCACCAAGTAAAGATAAAGGCTTTGTACGCGTGCTTCGGTCGAAATCTATCCATGTCCGTCATCTTCCCCATGATCATGTAGCCTGGAGTGGAGGTCGCTGCTCGCGGCGCGCTCTCCTTAGCGCCAAGGATCTTGAGACTTTTATCGAACTGCACAAGGAATTCAGGGCTACCGCAGGTTTGCGTTGACACGGCAATAGGCTCAGCGATCGCGATTTGAGGGAACGCCGGACCCGTTGCGCAGTACTCAAATCGACCCAGGACGCCTCCGACTTGCATCAGCGTGCACTCGCCATAACCTACGCCGATGTGGAAGGAAAAGAAGACACCCTCTGCGGGCGTAGGATAGTACGAAAGCTTCTCGTGGATAGTCTGGCAGCAGCACGCGGCCTGGATCGGAGCGTGCAGGGCGCTTTCCTCCGTGTCCGCGGGAAAAAGCACGGTGACTGCATCACCGGAGAACTTGATGATGTCGCCGCCCCATCCGTCCACAATGTCAATCAACTTTCCGAAAAACGTATTCAAGAAGCCTCCCAGTTCTTCCGCACCGCGTGTCTGCTTCGCCAGCTTTTCCGTCATCGCCGTGAAGCCACTCGCGTCGATGAAGACCAGACACGCGCTGCGGGTGTTCACCACCGGATTCATCATCGGCTTGCCTGGCGTCATGTCGATCTGGTTGTTCACGATTCTTCCCTCGTTGATTGCGTCCAAGATTGCGTGCGGAAGAAAGCTCGTGAACTTGAAAATATCTCGCATCGAAGCGGTATTCGGAATTTCGATTTTCGGGATCTTTGTGGCATCCACGCGTCGTTCGGCTGTGAAAATGTACCACTTCCAGTTATCATCGTCGTACTCCGGTGCCGTCCTCTGGTCATCAATATTGTTTTCCCGCTCCTCGATCAGCTCCCGCTCGGCTTTCTGGGCGAGGAACTTCGTCAAAAACTGAATCTGGCTGGAAGCTGCTCCATCGCAAAGTGCGCCCTCCTTAGCTAAAAGCTCTACCGCATCCACTAGGCACCCTGAGACGATACCGCTCCGTAGCAGATAATCCTTCGCAGAAGGCGAGAGCTCTAAACTCTCTGCCATCTGTGCTGCAGCATCTTTGTCCGCGCCCCTCGCCGCTACACCACCGTACGAGAGCATCGGGTTCTTGTTCATCCCGGCAAGATTCGCCTTTCCACTGGCCCGCTCGCTCTTTCCTCCAGCATTTCCTCGATCCTCGGTCAAAGAAACCACTGGTGGCAGCTCTGAGCCGCACAGTCTCAAGAAATTCTCACGGATGCCCTCAATCCACTGTGTGCATTCTTCTGCGTCTCTGGCACGAATCAGGAAGTCCCGCCCTGGCACCACTACAGAGAATTCCCGTTCTGACAGACGCGACACACGCTCAACGTCCTGCAGCTCGATGACACCTTCAGAGTAGTCTAATTGCCGCTCTGACAGCCTGAAGTCCTTCCCGACCCAGCCCAGACCGTCCAACCGACTATACAAAGAGACCATCTTGTTTTGCTTTTTTCTTTTTGTTATTTCAGGTCAAGAAATAGACAAACGAGACTATTGAAAATACGACGAAAATCTTTCGTCCATTTGGATCAAATTATAAGCAACACGAACACTGTAAGTGAATATACCAACCTAGAACAGTGCCAAAAGAAAGTTTAGTGTTGAACTGACTTTTCGCTGGTGTTCATAGCCATAGGATGCAGGTGTTACATATTTGAAAAAGAAAGCTTGGGAAGAAATTTGCTTTGTATCTAACATTAACATGTTTAGGAAAGCTGGTCGGGGAGAGTAGAATTTATTATGATTATGTTTCAGCTTAGATCACAACCACCTCATCTTCACACGCTCACGCAAAAACAAACATATTGATAGAACGAATATGAATATATTAGAAGATACAGAAGTCTGGGCAATGACCTCTTGCCCTCGACGAATCTGACATATACTCGCGACAGAGGCAGATACACTCAAACAGATGATCATAGCACATTGATTGTCGGATATGCAGATTAGGCGCTTTTTAATTGGATCTTCATTCGTAGACCATTCACTCTTGTAGCACTCACAGCTCTTCATCTCTATGAATGATGAATCTAGAGGATTATCTTACGCAACATTCTCGCTATTTACAGATGACTAGATTTGAATCTCGCGGACAGACTGTGCACTTGCTTTTTATCTTGTTCTCTCAGAGACCTGCAAATTGAACTTACATACTCATCATTTATGCGAATCTGGATCTTGTAAATGTGTCTTGCAGCTAACAAATGGCTGCAGGACTTTCTTCATATAATATTGTCAAATTCAGATGTTGTTCTTCTTGACGAACACCCGCGCAAAGACCAACAACGAGAGACCGCGCAATGCTGAACCTGCCATCTTTAGTCTACTTGGTTATACCTGTACGTGGTGCACGTGGGATTCTCTATGTTTGGTATTGATTGACGCAACAATCAGAGTCAGTGTCTCTTTTTGGACCCAAAAACTCACTAAATCAAAATTGGCGCCACCAGAAGACACCAGAAGCTTGTCGGGGCGTCACGGTCACTATCAGTGTCTTTCTAATAAATTCTATTTGACTTTTCTAAGTCACTTTACCGGCGAAGATGATGATTGTACAACTAGTTGTAGTGGACGCGGATCTACAATAGTATGATCTGCACCGTGATATTGTCCATGCTGCATCTTTGTAGGGCGACGTCGATTAGCAAGCGGCCCATAGCTTCTGCCATGGAAGATGCCGACTCATCCGCTACTAGTGTCGGGAATGACTTCGTCATACGCAACCATGCTTCCATTGCGAGATTTACTGCGTCTTGATCGCTGTGGTGGTAATATTAGCATGCTCAACTTGAGGTAACGATATAAAAGCTCTACTGACACCTTGACCTACTTACAGCATTCCAGGTAGAGATAGCAACAATGATTGACGAAGAACATCAGCAACAGGTTGAGGAAAAAGGGAGTGATCATGACAGTCAGATGATGCACATGAGTTGTGCTAAGATGATCATTATCCTAAGATCATTTTTGGCAAATTCTTTGCCTAGGGATGAATTCTCTCTTATATCTTTTATCCATGCGTGGTTTGTACACAATTAAATAGGGGAATATATTAAGTCATAACAAATGAACTGATACGATTACGACTTGTACTTCTTCCCTATGTTCTGGTCGTTAATTCAGTGAGAGCGTCTAGTAAGTAGGCGTATCGTCAACAAAACACTGTTGATCTTGATGTTCATGTTACTACCCAGATCTGGGTACCTCACAACATCGAAGAGGCCGTCGCATGCCACGATGATAAAGGCATTCTCAGTTTGATCGAAGGGCAGGGGCACACGGGTTACCGATGGCACGGACAAGACAATAGCGTTCGCCTGCTCGAAACAATCGGCCATGCTTGATGTAGCCCCTCCTGCAGTCCTAAGCTCGTCTGCCTCTAGTGACTGCTTACAACTCGTCAAAGCCGTCGCACCATTATCTACTGAGTAGGGTTCGTCCTCCCGTACAACTTTCGTCGATTTTCGAGAAAGGGAGGGCTCCTTCAATGCGTAGTTCCCGAATGCTCTAGTGACAGTTAGAGAGTCATTCACGCGACCCCGTTGAATCGTTCCTCCACGGACCCGTATCCCTTGCGCCCCTGCTGCATCGCTGGCGCAATGATCTGACAAGCTTGTAAGCCGTATTGCCATACCCTGGTGTCACAGCACCACACGAGTGTCTCCGAGGTGTGCTGCAAAACCGAAACGGATCAAATCGCACTTGGGCCGCATCGTGCGAGTGCTTTCGCTTTCAGGAACCAAATTAAAGTTGAGATATTCAAAACGTGTGAATGTGTCGATGCATCATTTGCTGACGACCCCACTCCTGTTTGTTCTCTTTAGCACTATCAATCTCTAATCTATGGCATAAACATCGAGTTTCACATCGCCTCCAGCCTGCGCTGGTGAATGCTGCGCATAATGTGGAGATAACGGCTGCTGGGAAGGCAGGTCCAAGAAAAGTACGAGTCCGCACGTACTAGCAGCACCAGGTACATGAAAGTCACAAATCCCCTTGTCGCAGACTTGAAATGCACGACCTAGTGACTCTGCTACGAGCTCTTGACTTCGCTGCAGAGCTAAACTCCTGGAAGCCTCTGAACCTCGGGGGGAGCTTGATGACGTAGATTGCTGTCGATCGCCTGCAGAGATGACATCATGGTGGACTCTTCTTTCATGCTCCACGCCGCTCAAAATCCCACGATACACTTCATGCAGTTCTGCGTTAATGTATGGCATCAACTTTGCCTACACATACTCGGCACACGCCGTTCCCCTCTGACCATCCACGACAAAACCACAACAGCTTGCAGGAATAAGTGGGGGTGTCGATGACGTGCCTTTTACTTCCATATCATCTAGCAAGTGATCCTGGAGACACCACCCGTCCTCCATCTCCGCACGCCTACCTCGATCGCATGCGACGTCGACAGCTTTTACGTGCTGCAGACCGTGGAGAGCCCATGTCCGCGGGTGGGATCCGGACGCCTTCGTCATATTGATCGACAACCTCCAAGTCTAATCTACGGTGACAGAGTAATGCCATGATCTTCTTCGAGTGGTGCTTTTTGTTGGCAGTGGCCTGGACGAGGGCGCACACGGAATAATGCAGCAAATCGAAATAGTGATTAAGATTGTTCATCTCGGATTAGTTATCAGGGACAAGGAGCACCATATATAACCCTTCTTATGCGGACTTTGACCTTTTTAGCAGAAGGGTCTGTAAGTCGTTTTAGTTTTGGATGATTTTTCTCGGGCAGGAAACACTAGGAGCAGAGACAGTATCATGTTGGCAGTTACACACGGCGCAGCAGCAGCAGACGACGGTGTAGGTGTATAAGCGTTAAATGTAAACAGACGAAAGACAACACCTCAAGTCCTGTGGGGAGTTATCTCGGCGTTAAATGAAATACAAGCATCTCGAGGTCATTGTCGAGCGGCAAAAAGCGGAAGCAAAACTCTTCACAGAAACAAGAAATGTTTCGTTCAAAAAAACAGTCGAAGTTGTTCTTTTAGAAGAGCGTCTACTCCCATTCAATCGTGGCAGGTGGCTTCGAGCTGCAGTCATAGCACACACGATTGACTCCCCTGACCTCGTTAATAATCCGATTTGATATTCGGCTAAGCAAATTCCAGTCAATGGGATACCAATCAGCGGTCATGAAATCCGAGGACTGTACCTGTTATATGACAGAAAAAAGTGTACTCATACTCAAGAAAAGAGGTTTTTTCCTACTTAGAAAGTGCCTACTTTCTTGAGGATGAGTACACTTTTTCGTTTCATATGTTAGAGTTAATCATTATTCTAATGGAAGACGGAGACGCATGTGAAACCAGAAAATATTGATCCTGAGGATTTAGAATGGACGAAGTAGTGCACCAGCACTGTTTTTTAGTCTATTCAGTTTTATCGTCAGTTAGTTGTGGTACATGCAGTACAGGACGTTGCTACCACACACAAAAGTCGAGATCCAGATGAAGCTCCAAGTCCATCAAAATGAAATTTACCGCCCTAAGCGCCACTGTCATTTCGTATGTTCTTGCATCCCCCATGACACCTACTGATTTGCACTCAGGTAAGAGAACCGCGAAGGCCTGTCCGATGTCGTTGTAGACTCCAGCTTCTTTTAGACTGCTGATGAAAATATAGTCGGCTTCTCTGAGCACGTCTGCTCTCTCGCGTGTGACCTCTCCACCAACAATGCGTATAGCTAACCCAGGTCCAGGAAACGGGTGGCGCATGATGCTTTCCTCGTGCAAACCTAATTCCCGACCAAGAGAGCGAACCTCGTCCTTGAACAACATCCGCAGCGGCTCGATCAGCCCTTTGAACTTCAATCTAGAAAAAGAAGATTGAAAAGTGTGTGTGTGTGTGTGTGGTGCAGGAGTGCTTGATGTCATGCTGCAATATATTCGAGAAAATTGAAAATAACATCATCATGTCAAAGGAGAAAAAGAGAAAACATGAAGGTTGATCAAGTCGCAGCAATGATCCAACGACCTGTGGCTTGGTTAGGTAAATAAACAACGAGAACAAGAAGGTTTGGATGTTTCACGGTGCAGTCATAGTACGACAGAACTACAAGGGGAGAGACCTCAATACCTTTCCGGCAAGCCTCCTACGTTGTGGTGCGATTTTATGACTGAGCTGGGGCCCTTGAAAGACGTTGACTCGATTACATCCGGGTACAAGGTTCCCTGGAGTAAGTACGTGTTTTCTATCGGTAACCCTGATTCTCGAATGGCCCTCTCGAAGGCATCTATGAAGAGCCTTCCGATGATTTTCCGCTTTGCTTCGGGTTCCGTGACACCCTTCAAGGCTGCGTAAAACTCGGCACTCGCGTCGACGCACTTCAATCGCAAACCAGGAATGTGCTCTTTTAGTCGCCGCGTTACCTCCGTGGACTCGTCCTTTCGTAGTAACCCAGTGTCGATCAAAAAAGGCGAGAATCTATCACCGATCGCTCGCTGCATCAAGGCTGCTGCTACACTGCTATCGACACCACCTGAAATCCCCCCCAAGACGTACGCGTCTGGACCCACTTGCTCTCGAATTTTTGCGCTTTCCAGGTCGCAGAAATTTCTCATCGTCCACTTCTCGAAGGAGAAAGGCGGAGGTCTAATGGACATACCTGCTTGTGGAGCATTTTTGTTATAGTTATCATGTTTCTACTTAGGATAATCTTGTTCTACTAAAAAATCCTAATCTTATAAGAGCCGTCGGGAAAAAAAACGGATCGATGAAACTCAACATGAAGCAGAGGTTCTATACCGGCTCAATCAGTAAATCCAAAATGTACATCCCTTCTCCTCGGCCCCTGCCTTTGCGTATGCTCGTGTGTTCTGGGAAAGACTGCTATCTTTAGAGACAGACCAGAAGTACATGGAGAGCCAACTACAAAATCATCTCTATCTTCACCAACGACGTAAAAAGTAAGTAAGTAAATATACGCCCCCCCAGGGGCCAAGGCCTCCCCCCCTCTAAATTTTTGAGGGGGGCGCCCGCCCCAGACCCTTTTTCCCGAGAGACTGCCAGGCGGGAAGGCTTCCAAGCGCCCACCTCCGCTTCTTGCCTGGCCCTGGACCTTACAGAGCCCCCATCGCTGAGGCCGTCTAAGCACCGAAGGCCGGGGGTGCAAGGCTTCCGAAGGTGGCAAAGGTGGCAAGGCTGGGCCCCCTTTGGCTTATTGCAGCGTGTTGCAGCTTGTTGCCTCCAGGGCGCGGGTTCCTCACTGGGGGAGTCTCTTGGGAAGTGGAAGGCCTCCGAGGGCAGCAGGTGGCAAGGCTTGACCCCTTTCGCCGTGCTGCATGTATCCGACAGAACCCAGGCGGGCACGCCTTGCCCACACTCCTCCTCGCCTTTGGTCATCAACCCCCCGGGCGTTTGGTGGTGGCGGACGCTGCCACCAATTGGGGGGATGAGGGCCAAAGGGGCCACGCCTCGTGATCGTGTCCGCCTTCGGCGGTCTTCTTCCCCCGGAGGCCGCCCCCCGGATAGGGCCCAAGAGTCGGGACACCTGTGGGGTACACGCGGAGAGCCACCAGGAGCCTCCGGCCCCGCCTTTTGAGGCCTCCGCCCCCTGAGGTCCTTACATGTCACCACCGCGGAAAAAAGGGCGCGCGGACGCCACTACCGCTCCATCCACAGGGAGGGGAGCCTCCACCCCTGGAACATATATTTATATAAGTAAGTTGTTAGTTTATTCTAGTATCTTTCCTGTAGCAGGAGGTTTTTCTACTTCTTCAGCACATTCTTCCAATGAATAGTTAACTTTATCGACATTATCACGCATGACTAGTTCACACGATCAACATCAACTCGTCCTGATAGATTCTGCACGATCCGCCATAAAAATAAGAAAATTCTTGATAATGTCTTTCCCGTTTTTTGTGTGCGTTACCTCGGGATGGAATTGCACGCCGTAAAAATTTCTCTCGTAGTCGCATATCCCCGCGTACTCGCAGTTATCTGTGGAAGCAAGCACCTCAAACCCCTCTGGAATGCGGGTGACCTTGTCACCATGCGACATCCACAACTGGTTTCCAGTTTTCAAGCCTGCAAAAAGTCCAAAATTCTCGCCATTGGGCGACGAAGTTTTGATAAGTTCCGCATAGCCGAACTCCCGTGTCCCTCCAGGCTTCACCTCGCCACCGAGCGCCCACATCATCTCCTGCAGCCCGTAACATATTCCTGGCGTTAAAAATGGAGAGAACACTAGTTGTCGTGGCAGGTGGACGAAAATGCTGATGCATACATTGAAGTAGGCGGAATCGACCACTGTGACATTAAACCCATGGCTTTATCTTAGCGTCCATATTATTAACTTCATGATCGTGGAAGTACTTGTACCACCATGTATAACCCTCAAATTTTTTTGACATTGTTCTCGTTGTTGATACCCAAAACTGGTATTTTCCGACGATAGAGTATCTCCCACAGCTCTTTTTTCAGGTGCGGCGCGTCCGCTTCGTAAACGCTTGAAGGGCCTCCGGATAGGATGACTGCCTTCGGCTGAAACGTGTCCAAATACGTTTCATCGACATTGCGGCAACTAATCAATTCGGAGTAAGCGCCGAGCTCCCGCACACGTCGACAAATCAAGTGGGTTACCTGCGATCCGAAATCGATTACGGTCACCTTGTCTCCGGTGATCGCTTGCTCCGTCGCTTTACTCGACGTGCTCGCCGTCGTGGAGAAACCAGGTGATGCAGCAGCCTCTTCCCTCATAATTTCAGTTTTTCATTCATAAAGTTCTTTCGACTTCTTTAAAATGTGTAGGCGTGTCGTGCATTACCTACCTTACCAGTGGAAGTTATAATGAATAAGATCTCAGCATCCCTCGGTGGAACCTTGTCCCTCGCCGATGCGCGTCTAGACGACTTTGTTCATTGTAGCATTATCTCTCATTTCCCAGTTATTCCAGAAGGCACTTCTTCATCTCGTCATTTTCATTCTTCGCTTCGTGCAGCACGGTCCTCGCCCCTATTTCAAAAGGTATGATCGCTGATCCATTGTGTGTTGTCCAACCGGATCATGACCAAACAACTTGTGAGGGTGAGCGAAGAATCAGAGTCTGCGTGGAAGAACTGGATGGCGAGCTACGATCTACACCGACACGAGAGATCCATATGGCCTAGCGCATCCTCCAGACGAACACCTTGAATGGGCTAAATTCCAGTCCTTCTAACAGGCCCTCTCTTCCGTATAACACGTCAGCGCGCTTTTCCGTCAATCGGTTAACCCTGTCTTGGTCTTTAATGGTTACTCCTCATGCTGATATAATTTCTGTAAAAACGATCATTTTTCTTCTTCGCGCTGGGTTCTGCAAGTTCCCAATGGACGAGCGTGTCCGTCCTCTAGTGCTGGATATCGATAAACTTCTCAATCTCATCATCTGCAATCTCAATCTCTTGTTTTGATGTAAGTAGTGAGTCTTGGAAAAAGAAACTAGTTTGTTATTGTAATTGTTGCGTTCCTCAATCATACTCGTTATTGTTTTTGCAAGTCGTTACGCCCAGATGGGCCTTCGGTAAAGTCGGCGTTGATGAGACCCGAGGGACATTAGTAACATTTAGCCTTATACATAATCTGATTAGGATCGGTGTGCCAAGAAAAATCAGAAGATGGAATGAATCCCCATAGATTATTAACCAGTGAAGCATTATTTAGAATCTATGTCGATTGTCAACATGTATATTATCGCGTAGTGTTATGTTGCATGAAAGGCAATGCAACTCGCCAGCTGCGATTTGAGAAGTTAACGGAAGTTATGCTCACACGGGGCAGAGGACTTCTTCTTTGTGATGTACCTTTCACGACGAAAGAGGGCTCCTCGCCGCTCCTCGCATCGAGTGGGTTGATGATATTCAGATGGCAACAATCATTGTGCTGCAGGAGCAGGTGCATTCCTCTTCGTGTTCAGTGAGCAGTCGCGAACTGGAATATCCTCCAACAACTAACCGTAACCACAACTTCCAGTTCTGTGTCTAACTGTATATCCATAAGATCTGAGCCGACAAAGTAGAAAAAAATCAAAAAAGTGTCTATAATAGATGTTGTTTTTCGACGTGCATATTTGAGTTAGTTAGGAAGTATCTCTTGTGTTCTGTAAGAAAATTGCTAGCGTTCATCCGCTGCTGCTTAGGTTCATCATCATCTCTCGGTTTGTAAATAAGGTCGTCGTTCTTGAAGAGAGATTACTAAATGGGAATAAGCGTAGACGATCGATTCATTTTTATATATAATCAGGACAGCTAGTACTGCTCTGTGTTATACACTGTTCAACAGAAGACCCACAAGCACGACATCTAGATTCCCAAGAGTCACGCAATCGTGTCCTCTTTGTTCTGTGATGTCGACTTTCCTAGTTCATCCGCATCGCCTAGGTGAAGTTTCGCCCAGTTGAAGCGGCCACTGATCGTCTCGTCTGTGATTTTCAGCACTGTGTGTTCTAGCACGTGACTCGCGCAGTTCTGAAAGAAGTTCTCAAGACGCAAATGGCCATACATGCGCATGGTCTCATCCCAATACTGCTCTGCTGCGAGTACCGGGTCTGGCGGCTCTCCTTCTGCTCCTGCTGCTGAAGAAGCTGACAATAATTTTGTGTTCGCCTCTACACCAACTGCAGAAGTGCTCGCGCCCCTTGTGTTTTCATCTACAACAACTTCATCAGCCGCAGCCGATGCTGCTGCTGGACCTGGAATGTCCACTTCATCCTCAATATTCGTGAATATATCCCTATCATGTGCGAAGTCCATGAGGAATGCACTCCGGAACGCACTCGGCGCCATCTTCTTCTTTTTGACCGAAGACGAAGTCGCACTGCTGCTGCCTGCGACGACTCCCCCAATTGGTGCCACTTCGTCTGTTCGTTGCTTAGGCCGCAACTCCGGTAAGCCCTCGAGTAGACGGAGTTGCGCCGCGCTCGTGGCGTCGAGTTGGGCGAAATTCGGTGCCGGCTGCGACAGTTGCTGTGCGAGCATCTCCCTGAAGCCTTCGCCTTCGAGGAAGACACGCATGCCCTGGACAATATTGCTGTGTACTAGTTCGAAATTTGCATTTGCTGCGCCTCCCGATGGCGACGTGCTACTCTTGCTTCCGCCATGCTGCATGATTCCCGTTCTAGTCTCACTTGGTTGCGATATAACCATACTCGACGTCGCGCCAAGGCTAGCGCCCCCACTTGGTTGATGAGAGACTTCCGATTGGATCTTTGAAGAAGCTTTTGGAGGAGAATCTCCGCCCTTCACAATGTGCTTCTCCCGCGACAGTGCAACCGCATATTGACTAGATTCCTCGGCGCGGCAGGCTACGGATAGGCGGACAAACAAGGGAAAGCTCGCTAATGACTCTGACTGCCCACCGTTCATCGCTGAGAGGTTTGCACCTGGATGAATGTTGTGATTGTGATCAAGCTGTGCGTTTATTTGTTCTAGTTCCGACCGAGTGAGAGTAGGAAGCTATTGCTTCTCGAATGCAAATGGGCTGAAGCCCCAAATTCAAAAATCATTTGGACCCACACATGAATTGCGTGAGAGATTCAATTTCAGTAGAATTACCTCCTTGGCTATTGAAAGACTCGGAAAGGACTTGGCTAAATCCGAGGTTCTCTCTGTCTAGGTCGTCGGTTTTCATTTCCTGTTCTCGTGTTCGCATGAACTCGCGCTCCAGCTTTTTGTAAGCTCGCCTTGGCGTAAGGTTTGATATGTGGCTCGACAGCAGCGCCGTTCGATCTAGAGAGCGATTCAGGTACTTCTGTCCCGCGGCTGTCGACATCAGCGCCCGAAAGCGCGCCACCGTGAGCCGGTTCACCACTGAAACATGCCTATTCGCGAAGTTCCTAGGGTCGTAAGTAGCTTCATGGATAGTGTCAGTATGAGCGGCAAAAACCTCCTCTTCGGTTACCTCTTTTTCCCACGGATCCGGACCAGGCGGCGCTGGTGGATGCATCAGCTCCCACGAAATCCTGCACTCCAAATCACCGACTAGCTCCAAAGGACCTTCAGTAAAGTGTTTTAGAAAATTGTGAAGACCGAACGTGTGTAGAGGTTATCAGGTGCTGCTGATGGAGCTCATCTATAATCAAGAATTATTCTAGGCGAGACTGAGACTGTATCTCGATATTATATACAATAATCATACACGGAGGATTACTGTACCTTCAACGCAGTGTAGCCTGAAGAGAATCATCTGGTGCGTTCCTGGGTAGAGAGTGCCGGACTCCGGGGTGATGCTAAACTCCTCCGCATTTCGAAACAGGGATGCGGTATTCCACTGGAAATTCAGCACGCTATCCTTGGAATAGTTCACGAGAGCTACTACCTGAGGAGATGTTGACAGGACTCATCTTGGTTGCTACTTTCGATCATATCGAGATCATCGAAGTTTTGTTTGATGAGTTCAATTTCAGAAGTCTCAACTTACATAAAGATGAACATAGGTCATCGAAAAAAAATGGTCTGCACCCGCTGTGCTGCCTTCATTAAGTACCTTTGTATTGACGGAATCGAGTGGCACGACGCCGAAGTCTACTGCTTCGCACGACAAGGCTGCGCCATAGTTCGGCAATGGTGCGTAGGTTTGAAGCGGAAGAGTCGGTCCAAATGGCGGCGTCAGGTATTCTGTGGGTGGTTGTCCGCGCTTTGGGTCGAAACCTGACATACGAAGCTCGAAATCTAGAGTCTCCACGACTGTTCCGTCACCTAATGTTAGGTCGATCTTCACCGAACACTCCACCGCTTTCGCTTCTATAGGCGTGAAATAGCAATGGAGGAAGATGCGACTCCTTGGCGCTAGCTCGCCGTGCATCGGGCTTATCTGCAACAACGGAAACCCGTAGTTTTCTTCGATGCTTAGAAGACTGACTATTTCCATTTGTTTCAGGTTTGCTCTCCAGTACAACATCTTCGCTGGTCTGGATATTTGAAGCCTGGTGCGGCTACGTGGTCGAACTACAGATTCTAAGATCTAGATGAATGCGAGGCAAAAAATTTGCAGTTATACAAGATCATAACTTGAGCTCGTCTAGGGACTCCGCATTCAGACTCCAGCAGGCAGGCGCTGATCCGCAGTTACTCAGCTCGATCACCTGCAGAGGACCCCGCTCGTAGCCGATTGGGACTGGCCGCAGGGTGATTGCGTTCGCCCGTACCGAAAGACGGCCGATATTTGGCGGCAAGGTGTTTGCTTTGCAGTAGAAAACCATCGACTTGCCCTTCGTGACCGTTAAAACAAAGGGTAGAATGTGAGTTCCAACTGAGAAATGCTGATACATGAAACGCACGAACTGAAACTCACCGGGCTCTATACGCGCTGCTTTCGGGTAAACATCTAGAACTTTGTGGTTCTCCACCCATTCGTAGTGGTGCTCAGCCATCGCAAGTCGCTGCTCCTCAACACTAGGCTCGTCGGCGCTCTTGCTCTGAAGGAAAGTACCAAGTAGAAACTATTCGCTCGAGAACAAAGTCCCGGATGCGTTGCATTCCCATCACTATTTTAGTGTTTCTTCCTGCCCCCGACACCGATCAAAACATTCAAATAAGCATCAAAGCATGAACAAGAAGCAAGTTAGTACCCCGCCTTGGCTCGTGCCCCTATGCCATGGCGGAATTTCGTCGTGCCAAAGAGGAACGTCCTGAAGCTGCAAGTCGCCTGGTGTGTGCAAGTCGAAATCCACTGGGACGTCGGTGGGATTGGTGAGCACCTGTGATAGTTACAAGGTGTGAGCTTTTTTTCCTTCTTTTGCGGGACTTTTTGATATCGAAATGCATGCACCGAACCGCAATCCTGATCAATCAAACCGAAGATGCAATCCAACAAGTACATGTTCGTGTAGATGAGCCGGCTATCTTCATCTACTCACTCTCACTTGCAATAAGTCTTCACATCTTGCAGTACGTCTTAACATGCAATACGAGGTAAACGACTGTGGGTGCGTTTCCATATGGGGCGGTTCCGAAATTGAGTTGGTAGCTCCCTAACTGTGGCAGCAAAACTCGCCTAGCATCAAATCCAAGCGCACTCTGGAACTTCCGATCAACGTGTGATGGACGCATCCTCTGACCCATATTGAAGTCGTCGACCTATGCATGGTACAAAGGAATATTTTTCTGATCGTCCTCGTGATTTTCATGAAATGATAAAAAATATGAAGTAGAATTAGAAAGGACCCCATTTTTGTATCAATTAGCGCATGGACATGGCACAAACACAAGCTAACAAGAACAACGTAGCTAGAAGTTTTCTGTTTTCTGATTTATTGCACAAGATGTACTGGATGCCAGTCCATCCAGAGAGCCGCACATAGAACGCAGCGTTTTTCTCGTCCTATGAGTTGTTAGTACCTGGCAATAGGTCCACAACATAGAAACAGGCTGTGGCACTGGACTTTCCTGCCGCACGTCAGAAATTTGCACCAAGGGTGACTGCGCGTCCGCTCTTACGGTAAATTCACTCGGGGCTACTTCACTGCCTAGTGGATGGTGAAACGCGACCTGGTTGTGAATACAGAAGATTAGTGATTGCGGAGTCAAATCTGCTTGATTCAGACGAGTGATAGAACAAGATTAAGTCATGCTGATGCAGCACCGCCAACACTGATAATGCTCTCGTATACTCGTAGTACCGGAACAACTTTGACAGTCCACTGGTGTATGCCGCGCCTCCTGAGACTTACGGTGAATCTGAGGTCGAGAAAACCTCGAGGTCCAACAGATCCCTCGTTGATTTCGAAAACTAAGCTGTTTTTGAAGAGTCGAGGATCATCCTCGTTGTCTTCCTTCGGGTCTTTTGGCGGTTGCGGGGATGGCGGATAAGTATATCGGTCAGTTCGCCGCGGCGATGAGAGAGGCGTACTGGATTGAGGTTAACGATCGTTTTGATTGTAAGCGTAGCTCCCAAACGCATCATGTGAAGACAGCTCAGTCACACTCGTACCAGTACCCTTTACTACTGTTATAAACTTCACGTAGAAAAAATGAAGATCATGATCCGGTCGATCAGAAGGTTTTTAAATCACATTACAGTGATTGGCAGATAAAAGCGTGAAGGAGATACCTTCGTCCATCCCGCACTGAGCCTTTGGGCGACCGCATCTGTTCGATGCTCTTTCGCAGGGGACTTCTATCCATTTCCAATTTCTCAAACTCAAACTCAACTTCGAGTCGGAAGTGCACCTCCTGGTTGCTACTGTTGAAGACTCTGATTTGCGACTTCGTCGCGTCCCCACGCCCTGCCGTGAGAGGCCCCAGATCTATCATATTTGCCTCCAGCGAGAGTGCCTGGACGGAGTGGTGGCCGAAAAAGTCAATCAACCCTATCGTTTTGTTCTCAAACCTGCTCCAGCTCAGCCAATTTGCATTTGACCTGAAAAAAAACTCAAAAAAATAGTACTGGTTGTTGACCGTGACCGACCAGTTGTATCGCATACGTCTTTCGGCCACCCGGATGGCTACCACCATTGAAGTCAGCTATTGCTGCTACGTCTTCGATTGGGAGAGGTCCGAAGTATTCGCGATCTTGGATAGCGAAAATTCGCCTATCGTCGTCAGCATCACGGATCTCCTGGGCCTGCACATTGATCGAAGTCGAAAAAAGGCCTGGTGCGTCTGGCGTGAATCGGAACTTGATAGCGCTCTTCTCCCCCGGCCCGACGACACCCTCCGACTCCTCAACGTGGAAAATCTGCCGATATCTCGTCGGTATCTTAATTTCGTAGTGTGCCCCGACTTCAGCCTCGTTCCGGACCGCCAACTGGAGATCGCTATTGTTTCCCTGACATGTCAGTGGAAACGTTATCAGATTCTTCAACTCCAACTTCGTCTGCCAGCATCGTGCATGCACCCGCACGTATCGGTAATTGCTTTCTTCGTAGTTGATGATGATGGGAATCTTCGCCTCAAAGGCAGTGCCATTGTCTGCCTTGGTCGGCGCGAACTCAATCACTATCGCGTGAAAAGAGTGTGGATATATGCAGCCACGTCGTGGAAAGCAGCTGAACGGGACGTCTTCGCCTACAACTTTTTCGCCCATGGCAGGCAATATGCGGTACACCATTTTCGTATCGCCCAGGTTTTTTATCAAAAATACGTGATAACTACCTGTAAAAGAAGAACAGAATCTGCATCTGCATTTTATCCTCCACCTTCACAACATCTTGAGGCACATATAAAGATGGAACAGGTATGTAGAGATAAGCGAACCCAGAAGGAGAAACGGACTTGTTCGTTTTGGACAACGATAGGGTGGAAAGGAATTGGAAAACAAAAAATCGTTGTACGTTGCATCAATGCGCACGGCTGCATCCGGACTACGTGGCTGCTATCGGTGATCTCGACTTGGCAGTCGTCTCTGTGGAAACCCATCGTGTGTCCTTGACACACCAGATTGAGGCAGGTTGGTGGCGTAAATTTCTTCTTATTGACCAGGTGAAAACTGCGGTTGCGTTTTGGAAACACGTAACATTCTAAGACTTGACCGTCAAACGTCATCTCTTTGCTCGGGCGATACGTCACGGTAAATTCCATCTCTCCTTGCGCAGGGATGTCGACGTTGTTCGGATACACGGTGAAAGTCTGAAAGTCCGCTTCCCCAAACTTCGCTAGATTTGACGGCAAACGAGTTTCGTTGAGATTCATCCAGCACGCGATTACCTTTCGAGTGACAGCTTATTTTTGGAGTTGCTGTTGCATTGCGAATAATTATCAAGGTCTAAGATTAGGTCTGACTTCGGTTGTCGTTGTTCCTGCAACGAGATCAACAACGATCATCATTTTCGTTCCAGAGAAGCCCCTTGATGCCCGACGATGTCTCAAAAATATTCATACAACTAGTTGTATACCAACTTTTGTTCTTTTGTGATCTTCAAAAGCGTTTGTTACTTTTACCTTCTGGTTTGTGTTGTTTGTCAGCGTCACTGTCCGCACTCCCGCTGCGCCAAAAAAGTCCAACTCTGATGGGGTCAATGACATGTCCTTCGGCGGATACACGCAGCTAATTAGAGCCAGCTACTTTATCAAGCAAAGATGGCATTAGAAAAATGAAGAAAGCAACAGGAGATCGCCGTAGCAATTATCAGATTATGAAGAAGAAGATGGTCACAGACTTAGTCAGTTTATCAACTTCAACTATGTGTACCGACATAACTCAAGGAACGTCTGCATGCTGCTGAGCTCCGCCTTTTTTAGTGTTCGCGGGAAGACCCTGTCTAGGAAGTTGTGGTATGTCTTTTTGGGTGAGACACTGCGAACTGGGGACCCGTGCTCGCCGTCCTCCTCTTCCTTGCCAGGTGTCCCTCGAGAAAAAGGTGTGGTGGCTCCCGCTTTTGTCCCTGACGACGCAAATGGTGACATCTCATGCTCCGAGTGACTTGGTGAGCTAGGTCGTGAATCGTATTCTGGATACCCTAATAATCGCACCTGGTGCCACTGCAGAACGTCGTCCTGCTGCAACACGGCTGGCCGCTGCTCGTCTGTGTACCCGGTGCCCAGCAAGTCCAAGGGCAGAGCTCAGATATTAGAAGAGGAAGTGGTGGAACTAGAAGTTGACTAGCTGCAGAAATTATGGATCTTCTACTCCACAACACGCGACCGAAAAATCAGCAAGAGTCATAAGCGATAATATCTCAAAGAAAAATACAGCGCTGCGGATATTATTTTTCAACGAAGGCAGGGCGGGATAAAATCGTTCTTGCACACAATTTCTACATGTCATAAGCAGAGGCCCGTTTTTGAAGACGCAGTAAAGCCGCTTGTAATAGTTTATCGGGGCCATCGGCGAAAAATTGATGGTGATCAACACGTAGCCATGCGGCGCCAGTGTGCCACTTGGCTTATCTAGCGCAAAAACCGAATACAATTGATCCACATTGCAGAAATGGTAGTGTACCTTCAGCGGCGACTTGTTGTCAATTCGCAACACTTTCATCCCCGGATCGTGCAACTTCCCCTTGTGCCTCTGCATGGCACGGTCATACACGCGTGCAGGATCCTGAGAGCAGTCCAATTCTCCAAAGTTGACATAGCTTGTGCTCATCTCTACCTCCGGGGCGACGCAACTGCCTTTCACTGATACTCGCAGAGGTGCGCCGCCAGGCGACACTAGCTCGAAACTGAGTTGGATTGATTCGTGAGTTCAAAAGGTATATAATGATCGATAATTTCAAGTAAGCCTTTCATGTGTGTCAGTCAAGAGAAAGATGAAAACAAATCACGTCGTAACTAACCACGTGGAATCTGGCATACCTAGTAGGACGTGCAAGTCAACATATTATCAAATAGATTCAACAAATAGTACTCGCGTGCACATGTTTCGCCCACGATATTGCTTGCGTATCTGAACTCTACCTCTCCTCGCTGCCCCGGTTCTATTATCACCCTCTCAGGGAAGTATTGAATAGCGCAGGGAGCCAAGGGAGGAATTTCATCCTGGAGTGGCCTCAAAATTGCGTTCGCACGCACAAGCGATACGTTCTGCACCCTAAACTTGACCGTCGCGTTTTGGGTTGGCAAAATTGGGCCCAACTCCAGTTTATCCGTTCCCACCGGAATCAAGTGAGGCACCTTACCTGCACCGATGACCTGTTGTAGTAATGAACAACTTGTTGTAGAAGTAGTTGGGAAGAGGACAAGAGCTCTGTGGAATCAAGAAGCGATATTAAAGTAACACGTGAAGATCACGATCGGGGTAGGGCATTAAAGCTAGATCTTGTACTTCGTCCAACATTGCACGACTTTAAAAAGCAGCACGTTTGCGTTTCTCAACAGTTGAGTGTATTCCACTACCCTGAGTTCGTAGAATTTCATTTCTCGTTCCGCTTCTTCTGTCCTGGGCATCCCCCCGCTGTGGTCTGTAAGCACCTTAACCCTCAGAATCGCTTCGTAGGTTTTCGCTTCCTTGGGCCTGAATTCGATCTCAATGTCGCGGCTCTCTCCCACGTTGAGCACACCTTCTGCAGGCGCACTTCCTGTATCTGAGGAGAATGGCGCCACTACGAAGGGCTCGCCGAATCCCCATTCGTATCTGACGGGTAGGGATCCCGTGTTGTGCATGGGCACGGGGATAACAACGGTTTCCTGAACGGGCCCATATCCGAAGTCCACGAAAGGCGGTATCGATAAGGCCAACTCCGTCACGACAGCTTTCAACAAAATCGAAAACTGACCTGTGGTGCGTGGTTGCAGAAGTAGATTGTTGTACACCTACTTTTTCAACCTGAAATAAAGATTCTCAGTTTTACAGAGAGCACGAAACAATTTTTCAAAAACGCGTCAAACTTCATGTTTGCCTTCATGTTCACCTTGAGCTTCGCCTTCGAGCTCGACCTCCTGACTAGAACGTAATTATTCAAAAAAGTGAGTTAACCTGTCGGCGTTCGTACGGTAACATAGTCGAGATGAGGCTCGTACACGAGCGGACGAAAAACAAGCTTTATCGTGACAGTCGTTCCCGGTGCTAGGGCCCAGCCCTTCGGGTATTCCAGCTGGAAAGCTTCGCTTTTGGGCAGGTCATAGTTCAACTTTTGCGTCGTCTGAATTGTTGGTGCATAATTTGCAAGGTGTTTGTTAAGAACAAGAAGAAGCTCTTTGCGTAAAAAATTATGCTTACGTAATCATATTAACACGATACAGTTATGGAAACCCTAACATTAGAAACTACAACGAACTAAAAGCTTCGAAATACCAAAGAGACGTTTCGTATCGTTATCGTCTTGTGGACTTCCTTGCCTATCTGCCAACCGGAAATGAGAACCGAATCAACGCAATCCAGACCAAAGATGCTCACACGTTCTTCACGCTTCAGCTGCGACTTCGTCTTGGTAACCCGCGGCCCGCCCGGCTGGGTGGCGTTAAGCATAGTCATCACTGGTCCTGACGTCGGCATTTTGACCAGGACCTCTTGTTGGCCTCAATATTTTCCAAATCAAATGTCTCCAAGAATGAATAGAACAGCAGTGGACACGAATGTCTATCTCACTGCTGGAGGCGTCGCGGAAGTAGACACCTCTGCTGTATTATTAAGAAGCTGATCGAGACAGACAGCGGCTCGAGGCGATGCGATGGCGCTCTCCATTATCTACGGTCCTCTCTTTCAAGGTAAAAAATATCTGCACTGGTGTAGTTGATGTCGTCGGCAGCTTTCCGATATTGCAACGGACTGCAGCTACTCGACGCGGACACGCACCTGGTATGCAGGTCGGAGCTGCACCTGCAGTTCGGTACCCTATAAAATGTGCCGGTCGATTGCGAGCTCCTCTGTCGTTTTCACGAGATCAAAGTACGAATCGGAGACCGCGTTCGGATAGCTCAGGGCGTTCTGGTAGCTGTAACGCCCAAGCCCAACAGCATGAAAACATGCTTTTTGACTAACCCATTCAAGAACTCTTCCTGACCAAAAGATCCACTGTAACACCACTTGACCGCCCTCCGTAGCCGTTACTTGTAGTTGCTATCCTCCGTGCCTAGAACATGATGATCATGAAGGTGTTGAAATTGATTGCGCAAAGAAATAGAAAAAAGTGCTGAAACGTTTTCAGACAGGGGTTTTGGAAATGTGCTTAGCGGCAAGTTCTACTTGTACAAATCCTAGTTGAAGTCGACGGGTGGACTTCTATAAATATCTAGCGTTTTATTCGGTCCCTCTTGTTCTTGCCGACCATTCCATACATCTCGACGAAGAAGATGTTTCTCGCATCACAAAACGACAAGCCGAGACGATGCATTTTTCAACAGTCCGCTCAACAAAAACGACCGATTGCGCCTCCGACTTACTCTTTCCGATAGATCTTCCTAAGGTCAGCTGAACTTATTTTTCATTTACTCGACGCCAGACGCTCACGACCCGATGTAACCGAAACTTTTTTCAGCAACATATATATATAGCCTCTAAGTACTTTTTTCTGCTGCTTTCACCGATGCATCATTGATATTAGAAAAGCGTCTCGATTAAATCACAGATATCCATCCAAAGCTGAGGATCCCAAAGACGCGCAGGGGCCACGAAGCTTCAAACGCCAGAAAAAGCGATTGGTGTCGCGTCGCTGGAGGACGTTGTACTTACAACATCCTAATCACGATCTGCGTGTACTACGACAACATGATCGCTTGATAGAAGTATCCTAGTACTTATCCGAGAATTCATCAAGAACCTGTGCAAATGACAAGATTCAGATCGAGACGCGAAGAATTCGAATTACGGTGTCTCAGATGAAACAGGAAGACGTTTCCTGCAGCTACAAGAACATGCCCGATACCCACGATAAACGACTCGTCAGCAGGGTCAGCCGCATAGCAGCGCAGTCGAAACAATTTCACGAAACCCTGCCGCTTTGTGTCGCAAGCTCACTGCTTCGAGGGTCTTTGATAGTCTCCCGACGACGTTGTTCCTGCAGACGATGAAAATCATCGATTCACATTCAATCAACTCAAGGATACAGGCACTGCGATTTCGAATCTCTTTTACCGAACAAGTCGAGGTAAATCTCTTACAGTATAAAGTTTTTCCCTCGTTTTGATTTTGATTTCATATTTTGAATTTTGATTTTGAGTTTTGAATTTTGAATTTTGAATTTTGATTTTGAATTTTGAATTTTGAATTTTGAATTTTGAATTTTGATTTTGAATTTTGAATTTTGAATTTTGAATTTTGAATTTTGATTTTGAATTTTGAATTTTGAATTTTGATTTTGAATTTTGATTTTGAATTTTGATTTTGAATTTTGAGTTTTGAATTTTAATTTTGAATTTTGCGTTTTGATTTTGAATTTTGATTTTGAATTTTGATTTTGAATTTTGAATTTTAAATATCAAAGTTTTGAAATTTGGGCCAAAGTTTTGAAATTTGGGCCAAAGTTTTGAAATTTTGATAAAAGTGGTGAAATTTGGATCAAAGTGTTGAAATTTGGGTCAAAGTTCTCAACACTGGATCAAGGTTTGGAAATTTGGACCAGAGTCTTGAAGTTCTACGTTTTGATTTTGAGTTGTGATTTTAGATTTTGATCTTCAGTTTTGATTTTGAATTTTGAATTTTGAATTTTGAATTTTGAGTTTTGAATTTTGAATTTTGAGTTTTGAGTTTTGAATTTTGAATTTTGAGTTTTGAATTTTGAGTTTTGAATTTTGAATTTTGAATTTTGAATTTTGAATTTTGAATTTTGAGTTTTGAGTTTTGAGTTTTGAGTTTTGAATTTTGAATTTTGAATTTTGAATTTTGAGTTTTGAATTTTGAATTTTGAATTTTGATTTTTGAATTTTGATTTTGAGTTTTGATGTTGAGTTTTGAACTTGAGTTTTGATCTTGAATTTTGATTGTTCTAGCAAATTCTTTGGAATTCCGTTGACGCCTGCCACTGGGGGACCACTCCAGAGAGCTAGTCTAAATAAAGAACTAAATTATACCTCTCCTGTCTCTTTTGTTGTACGGCGTCCGCTTTTACAACGCGGACCCAGTTCCGAAACCATCGCCGACGAAGCTGATCGCGAGAAAGGGCGCTGGCCCTCAAAGGGTCCGGCCGCGGGCGAAAATGTAGGGTATCTTCGATCATGCTCCTATCTACCCAAGCAGGAGAAAGTAGGTAGTGGTTGTCTATGTTGAGAACAGTGGATGGGGCTTCGAGGTAGCTCGTTTCATGTGTGTCGCGACGTTTTTGCGCTGTAGAAGACGATGGAAACTCGTGCAGTAAGGCGCCGTCGCCGCTGGCCGGTTCCAGATTTTTGACGTTCGCCGGCGCAGTCGCAACCTGTCCTGCCACATCATCATGATTTTCATCCTTGTCGTGTGCAAGTAAATCCTTGTTGTCCTCGTCATGTTCTTGGCGGTCAAGAGATAGAGTCCGCCTAGCTGATGTCACATATGCTCGTGGAACAGGGGCTGTGCTGCACGGCGCCCTTCTTTTCGCAGAACCAGCAAAAGTTGGAGAAACATCAAAACTCTGCTTCCACCTCTCATCCAGCATCTTGAAGTAGTCAAGCTGTCTTCTAGTCGCTTTTGCCTGTGCGATCTCATCAATCCTGTGCCGCATCGTTCTCCTCTTCGGACGACCACTCAGAATCTTTTGAACTGCATCCGTTTTCGTTCTTATTTTTTTCGATTCCGACGTGGTTGGAAGTTCAGAATCTAGTAGTTTTTCCGGACAAACTTCTGCTGGGCCACTTCGCGCGGCCTGCCGTGTGCTAGTACTGCCCTGTCGTGATCCCGCTGCCTCTGTTGGACACCTTGTTGTTGCCCTCAGGGAATTAATAGCTTCTTCATCTCCTGTGCGTTTCGACTTGGGTTTGGACACAACTCTCGTTTCCCCAGACGGAACACCTACACCGCTGCAAGCGTACATGTTCGGTGGTATTAGGCCGACGCCAGTCTGAACCCCTTTCTGGAAATTGGGCACCCAGGGCGGTCGGTCTTCGAGCAGTGGCGATGGTGCCACTCCTGGGGATGCGAGCTTCGGCTCACGTTTACTTCTTTGACTCGGAACAAAAACGCGCTCTCGAAGTCCCGGTCTGATCCCCCGATGCTGCTGTTTAGTTGTACACGTAGCAATCCTGCTCGTCGCTCTAATAGCATCTTGCGTTTTTGTGGACCTGATGGTCTGGTGATCTATGTAGTTCCGATGATCACACCCCAGCACCTCATGATCTCCAACAGCTCCTGCACCGCGTGCGAGCCGGCCAGGCGTTCTTGTTCCTCGCCTCGTTGTGCTGCGCTGACCTAAACGAATAGAATCCGAGGCCGAAAGCAAAGCGTGCTTCGCCAAAGGCGGTATTCCCAGCTGAGGTGGCGCAAGTCCGGGAGCAGCGTTGTGCATAGTTCCCGTGGGGCTTCTAGTCAATGGCCGACAGTTTGAATCGTGTGCTATTCCACCTGCAGTTGATGTACAACTAGCGTAGTTAGTCAACATCACCCAACCTGTGCTAGCGATTTTTTCGTTGGCACCCAAGAACAGCCCTTGCTCGTCAACGTCTGCATTGTTGACTAAGATGTCTATGTCAGCGCAGAGGCTCTTTAGATTAGCATCGAGTTGCGCATCCTCGCTAGCTTTTTGACGCTTTAGCGCTATCGCCTGGTCTATATCGAGCAGCCCGTCTTTGTCATCAGCACGGTCCGAGTGGGTGCTTCCATCATCCTCTTGGGGAGACAGTCGGACCATTTCAGGGAACCTTTCGCTTGTGGAGGCTTCCTCCTCTCGATGCACGTCGTCAAGGATTGATGGCTTACAACCCCTGTGTGGCGCACTCGCACTCGCGTCTTCTAAAACTAATCTTGTTAGCTCCTTTAGTGTAGTTTTAGCCTTGTCGTATCGCGCTTCCGTCCGCCGGATCGCATCGACTCGCTGAGCTAAACCACTAGCATAATCTCGAACGGGCGAGCCTGTAAGATTAGGGTTCCCGATCCTCATCTTGTTGTGTGAGGACCGTTGAGCCACCGCCCCGAGACTACTGTTCTGTCGATTAAGCCGGTACAGCGCGGGTCGCAAGCGCTGTTGTCTAGGCCTGGTGCGGCCTGCTAGTCTTTGTTGCCATGAACGGTGGTCCCGCTGGTTCATGTTACTTTCGCGCCCCACTACATCCGCTGGGGGTGATGTCGAGGACGAAGGTAGCGAGGCACTCGATGAGGATGACAAGCTCAACACATCTCGCGCTGTTATACGTCGTCGTCTGGTTGTCGTTGCGGCTGAAAAGCGGTTTCCAGGCGATACCTTCTGTTGCAGCTCCGTCCCCTGTCGTCCCATTGCCCCACAATTGCCCTTCAGAGGTTTGATGTCCTCGTCTACTTCAAAAATTCTCTTTGAGCTTACCGCTTGCGGCGGCGTACTTGTGCTACTACTTGATGACGACGAGGAGGTGAGGAAAATGTCTGGGGAAAATGGCTTTTTTGGTGCCATCTTCGGCGATTTCTTGACACGTGAAGAAGGTGGCCCTGTATGTTCTGGAGGCGTGGAAGTACAGGATGCAAGCAAATCTGGAGTGCTCGCGTAGTGTGAACCTTCGACGAACCGCGTCCGCCCTACTCCGACGAAAACGTCTTCAACAGACACACTATTTTCACGATCTTCGTTTGTTTTTCTGTGAAGTTGAAGCAGCTCTCGCCTCCGTTTCGCGTTTTCTTCGTCTTCGTATTCTCGCAAGGCTGCGTCGAGCTCCCGCTGCAGGAACTCTAGTTCTCTTACTTAGAGCCCACTCAAATTTTGCATCTTGACACACATACAATCTTGTCCTAAGCAGGCACTAGTACTTCTAATCCCCCGGGCGTCCCCGGAATGCCTAGTAATAATCATAATGATAAAATCAAAATCATTTCCATTGATTTCATCATGCTTCTCCTTCCTACGATGGATATAAATTCAGATTGGGCGCCACCTTAACTTACTTTTTCCGAACGGACACTGTCCACCACGATCGGAGCTGCACCCGCCACAGGAGTCGAAGCGATCGCAGAAGGTGGCCTCAGGATCCCACCTCGACGAGTGTCGTATGAGTACGCGAAGCCTGGAGGAGCAGCATTTACATTTCGGGGCCAAGATTTCGGTGATGGGCCAGGATGCTCTTGTTCAGCACTAACGGCACTCGGAACGTAGTGTGGTGGACGGTGGTCATGAAGAGGCAGAGGTGTTCTTCCATGATAACGCAGGTCATTCACTTGTTTATAATCTACTTCTTCCCGAAGAAGCTGTTCTCCGTTTAATGTAGTTGGTATACTTGTCGCCACGTTGGACACCGCATCTACTTCGTTCGCACTTCCTGCTGCAGCAAATGCGTATCGGCCTGGGACTGCGAAACCGAAAGCGCTAAAATTTCCGCCCAGTGTTCCGTCGTTGGAGAAGGTGCGGATTTGATCGGCTATCCGTCGGCGTGATACATCGAAGGGCGAGTCCGCAAGACTGCATACACTGTTGCTCTCGGATGAAGAGTACCGAATGGGGATGGGACTGGGAAGTACCGTCGTAGCACGATTCTCATCGTCTGGCTGTTGCAGCAGAGGCTCTCCGTTGTCAGCAACTCGCTCGGTTCCTGCTGCGTTCTCATCTTTGTTGCTCGCTCCATCACGGTGGTGTAGAAAGTCTCTCAGTCTCTTATCATCTGTTGTAGAGCTGATTTCTGAAGGACGCTGCGGAAATTCTGTGAGGACGAAACTGCGGGGCTCGTTGCTACAACGAGCTCCTCTTCCAGTGCCACTTTGCATGTTATCGACTGGCTCGATCCACCCCGGCCCTGCAGTCTCTGACGTAGGTTTTCGCGAAGAACAGCCGGTTGCCCTGGACACTGTTAGGACAGTCGGCGATGTTATTCTGCTTGGCACACCTGCTAGGCTCAACTCGCCAACATTGCATTCGTGCTCCGCAACCCCTAGTCTTGTTGTCGTCCTCCCCGGTGGCGTTCGCAGCTGTGCTTGGTACTTCTCACTTCGCTTTATCGTCTGTGCTTCGGCCAGCAGCGTTGTCGTATCCTCCAAAATGCATTCCGGCGTAATCTCACGTACTGATGTGCCTTCGTTGTCAGTACCAGGTGACCGCAGCTGCAATATTTCAGGAGATCTTGTGCCATCAGGGCTTCCCGTTGCCTTCGCAACATCTGCGGCTGGAAACGTTGAAGTTGAACCTTCATGATCATTTTCATTCCATGAATTTTGAATAGAAGCTTTTTCTGTAGTACTTTTTCTTATCGCCGAAACCAGTTCGTCCTTCGCGTCGGCCGCCATTAGACCAGCATCTTGATGACTATACTGGATATTGCCTTCTCCATTTTTGATTGAGATTGACTCGTCATTCCTAAGCGATTGCACGACGACAACGGAGTTTTCCGCGTTGAGCGGTCGATCATCGAGAAGCTCGATTCCGTGGTCCACAGGTTCATTCCTTTTTTGGCTATGATGTGGACCCTCGTTATTGTCGTAATAAAGTGAGTCGCGTAGAATTATGCTAGATGAGAGAGCTGTCTTCGTGATGAGAGAGTCTGGGTTTTCAACGAAAGAAGTGGAGATATTCTTGTCGTCCATCTGCTCTACTTCGCGTTTGCAACATCTATCTCCCAAGGAAGAAAGTGGACCCCCTTCGTTTTCGGAGAGATGAACCAAAGATGGAGAGCACTTTGCAGTACTAGAGTCTCTGCGCCAGGGGTGCTCCTCCTGCGACGAGGCACCAGGTTCAGTTGGTCTCTGTTGATGTAGTTCCTGTTCCCCCAGGGGACGAGAACCATGTGAAGATTGTTCTGGTAGACTCTTCACGACAACAATCCTTGGTTGCGAAGACCTGACTTTGTGCGACGTGCCCCCGCTGTCGCAGAACGGAGAACGAGTCCGACTTCCCGATTGATGCCCTGCTGCTTTCTTCGCGTCATCTTTTGCGCTGTTCCTCTTTTTCTTCCTGTTGCCATCGGCGGACGAAAAACTACATAATGGTCTCGTCTTTCCCCTCAGAACCGCACTCCAAGGACGAGCATCCACAGAGGATTCCGCTCGGTTGTTGGGCTTGCGTTGCCGCCTCGCCGACGTGTTCACGTATTCGCGTAGACTTCTTTCTCGCACACCACGAAACTCAGCCCCAGGTTCTCTCGTTCCAGCCATTATCATCTCGCGCTCATCTTTCTTACGTAGTACTGATAAACCGGAACCTGCCGCTACGTCCATCACTGGAGGCATTACTGCTTGTCCTTCGTCTTGTCCGGTAGTTGTTCGGTGTGGACGTGCGAAGCCACGCCTTAGCACATGCTTCCGCGCTGTTTCTGCAGTTGATATAGAACTGTAGCTTTCAGGCGGCACGTGGTGATCGCCATTCCTCATTCTAGTCGGAGTAGGTGTTTTGCGCGGCGAAAAGAAAATGGTGTCAAGTATTTGGTGCACAGGTTGCGTAAAAGTCGGCGCACTTGCTCTCAAACGCGCGGTCGCAGAAAGCGATGACTGTTTGTTTAGCTGTCCACCACTCACTTTTAACATACTCATACTGGTCGTGGGATGTGACAAAGTAGACCGAGCTGGATACTTTTCGCCGCACTCGCGCAGCTCCTGCTCCTCAATGTCGGTTCCCGAACCACAAGCCGTACTTTTCGTTTGAAATTTTTGGTCATTGAATAGCGCCTTGCTCATATGGTGATCTTCAGCGTTAATATTGTTATGGACATGTTGGAGCAGGTTATCAATACAACTCGCAGTCGTAGGGTTAATCTGCGTCCCAAGCACAGCACCCTCTTCCTCGTGGTCTATAGTATGCTTATGACTTGCGATACGCCCTGTCTCATCTCGTTCATTGTTAGATACATCGACACCGTTTCCATGTCTCGCTGTAGCCTCGACATCGCACGAACACAGGACAGGTTCGCGACACTTCGGTGATTCCGCTGCGACATAGCCCGAGGACACGGGTGCATCAACTGCAAGCACCATTTGTTTTGCCTCAGCGAGCGCACTCGCAAAACTTTCTCGAACGGTGACGTCCGTAGTACTTGGTGTCCTTGGATGAAAGCTAGTCGCAACAAGTGTAGACGTGCTCTTCGAGCTGCCTACGACTTCAGTTTGAAGCAGCCGTGTTCTCAAACCAATCTTTCGCTTTCCAAGTTCTTCTTGACCGCTCGCTACTTCTTCGGGCACGGCTATCGTTCTATCCGTTTGTCTAGTTGTGGTCTCGTGCACGTTAAACTGCCGTAGATGTTTATGATCTTCTTCACGTTGTCGCAGTACACATGGCGCATTTTTCTCGCCAGATCGAGACCGAAAGCTCGGTGTGCTATAACCGTAAGTTTTCGCGCTGCCAGTGCGAGAAAACCTCTTTTTTCGGCGAGCGGTGCCGAACGAATGTTGCTTCGAAGACCCACTTCTCGCGGTGGAGATTCCGCCGGATTTATTTTCTTCTACGAGACTCTGGTGATCGCGGCTTGGCAGTGCTTCGTCATGCAGGTCATTGTTACTTTGGCGGAGTAAACGTGGCTGCGGATAAAACGTGTTCGCATTCTGGAAAGCGCGACTAACTTTCTTGCTAATTGCTTGTAAGGCGTCCAATTCGGAGCCCAATGCATCGGCTCCTGACGACGAGGTCCGGCTCTTCCTTTTCATTGCAGCTCCCTCTGATCCTGCTCTGCTTGGTCGTGTAGCATCGACGGATGTGGATTTCCATTTCGACGCCATCATAACGTTCTTAGTTTGTGTAGTGCTTGGGCCCACGCTTTGCGACTCCCGTGTCTGAGCTTTGCTACTGCAAGCTGGTTGAACAAAACAGCCGCCTTGCCTCGCGTCAAAGGATTTTGCAGGTGGCTGCTCAGCTGTTCGGAAGTCTCTCCTCGGTCTGTTTGACGCCGAACTCGGTGTGGCGGCAAACGTTGACGCAGCGGGAGGAATGTCTAGTACATTCTCCGGTTTCGTAATGTCGTGACCAGCGCTCCGCGTCGTTCGAACTTCGTGTTCGTATAAACGACCGTTACGCACTAAGAGACTGCTGCACGCATCAAATTGAGAGCGCCATTCTATCTGGTTGGAGTATAGATACCCACGCGGAGTCGGCAGCCCTGCAGCATCGAACGAAGCGGCCGCATCGAATAAGCAACGCCGTTGCTGCAGATGCCTGCTACTGTTCGAAAAAACGGCACTTCCAGTGTTGATTTCAAAACTCGATTTTGACATGATCCCAAGTCGATTTTGCTGCAAACCTCCTCTGTCAACATTCATTATCACCACATCATACAAGTCAATGCGAAACGATCGCCCAAAAAACCTGGAATACCAATCCCAACATTGCAACAAAACGAAAATCTCCTTGTATTCTTTTTGGTATCAATAACATCAGTGACAGCGTATTTCCTTCCATTTTGTTCTTGTAGTTGTACTTTCAAGTTCTTTGTAAATCATTTTTCCATTTTTAGAATCAAGGCTTGTCCGTCGTGCTGCCAATAGCGCATCCCGCTTTTCAATCGAGGATGAGCGAAGCCGATTAAGGAAAATGATAGATAAACCTGTTAGACATTTATCGGGTACGTAGAGCTTAAAAATGCAGAACAAAGCCCCCTTGTTTTTTCAACATCATTATCAAGAAGGCGTAAGTTGTGAAACAGAGGTACAGACCATGGGGTATCTGACTGCTCACAAAAATTCGCTCGACATGTGGTCTCCTACCCTCTGCTCTAAAGATAGCCTCTCTTCTGTGTTGCAGTAGCACTCTCGCATCTCCCTCTCCGTTACTACACCAGGCGAAGAACGTCGCTGTGCAATCCAGTCAGCGTGTGCTTGCATACATCCTGACAGGGAGACATGCAGGCTTTGTTCACATTACTCTCGAACGTGGATATGCACATCATACAGTGATTATACCGATCGTCTCGCTAAATTTACGACCTCGTCAAAGAAGAACTGCAAGCAATTAGTAGTCCTTGTAGTCGAACACAACGTCTCGTCGTGCAAAGAATGACAGAAATGACGCGGCAGGATGAGGAATGTCCGAAAGACAAAAACCTTAATTCATGTAACTAAAAGTGAAGAGGATGAACATTTGAAAAATCAAGATCGATGCTCTTTGACATCAATAACTCGAGTTTTTCACCACCAGAAATACCCATGCAAGTTGTGAGGGAAAAAAACTCCATTCATCCCACAATTGGAATCGGGTAGATGCTGCGCGAAGAGAATAATTCCACAAATAACTCAAACATCTAAATTGGCGGGTATAATCATAGTTACACTGGCGGAAAATGTCAAAGATCTAGATCTATTGCGGAAAAAAATGGAAATATCCTTGAGAAGATTGCACGAAGCTTACTGAACACTGCGAAAAAAACGCACAGCGAACCGCTTCCGCCACAGCACTACGTTTGGAATATCGACGAAATCACAACACGCACAGAGCAACATGAAGTACGTAGACAAAGCAGACGGTACGATAGAAGTAAAAGTATCTTCGAGAACAACCACGCACAACTTTGACAAAGATAAGGTGTGGCGAATTTGAAAAACTATGCGGGCGTCAAAAGCGAATGAGAAGAAAGCGACCCACGACGGTCAATATTTCCCTTGTTGCCCTGCTGCTACGACTGGCACTGAGTATGGAAGGTTACGATTAATTGTAAAAAAATGACATGCACATGGAAGATACTGTGAAAACATATGTATCGACGACAAGCAAAAAGTCAAGAACAAGCACAATTTTGAGTTCGACATTAAAGAATGCTGGATCTGAGCATGGCAACGCCTATCGAACAGAAAGTACTTGGTTTAGTTCTGTTGTTGCTTGTGGAGGAAAAACAACGCGACGGGAACAACGCGGGTACTTTCTATATACTTTTACTTATAAGGGTGGGAGCTGATCGTAATGAAGCCGTTACGTTTGCACTGGGCTGTGCATCTCACAAGGGGTTTCGCTTTTCATCGCTCTTGTAGGTGGCCGTGTCTGGACTGGCGCCACCAGTTGAACTAGCTGATGCAGAGGCTGTAGCTTTTGCATTTTCTTCAGGTGGGTGTGCTGAAGCAGTGGCTGGTGATCCTGTTGTACTCGTCGGAGGTACTACGCCGCCTGCAGCCATGAGTTTCATGGAATATGCGAGACTCCCTATTGCTCCGAGAAAGTCGCTGTGTCGAACAAAAAAAGCTCGTTTGTTCAAGTTATTCATGGTTCTAGAGACCGCAGCTTTCGCAAGGTGATTTTTCTCAAAGAAGCCACCCACGAAAATAATATGCCGCACCAACAAAGACTGTGAATAGGCCAACGCTAAGACGGCGACCTGCTGTGTGACCATCTGCAGCACTGCGCGCGCGAGGTCTTTTCTCTCCGGCATCTTGGCAAATGCAGATGGCTGCACCCCTGACGACACGGGAGCATGCAGCTGGTCGATGTGGTGTGTTCTAGAAGCGTCGAGTCCTTGCTCCGTTCGACCAGCTCCTTCTGGCGTACAGGTACTGAATTCACCAGTCGCAAAGTGCAATGATTCCTGCGTTCCTACCTTGCCGAAGTTACTGGCCGTCAAGTTGCCCGGCAAGCCTAGATTCGCTGAGCCTGCGGCGCCGTAAATATCTTGCACAAGCGTGTCCACGTTGTCTGCATTACCCTGCATGGCAAGCTCCAGAGCGTCCGCAAAGTCAGTGGTTCCGCATAGCAGTCGGGTGAGACCCAAGAAAGTACCTCCGCCGCAACCGGTACCACCGACACGCGCAAAGGAGTCAGGCGTCACGTGCAGAATCGACACACCACTCCCCAGATTCACCAACAAGAACGCTTCCTCCCAGAAGGGGTGCGTGTTCGATGAGCCTGCTTTGAGCGATTCTGTAGAACGCTTCCGTGATGGATCCATCGGGCGTTTTTGGCCACCATCTTGGAATTGTGCTTCCCCCGTCGGTCTATTAACCTGGGTGGACGTGGAGTCTGCGATAATATTCTCGCTTCCGGCAGAGGACGACGAGACTGTCCTCTCAGGGTTCAGTGCAACTTTGATATTGTTGTCTTCGGTTTTTGTGACATTGACGAGGCTGTTGGAAGATGATGTCTTTTTCATAGCCTGCGTTTTTTCAACCGTTGAACTTGCCTTCTGCGGTCCTGTCTTCTTACGCCGCGGGCATGGAGTCCTGCTTGATGATGAGCTTGTCGGGCTCGGCTTTGTCACAGCTAGTGAAGATGACTCCATATTTTTGTTCTTGTTGGTACCTTCTATTCCAGCTACTTGAATAAAATCAGGCACGAGTAGCGACGTCGCCGTCACAACATTATTGTTCTTTGCGGTACTAACTCCACCCAGGAGGTCAGCACGACTTGCCAAGCGATTTATCGTCCCCACCGGTGTCGTGCTTAGTGCTTGCTCAGAATTCAAGTCGCTTGCTGTTGTTCCGGTCGGAGGTCCTTGTGATAGATCGGACAAAGATAAGTCGTCGTTTTCTACACAGCCGGCGAATCGCAGGTCACGATGACTAAGTTTCTTTTCTACACCAGACAGATGGGGCACTGTCCTCGCTAGGCTCGCTGATGTCGTCGCGGAATCGACCTCAATAAAAGGCATACCCGAAGACCAAACTTGCTTCTCACTCTCACTCGTCGAGGTTGAAGATGTCGCTGAAGACGCAAAGGTGGCCGCTCCCCCCGCCGTGTCAATTTTGCCATAAGGTACCGCTAGGGGAGTAGTGGATATGCTTCCGGCTCGCTCCTGGACCTGACGCTCCGCTCGAGGCACAGCCGAGTATTCCAGTCCACTTTCCGCGTTGACATCTTCATAGGCTGGCTCTCGCACGGGACTCCCTGTCACAGCCTCTTCGTCGTCCTCCTCGTCTTCTTGTAATTCAGCCACCTCGTCCACCTCTTCGACCACTAAATCGTCCTGGTCGTCGTCGGGATCGAAGGGACGCTCCTCGCCGTTCTCGCCTATTAAGAGAATCTCGTCACGAAAAATGTGCGGCCGCTCGAGAACAAAACGGAGACCCTCTACGATGCTCTGCATCTCCCGATAGGCCTCAAATTCAAGGTTTAGAGCCTCCTTGAAGAGAGCGCGGTACTTGTGGGCACCTCCACCCGCAACGGCCACTTTGCGGGGTTCTGCGTGCTGAAAAGGTGCGAGAGTCTTCAACGCTGACACGACTCTCTCCAAGCCCTGGGTGGAACCAGAAATAAACCGCATCACGTACCGGGTGCTTTTCATCTCTGCGACAGGCCCGTCTACCCCACTTGTCCCACTCGATGATCCTGCTGCTAGTTTCTCACTTACGTCTGCGCCTATTCTTGAGGGGTCAAGGCACGGCTTGCCAACAAGTGCTGTATCAATATCACCCTGTTCTGCAAATCCAACTACCGTGGGAAAAGGTCCCTGAGACGAAGCTGAGCAATACGACGACTTATGGGACCCTCTCGATGGTGGAAGAAACGCAGTGTCGCCAACACCGAGTGGAGTCTCATGGAGACTTTGAGACACTACTAGATGAGTTGCTCCCTCATGATCTTTTTGTTGCTCTAGTAGTGCATGATCTTTCGCCGAGTACTCCCTAGGAGGCGATAGGGCAGCTCTCAGCACGTACTGTTCGCTTCTAGAATCTACTTCTGAGGATAGAAACGACGTGCCAGCATCAGTGAACGAATGAGGTGAGGAAGAACTCATCCCGACTCCTGCGCGTCCTCCAGGACTGTCCTGTAATGAGTTCAATTTCGTCGGTGCATCTAGGTCTGACTCGGCAGTTTCTTGCCTCCCTTCCTCTAAAGCAATACGCATTTCGTCAAGGGGCGCTTCTGCCAGGGATTCCGACATGGATTGAAGACCTTCTCGAAGCTGCTGCGAGTCGTCATGGTATGGAATACGCGAGGAAAATGGATATGCTAGCCACTCCACAGTGTTACTTCTCGTCGTCCAAAGTGCGAACTTTTTCGCCTGTGGGTGGCTGATTCGCTTCGCTTCGATATTAAAACCCGCAATTCTGGTCGAACCTTCGTGGCTGGAGAGCCCAGAGGTCACATGATCTTCCTGCTGATCACTTTCTTGGCCGGATACAGACGCATTTGAACCCGATAAGCCACGTTCCTCCCGAGGAAGCAATAACCCAGCAACACGTCCGGGTGGCTGCTTTTGTAAATTTCTCTTGCCTGGCGCTGAACTAGTTGTTGTTGTACAACTACGTGAGGACGTAGTACTTGTCTTTTGAGCAGGTAGCTCGAGCGATCCTTGATGTGGCTGCTTGGGAGGGGAGACACTGGGATGAAGTGCTCTGTCGAGGTCCGTGGAGATGATAGCGCCAGCGACCGTCCCTGGTGACAGTTGCGAGCAGCTAGAAGCGCGACTACTGTGCCACGTCTGGCTTTTCTGCCCTACTAGTAAAGGTTCCTTCATAATATCCGGACTCTTTTGCCGAAGGCTTTTCGACGATATGCTTTTCGTGAGACGTGCTTCTCGTGAGGTACTGGCGCTGCGCGGCCGCTGGTGTACGGCGGGGTCCAGCGACACACTTCGTTTGGAGATCACGGGACTCATGCCGCCTCGACGTGACACGGCCGCACCCGTTTCGTCCAGCAGCGTGTGATGATCTGCATGATGGCCCCCCGTTCTACCTGCAAGGTGGTCCATCTTTCTGCCACCAGTGTAATAATGCCCACCAGGAGGTGGGTAATGCTCGTCACCTGCGGAATCTAGTGCCCGTGACCCGCGCCGGAGTCCCTGTCGCAGTAAGTGACTGCGGCGCCGAGCTGCTGTTGGGGGTAGTCGCGAGTTTCGATGAAAGTAGACGCTGCCAGCAGCTAAGCGGTTCTCCAACAGAACCGCAGGCACGACACTTGAAGCAGAGAGAAAGTCGCCCCTTGCGCCTGCACTATGGACGTGCCTCGTGGCAGATAATTGAGTCTCCTCGAGCGACGCGCTCTCTGTGCCCGCCGCTGACCCTATTTGCTTGTGTCCAACTGACGCGTCTCGCTGGCTGCGTGACACCGACACCCCAACGCCGAAAGGGCCTGCAGCTTCTACCAAAGGCAGCGATTTGTCAGGATGATAGACACGACTTCCCGACGACCCACCGACTTGAGGATTTGCCCCCGAAAATAATGGCATGCTTTTATGAACTAGATTTCCGGGAAAGGGGTGTTGAGCATCACCGCAGGCTTTAAGGATCGAGGAATGCTTGGGATCTTTACTGGCGGACGACGAGTTTTCTTGCTCAAGGTGGGGAGACGCGAAACATTTCTTCTGTCTCGTCGGCTGTCGGCCACTGCTTTTTGGAGCGTCATGTCCGTCCCTAGGACTCTTCGGAGCTTGCTGATGGAGTGTCGCGTCTGCAAACAAATGGTTAGCCACGCGCATATCCGCTGTATAACTCGCCGTTAAAGCGCCACTAGCAGCCGTTGCTAAATGTGCTCCCACTGCAGGTTTTAGGTCTACTCCCTTCATCGGGTGAGCATACCGGTTTCCATCGTCTACTTGATGCGTTTTTGTTGTTGGTGCGTTTACTTCATACGACGGATTATCTCGTCGAGTCTGACCTTGAGTTTCTTCCTGAGCAAGTAAAAGGTCTTCGTCGGCAGGAGTCGTCAAGCAGGAGCTCGCGTCAGAAGCTTCATCGGCAACATCCTCAGAAAACTGTGAATCCGCTTCATGCTCATCTCCCTCGAGTGGAAGCAAGCCTTCTAGATCCCCGGCCGTAACTTCGACATCCAGTTGATAATGAACGATTCCCGTCCGCCCGACGCCACTCGGAAATGTGAATCGCTCTGCCGCTTCAGCGGGCATGAGAAGGACCTTGTGATTTAAACGAAACTGAGAAAAGTAGTAAAAAAGCATGGAGCACGGAAAAGCTTCGCCATGAATGCAGAGCAGCAGACAAGTTATTTATTACTCAGCAGATGAAAACAAGGCAAATATATACTTACGCAAGTTTCAACCAAACCGACCCTGCGATGCAGAAAAATGCGCTGATCTTAAAAGTGGTCCAAAAAAGAAACTTTATGACATGATTGACTGGTCTTCTTCCTCTTCTTCTCCTATTGGTACTACATGTACTGAATCATAAGTGATACCAATTTTGCAAGTGTCCCTCCAATGTCGACACCCATGTAGCCTTCGATATCACGAAGATGCCTTAGTACAACTAGGGGATCTGCTTCCTGTCCCTGCAAGGCCACTCCTGCGGAGAGGCTATCCCTACGTATGGGAACCGGCTGTTTCTCTAGCAGCTGCCGCCGACCGCGTTCATCCACAATATAGCAGCGTTCCGAAGGAAGAAGTGATGCGCGAGAGGGCCGCATTTCACCACTAAGGCCCCGTGACTTACTCAATGTCCTCCGGCTGTCGAGAGGAGGAGGCGTTACCGACGTCTGCTCGGCCTTAGTGCACTCGATATCTCCAGTATTCTCCTCCTGCTGTTGTTGCGCACGGCGTCGACCCCTATCCTCGCCAACATCCCAAGCCTCGAGGAGTCGCGCGACCACTGCCTTCGGCCAAGTGTCATCTACCGTCAGTCCACGTAAGCTTATTTGGTTGATGCAGGAAAAAATCAACAACATTCTAACGAACATACTATGAATCCGGGCAACAGTTCAATGAAATGCATGAGACTCTGACTCATGCAATTTTCATTCATTAAGAAGCGCACGTGGCCGCGAGCCCACGATTTGAATCTATGGAAAGATAAGTCTTCAGATTATATACATTATATAAGGTTGAGAAACAAAAAGACCAACAAAATCACGTTATAGTTGTGTTGTCCTATCTACCAGCGCAGTACCTCGCCAACTCGAGCAACGACTGCAACGTGTAATGATCGTACTGCGACCCCGGAGCCCCAGGACTGGGCGTCGATGATGGTGGGTTTTCGTTCATCTTCGGTTGACTGTCACACCGTTAAGCGATCGAGTTTCTTTCGGCAAATAACGTCGATGACCCGCTAGTAAACCACGCGACAGTAGAATGAGCATAGACGACCATGACCATCCTCTTCGAGTAATAGTTTGTACTGCCGGCGGATGTACTAGTTTTAGCGATTACAGCGAAAAGTGAAAATGAAAATCCATATCCAAAGCTTGAACTTGAACTTGATATAAGGCTAATAGAACTTTAATCTTGAATGATAAAATCTTCAGAAATATCTACGATATTCAACATCTTCACGCTGGATGCTCAGTTGTGTTTTGCAATTTGTTAGCACGCCTCTACACTTTAATACCATGCAGAGCCAAATCGGCTCACTTCGCATGCATTTGCTTCACGATCAAGTTGTGGAGCTTGTTCAACTATCGAATTGCTTGACTGACAACGAGGGATCGGGATTTTAATACTACTACAACTATTAGTATAAGTACTGCATTCATAGAGCTAAGGGTGGAGGGGTTTGCAGGGAGGGCCCTTTTCTCTGATCGTCAGGAGATTGAAAAAAATCGATGTCCTCGTCTACGTCTACAACACCAACTACGCGCGTTTAGTGACTGTGGACTTGACGAGGCTCACATGTTCGTCCACCTCGGAGGTAGAGGAATATGATTGCTGCATCAACATCATCATGTTCAGTAATGGTAGATCACAATGTAATCATTGATTCACAAGTTAAGTGGTTCATTTTCTTTTTCACACGAACACAATATTGAACTAATACGCATGTGCCTGCTTGTCTTCAGATCTATAATGTTTGCGTGGCTACTCATGATGATCTCGTTGCTCTATAAACAATATGGAACACGCTTTTAATTTTATCACACTTTGTGCTATTTCCATTCGTTCATCCTCGTACTAGTGGGTCGAAAGATGTAATCCTCAATTACTTATGTATAATTTAGTGTAAGTCAGCATGGCTGCTGGTTGAACGAATAAAGACAACTCTTCCAATTCTCAGTCTCATCGTTGTTCGAAAACTTGTGTTTGTGATTGTGCTGCCATAGACGAAATATGACTCCAAAAAAAATCATGTACTTTGACATAAATTTATTTGTAGAACCGCCGCTACAGCGCTTTGTCGGCAGTTGATCTACTTCTTGTTCCGGTTTTATTTCAGTAGTTTTTGGGTACATCGGTCATTGAGCTGAGAAAGTATGGGGTTGCAATGAATCACGTGTTGTTAATAGGATCGCTGAATAGTCATGGCCCTATTTCTACTTACGCTTATCACCATAAAACCAGGCAGCAGCTAGCAAAGCGGACAGGGGCACACCAGCGGTTGAGACACGAAAAATCAAAACAAGGACGCGGAGCGAGTGAAAAAAACCAAAGTATCCTGGCGGGATACAACAATAACATTCACAAAGCTAGTTGTAAAAGTTCCTCATCATCCTCACTACCACGTCTCTAAAGTTGGTGTTTTCCAATTGCAGCCAGCATCTGCATCATTAATGTGGTCATAGAAACATTATCAAGAATATCGTTTTCAATTTATTTCATAGCATTACTTAGCAGCACACGCACTGAATATCAAAAGGAGCATTTTCGCGAGCGGAACTTACCCTGCTTTGATGGGGAGCACGAAAATAGACTTCCGCAGTCGCACACGCTCTCGCCGCGATGATAAAAAAAGGAGATAACTAACGTGAAGATGTCCTTGCTAAGTAGTACAGAAAAACCTTGGTGATCATGAAGTTCTTGACGATGAAGCCCCTCGAATATCGCTACAGCACGAAAAGGAAAAGCAGACAGCAATTGTCAATTCACTCGTCCGCAATAATTTTTCCGTCAAGATAGGCGATCAAGGCGTCCGCACCGCTCTGATCGATCCCCGGAGGCTGTGGTGCTGCATCATGCATCACTTCGGCGATTCCAGCCTGGCCCGGATCCGGAAAAGACCTGTGAAAACGAGAACGAGTTGCTCGAATGAATGAACAAACGCTATTGGAGGATTCGACGGAAAATTAGTGGACGAGACGACAAGCACTAGAAGTATAATAGTAGATACCATATAACTCATTACATTGATCGATTGGGAAGATGCAGAAAATATTCAGCGAACAAAAGCATGATCACTATCACAAGAAAAACATTAAATGAGAATCGATGTCGTCTTCTTCCCACAAGAAATTCAACTGACCCAGGGTATTCGTTTCTTTATACTATGCTCAACAAACCAACCTGGACATCAAAGTCAAATTCAAATTTATAAAAAAATATAAATTGAATCCAAGTACTGTCTTCCACCGCCGCCGCCTCCTCTGAATATATGTTCTTTGGTGTTATCGCCAATGCTGCCCTTCCCTGGCCAACCTACATCTTTTCCTGCGTAATAATCACCCTTGTGATCATCACCACCTCTGTACTTGTACGGATCTCGGTCCTTCCCGCTGTAGTATTTATCGCGCGGCAGATCTCGGTAATTGCCGGCCTTTCCACCGTAGTAACTGTCACGATCTCGCTCTTTACCGTAATAGTCCCGATCGCGCTCTCGTTCCTTGCCGTAGTAGTCTCTTTCTTTACCTCCACCGTAGTAGTCACGATCGCGTCCACCGTTGTCTTTTCCTCCCCCGTAGTTGTAGTCTCGGTCCCTGTCCTTGCCGCTGAAGTAGTCTCGGTCATGATCGGATCCAGTCGGTGGTGCTCCCTTTTTTCCATCATCTTTGGAACCCACAGCAACGCCGCCTTTGATCTTTCTCGCACTCCAGTAGTCTTTGTCCTTACCTGCCCAAGGCTCCTTGTCCTTACCGGCACGACTGCGCGGCACCCTGTCGTTCTCCCAATCTTCAGAACTGCTTTTTGGTGGGCCAGTCACTCCTCCTACTGATGCTGATGACAGAGAAAGAAGATAGCCGCCTTTGATCATGTTTTTCGCTTTGCCTTTATCCTCTCGTCGCCAGGCAGGTGCGCCGCTTGCGCTATTTGAGTTTGAGGCAGCACCAGCTCCTGTCTGCTCCCGGTCGCTGCCCCCGCCACCGGACGCCGTGGCGCTGTTATGTAACAGCGTTGCCGCGCCGCCGGAAGCTCCTGTATCGGTATTTGGCGAGCTGCCTTTTTTACGCCCACCCTTGACTATAACGACTGCAGGGTCCACCTCCGTAGCCGAGGCCCGCGCCCGCGCCGCTTCGCGCTCGATCATTAGTTCTTCCTCTGAGTGAGAGTGTGCCGGAACTGCGAGCCCGCTTGGCAAAGGCAGCACAGGTCCGTGGGGCGATTGCGACGCCTTGCCGCTTCCTGATTCTCCCTTCGCAGCTCCTCCGCCTTTTCCGCCGCTTCCATTGTACATCGGATGTTGTTGATCTCCTGATGTTCCCTTTGATGCAGTAGAAGGTTGAGATTTACCTCCCCCTTTCTCCTCGTACTGATGTTCTCCGCTTGATCGGCCTGACGGGTACGGGTGGTCGAGCAAACCGTGGTCGTCTGCGGCTAGCCTCCGTGCTGCCCGCGGTGTTTTCCCAGACTGGTCTGTGCCGCTGCCGCCACTCGATTGCGCGGCTCCCGAGTGCAGATCTTGGCTGATGAGATCCGATTTCTCCTGGCCATTGTAGTACCACGACGCTTGAAGAAGATCTTGGCCGCTTGGCATCGGTTTGCCTCCTCCGTCAGAGTCGGACCCTGTACCTCCACCCCATTTGCCCTTCAGGGCTGCGGCAGCCTTCCCCTTCAAGATCCCCTTCTTCGCGAGAATTGCGCCTTTTTTTCGTCCGACTGGGCCCCACGGGTCCCATGCACCCCAAGATGAGTCAGACGTTGAATCCGGTCCCGCTGCAGCACTGCTCCCCCCAACTGCTCCCGCCAGCAAAGCAGATGCAGTAGCAGCTGCGCTCGCACTGAGTCCGAGAGTTCCACCTCCGGTTGAATACGAAGATGAACCATAGTTCTCGTAATCGCTGCCCGCGCCCCAGGAATTGTCTGCCGCTGCCCTCGCAGAAGCGTCTGCCAAAGCAGCCATGGCACTGAGAGGCCCTGCTGCGCCGTCTTGTTCATAGTACTTCGCAGCGAAGTCTTCGTTAAAGCTGGATGACTCTCCGCTACCTGTCCCTTTGAACGCGGAGAAGTCGTAGTAGCCGCCTTTACCCTCGCCGCCGAGCAACTTTTCGAGAAGCCCTTTTTTCGCTGCCTTCTTGCTATTCAGGTATTTCGAGTACGGTGCGTAGTCGTAGTCGTACATTCCTTCCATGCTGCTGGAGGCGGAGCCGTTCATCTTTTCGCCTTTTTTGTAGGTGGGCCGATCGGGGTCGCTGGTCCCACCCCCCTTGGTGCTAGTCCCCGATGGCGTTGTCCGGCTCACCCCGCCGGTGGTAGCAGAGATTGGCATCACTTCCGGTTGCTTCTTTGCTTCTCTCTTCGCGGCGGCATCCTTGCCTCGGTCCTCGAGCCGCCATGTAGACCGACTACTATAAGTGTCGCTCTGCAGCTGCTTCGAATAGGGTCCGCCCCTAGCATCATCCTGCTTTGGGGACGGCTTCGGCACAGGTAAAGTGTCGCCTTTGCCTCCAGGAAAAGACGGGGGGTTGTTACTCCTGATGGTGCAATGGGTGGGGAGGCAATTTCTTCTACTTCATAACGGAAAGTAGATGAAAACATCAATCGACAAGACTACATACACATAACACAAACAAAATGGAATATCCTACTAGTAGAAGTACTACCAGTCTTGCTAATGCTAGAAGTTCCTTTTCACGCGAAAGACCGACAGCACAACTCGTCATGTCTTCCTTCAACTTCATTGTATTAATACGACATATTCCATGAAAATTATCTACTTCAGCTTTAGCGCCATGAAAAAGTACATAGCAGCGGTAGGTGAAATGACGGATGCTGTTGGTCGGGGTGTGACGATTTTCGGCGGTTCGGTGTCCTCGCCGCTTGTCGCTGGTGGCCTTGTCTTGGTGTTCGCGCTCTCGCGTTCCCTGATATCGTCCATTGCGCGCCACGACAGTTGCGCGTAAAGTTGCCTCATGGCCACGTCCGGAGTATTCTGTTTTAGTTTTGTTGACACACGACTTTTCAAAGGACTGAAGTTGATTCTGACTTTCTGTTACCTTTATTTTATCGTTCGAGAATAAAAGGAGTTAGCAGAAGTACTAGATGCAGAGTTGTTCGACATAATCATAACAACTATAGTACCTTGGAAAGGACGAGACCGGTTTTCTCTTGCGTACTCCGTAACTCGGGGTCAAATCCCGCGTCCCTACACATATCGTAAACCTTTCTGTCATGGAGATCACAAAACTCCTCAAAACTTAGCAGGTTGAACCTTCTGCTGTCCACGTAGTTATCATCATCTGAATGGAATAGAAAAATTTAGATAAAATAGGTTCTACCTAGGAGGTCTCGTCAAGCAGGAAAATGAAAAAGATATCTATAAGTTTAACTCGTCGTCTTCTGCCACACTCATCACCTCACTACTTCATCCATTCGGTTCTCCTCCTCGACTAATCAATTTCTATTTCAAGCAAGAAGGTAGCTTTAACTTTGAAGTTTTCTATTGTACTTGTACTCGGCGCAAGCGGGTGGGGCACTAACTTGATCTCCTTGCCAGATGGTGCTCGACGTGGTCCGCGACTCGGCCCAGAAGGATTCGTTCCCACCACAATGCCCTTTGCCTTTGGAGTTCTTCTACTCTCCCCTGCTGGTAAAGGCGCAGGCGGCGGTTTAGGGCCGCTCTTTCTTTTGTTGTCTTTGTCACCTGGAATAAGGTTGTGTGCTAGTTTTTCGATTTCCTCGAATGCTCAAGGTTGAAAGTAGATAACGGAAACAAACTCAAACACGATGGAGAATTTTATTCTTTTACTAGGAGTTTACGAGTTGATATTGATTTCGTATTCTCATCCTCATGACTACTCACCCACATTTTGAATGGTTCCGGTATTTGGTAACCAGAATTCGATCATAAGAGAAAACAAGAAGAGAACCCTTATGATCAAATTCAGGTGGTTACCAAATACCAGAACCATACACATTTTCTTTCGGTCTTCTAGATTTGATAATACATGTCGGTCGTGGTCTACCTCTGACTACTCTTAACTGCTAGAGCTATACTACCAACATCTAAGATCTTCATGGACATCACCATTAGACTTACCCAATTATACAATAGATACCGGTTGTTGGCGGTGCGGCCGGCGTTGTGGCTTCACCGGGTGGTGGTGCCCACGAGTCGCCTTCGACATCTTCGAATTCCTCGTCGTCCTCACACACAGGAGGTAGAATCGCTGCAAGGAGTGCCTGATCCGCAAGCAAGCCGTCTGGCTGCCCCCCGGAACGATCTAGGAAATTAAAAGATTGACAAGATCAGGGGAGAAACACTTTAACTTATTCTTTTCGTTTATTCTGTTTGATCGGTCTTTCATCAAGAACTTCAAACCAGTGCAACATCTACAAAAAATGAATTCATTTAAATGTCTAACCTCCATCTGCTCCTAGCTCATTTTCATCCGTATGGTCACTCTTTGCGTCAAAGAAGGGAACTGCAGTAGGATCAAATTCGACGACCTCGCCAGTAGTTACTGCTGGCGGTGCCATCGGATCGAATTCCACATCATTCACTGCATCTGCAGCAGGCATTTCCTCATCGGCATTGATGTCCTGCGCGTTGTTGTTCATCTCTGTGGTTTCCCCGGATCCACTGAGTACGGGAGCAGCGCCTCCAACAGATGAGCTTGAAGACGTCGCAGCGGCCGGCGGCGGTTCTTCTGCGGCCGCGAAGAGAGCATCCATGTCGAGGATGCCATGGTCAGCGGCCCACGCAGCTTGCTTTGGCTCATCGCTGTCCCCAGAAAAGGAACCCGGCGTTTCCGGAATACCTGAAGATAATGAAATAGAATAAATCTGGATTATGTAAGGACATCAAGGCCCACTCTGAATTATGTAAAGACAAGAAAAACCTAGATTGCAACGGTTTTCATACTTGACATCCACTACATGAACATCGATCTTGATGAACTCAGTTTCAGCTGCTAAATTATTATGATTGACGACGAATATGTATATGTTTGTTACAACGAATCAGGAAGAACCAAAAAATTGAGTAACTCTAAGAATGCGTACCAAGCAACTCTTCGAGAGAAAACGTGTTCATAGTGGTATCTCCTGTAGTTGACACCACGTTTGCGCCCGCTTCGTCTGACAGTGGTGAGATCTTACCCACGCTGTCTGCAACATCCTGCGCGCTGCTGAAGTTTAGGAAGAAAGGAAAAGAAACATGTCTTCTCCTAGAAATCATGATCAAGTCTTGAGATTAACATATTAACGTGGATAACACTGAAACTAAACCAAACATGATACTGGAAAAGAAACTCGATAAGAAAAACCGGAATGTACGAGCCAGCACAACCACAAAAAATAAAACAAACGACATAGGACAAGCACGAAGTGTTGCCATGAAATTAAGACGAGCATGACTCTTCAACCTAAAGAACAAAAACAATGGACCAAGTTAGCACAAGTTGTGTTTGTAGTAGCCACATCTCAGTCTATCGATGAATACCTGCCGCCCGCAATCCCATCGGCTGCCATTGATCCGGCAGATTCCTCTATCTGACCATCCATCTTCATAATCTTTGGCATTTTTGAATTCACCACCCGTTTCCTCAAAGGTAGTCCACGACTATCTCTATTAATTTAAAAAAGGAAGATATTTTTGTCCGTAGACGTACGAACTCGTCCTATCTCTTCCTTCTTCCTTGAGCAATACTAGTAAGTCATGATCGCCTAAGTTCATGGAAGGTAGATAATGAACCACACACTCCTCCCTATGCTACTACTTCCGAGACTTAAAATATCTGTTGGTATAATCTACCGAAAGAAAAACCACAACTAGAAATCTTCAGGCACTTGTATCCACTAGAAATATCATGCTTAGCTGTTTACAAAGAAGTGGTAGAGGTAGGTGCGTGGACGTCCTTCTAGTACAACTAAGGTGTGCCATCCACCCGCGATCTTGACGCTTTCCGTGCAAATGAAGCCAAAAATCTGTAATCCTATAGCGAGCACGATTAACATTGAATTTCAAAAATCTGCCTTTATGGAAAGAAAAACTCAACAGTAGTCAGCAGTGGTGCCACGAATATAACGAAGAATGCCATCTAAACAAATATCAGGTCTTTCACACATTGACAGACGCGGTTATGAAAACTACCACAGACAAGAAGTATTGACTATGAAGTAATTGTGTATTATATAGAAAAACACAGACAAGCAGTTTGTGTATCAATATTATTGACTATGAAGTAATTGGTAGGATCACTGGTTGCTAGAGAATATCTTCAGAGACTCAATTTTTAACCTCCTTGCTTACAAAAGGTTAACAATACCAATATCTCAGGTCTAGGTCTACATCGTGGATAATATACTTGTATGTAAGCCAGAGAACAAACAATGGAATGATGATAAACTGCGGTCTTTTCGAAAACTACTAGTGAGTGTGAGATATCATAAGTCAAAATGTTAGGAGAGTAGAGGCGAGGGATTCATTGCTAGTTAATTGTATTTGTAGTTGAAACGAAAGAAAACTTTATCTTCATTGGTTGTCGTGGATGAAGGAACATAATGGACCTCAAAAAGCCAAAAAACGAAAAGAATGGAGTCTGCAAACAAAATAGAGCATGGGACAGAGGTAAATCTTCCGCAAACTACACCTAGCGATGATTCTTGGGAGGTGATGAAAGCTTTCTTGTTATGCTGATTGTCGAGTACATACAGGATCAGATTGATACAAAGATGAAGCAAGCTACCATAGATTCCGGATACATAAGTACTCCATCGACCAGCTTACGGAACTAGAGAAAAGAGAGGGAATTCACGACAGATATAGCACAATACAGGGAATCTATAGAACCTCACGATTCGTCACTGGTGCTCTCATCGCTCATGTTGCAGCATTGGTCTACTCTATCCTTGACTGAGACTGAAAAAGATGTCCTCCCTCTTCAACATCTAGAAGTAACAGCTAACGCTAAGTTGTATGTTACGACAATCTTCAGTACCTCCTACCTCAACAATCTCAATCCGAATTCTTCATGGATGCTATCAATCATCCGTATATCATCCCTCATTTGTTTCTAGCACACACATACACTCAAAATTAGCCCTCGGATCGCACGCAATGACGGGTTATGGCTGAGTGCTGACAGACCGAATCAATAGTATTCCTCTTCTTCAATCTTCATCTTCTCACTGTATCAGTCTAAGAGTAGATTGATACACTCAGCAACTCGTTACAAGAATGCCTTTTCTTCTCTGTTAGGTTAGGTTAGGTGTGGGCCTACCAGGAAAACTGGCAGACATGAGTGGCTGCTGAAGATCCAAAAACAAAACTACGTCCTAGAGCTGGTGGCGCTACGCTAAGTCCTAGTCTCTAAGCTACACTAGACCGATCACCGCCTCTGAAGGACCGCGCACGTCTTCTTTTGACTAGATTCCTGGTTTCGGTGTATTCACTTACTCACATAGTCACGGCGTTCTTTATACTTATACACGACTCTGCCAATCAAACAAGCAGCGTGTAAATATTTATCTTGTTCCATCGCTCTTGTCCTGAGGTCTCTCATCTGCAGCTATTCATCTGTTGTTCGTGGCGTCGGAACCGTCTGCATCGGGGTCGGCTGACTCTCCCCCCTGTCACCCTCTTCACTAACAAACTAGGCTACGCGTCCTCCGACAGGCGACTCGTTACTCAATGACAATGAATGTTGAATGCGCGAGGTCATTTCAATTAATGTGATCACTTACTGCCTCTCCGTCCTGAATTGAAAAGAGCCCAACTACTTAACCAGCTATAATCGCCTGGTGTACTTCATGTTCTTGTAAGGAAAGAAAACAAGGAAATAACTAAGGGCCTTTTGCATTTGGGGGTGGTGTAGTTCTCAGGCAAAGGGCAGAACGCTTCTCTTGGTCTTGGCGCACTAGAGGACGACGACAACGGCAGCAGTTGCATCAACCTGCTAGACTTGAGCGCCCGGCAGCACTCCTCCCACTAGGATCATCCACCCCCGGCACGCACTTCCTCAACCCCGGCACGATTCCGCTTCCCCGGGTCCTCCCCCGCCCGACAACCGTCGGCAGCATAGGCTTTTTGCACAAAGTTTTTGATATTAACGCCCACGAAATAAATTGAGCCACAGCGTGCTTGCTTTCAATAAATGCTCGACGTCATGCGGGGGGTTCGTGTGTTCGTGTGTTGTGTTTGTTGGTTCATGAGAAAAGAAGCGGAAAAGTTTGCGATGGCGGTCGCATGTTTTTGGTTCCAGTGTCTTCGGCTCGGGTGTTTTCGGTTCGGTGTGCGTTGGGTTCGGATGTTGGAGGGGTCGTTGTTGATTTTTTGCCTATCTCATTCCCATTATGGTTGCTGTTGAAAAAATATGATAAAAGTTATCAACTTCGTGGCATCGCCATGAACTCTCGAAAAGTTTCAACCTTTTGAGTTCAAGTTGTAAAGGTTTTGGCTTTATCGCGTAGGTTTTAAGTTTAGCACCCATCTGCGCGAAATCTGACCAAGCCCATAAGTTCGCACGATCTTGGCATCGCCATGAACTTTCGAAAGGTTTCAACTTTTTGCGTTCAAATTGTGAAGGTTTTGACTTTATCGAGCAAATTTTAAACTTCGCACCCATCTGCGCGAAATCTAACCAAGTTCGTAAGTTCGTAAGTTCATAAGTTCGCGAGTCAGAAGTGGAAGAGTGAGAGTTTCGCGGGGTCGTTGTCTGTTTTTTAATTTACCTCCAAATATTACTACTATCCCCCAGCGAAAAATAGAGAAGACCCCAAAATGAAAAATTGCAAAGTAGGTTGGTTAAGCCTAAAAACTTAATGCAACTATCTAGTTGCGGTCTTGATGCCGCTCCTTCCAAATATATAAATCAAAATCCAGTTACACTAATTTCACCTACCAGAATGCGCTGTACCAGTAGTGCCTGAGGCGGCGCGGCTTCCGCTTACACGATCACGACCATGTTGGTCTTCATCGATCGATTAGTAAGCATGTCCTTCATCATGATCCATTCTTATTTTTCACACCTGCTTTTACATAAATCCAAACGAGAGAAAATCTTCAACAGACTAGAACTACTTTGCGGACGCGATATTGATGACTAGTTTTATCAGTAGCGATTTTCTACTTTTTCTATTGGTTTTGGTGGAAACTTACACTTATCATCGACGACATAAAACATCACATAGAATGATGAGACAACACAACATGCTAAACAGAGTCCTCGTCTACTACATTTTATGTTGACAAATGACGAAACACGGAGTGGATGTTGACGAACCGGAAATAGAAATAAATCGAAAATGGGTCTTCCTGCGGGCTGGTGGGGAGTCAATCTCTATCTTATTCTGCCTCATTTTCGTGGGTACATCGAAGAAACGTAATTATTTGCGCTCTTGTGGACGTCTTTCATCTCGGATTCTATTTCATTTTGCTGGCATTATGAAGTACTTACACTGACTTTTTTCGATGACAATTCGTGCACCGATCACTACACTAACTTTTCCGATTCTCAGGCGTCTTCCATTTAAAGAATAAAAATTAGCCATCAAAGTCTCCAAGAAATACAAATTCTCTTTCACTGTAGTTCGTGACACATCAACAAACACAGAGGAGCGGCATAACAACTAATGTAATATAATCACCACGACTTTTTTCTCGTGATCTTCAGGGATGTTCTTGATCGTGTCCTCGCGTGTCTTCCTCTTCTCACAAGAATATTAATTACAACATACCAATTTCTCGTGAGTTTATAGATCCAATACATTCTCGATGCCCGCCTCGCTCGGTGTCTCAATTACGCGAGGTGAGAAAAACTACCGACATCACGAAAGAAGCATATTCTCGATCTCGCTGCACGAAATAAAATTCCCTTACTAAAAGGAACACATCAATACTTCGGAAAACAACAGAAGCGTTGGCGATCAAGTTTCGCAATGAAGCGCTGACGATGAACAAGCTCGAATAATTATTTCACGGAAATAAATATCCATTTTCCCTGGCATGGTCATCCACTTGATACAAGGGATTCGCGTTCATTCACAAGTGAATCACATCGATGTAGCGTCCACATTATTTTTGCTCGGAAGGAGGGGTTGTATATTCCTCATGTTGGCAGGTAGAAGTATCAGAATTTACTTGCTCGTCAACATGACTATTCTATTGCTAATAATTTCCTAATCGAACATGTTCGACGTTGAGCAGGTATCTTCCAGATATAAGCGAACGTCAAGCTCCGTTAGTCCTTACTGCTCCCCACCACCGCCGTCGCCCCCCTCCGAAGTCTCCATACTCACGTCGAGGCCCGCACCTTGACCCCCCTCGGCATCCGTGTAGTCCTCGTCTGCAGGATTTCCCAAACGAAAAGGCGAGAATGAAAAACAAAAATCTAATACACCTCCAAATAAAATGAGTACAACCTCCAAGGAGAACTAAAATCGAAGAATTTCTCACGACTTGACGAATCAAGAAGCAAGCAAACATTACGTTGAACGCTAGAACATCTTGATCTTCAGCAATCAGTATATTCTTCCCCTCCAACATCTAACTATCATAATATTGTCCGCGATATTATTATATATAAGAAGGGATTAGCTTCGTTGTACTTAGCACCATAAGAATGAAAGATTGTTTTCCAAAGCCTCCATCGCAGCGGGCCACGTTAGGGGCAGCACCTTTTCCAATTGACCTGTGACTACTGCTTTATCGTGATGTGCTGACTCCAAGCACCTCTCAAATATCTGATCCACCAATGCGTCAGTCACTGCGTCCGAGGCCGAGTACATGGTGCGGATACGGTCGCATATACTCTTGTACCTTGTCGAGAATGGTGATAGGAGTGGTGGAGAGGATATTAGGGTCGAATCATTGACGAGGTAGAGGTCTTCCGTCTGTGGAGTAAAGTCTCTTGCTCGACGCCGCAAAGGTGGGTGCAGCCAAAAGACAAGATGATCATGATTGAAACCGAGGATATCGATTGGTTTTGGGATGTGCCTCACTAGCGAAGACAGCTAGAGCTAGCACTTTTATCTTAGGAGTGCGCATGACACGTTGTTGTTCAACATGTTCATCAAGGCGCATCAATAATAATCTTTTGATCGGAGGGACTAACCTAAAATGGAGCTGCATCAATAATATTCCATTATACCATCTCGCATGCCTCAAGTGTGTCAGGTTTTCCTGAATGTTGTCTAGATTCACGTTCTTGTAGTCAGATTCGAGGATGTAGACGATGTCTTTCGAAAAAATCTGTTCCACATCCTCTGGTGGAAAGTGCATGAAGATTTCTTTCGCCAGCGTAGCCGCAAACTCGAATGGAGAATCGCAATACATGCTCCGAAGTTTCAGCGCAACTTTTCCTAGATATTGCGTGTTCTGATCCTCTTCTACTATCTGCAGAATCGATTGCCGGAGGAGCTGATGGTGAACAGAATGAACTAATATGTTGCTGGTCCGGATGTGAGGCATGGTTGTTTTGTTCATCTTATTAATATAGACGATCGTCTGCGTGGTATGATAAAAACAAGCACCTCGTGAGATGACCACGTCTGAAGGAGCTGCAAACAAAAGTCACTCATAAAAATATCGATGAGCACAGGAAGGTAGAAAAAACACATACTAATACTTTTTCGTCTATTTCCGTGAGCACATCTGGCAAGATTCTTGGTGCGTGCCTGGTGAGTTTCCGCAAGTCGAACGACGTGAAGTCCTTCATGCTAGCAAAGATGCTATCCACTTTCTCCTGCAATGCTTGTGGAGCGTCGAATGGATACAGATCTTCCCGAAATTGACGGTAGAGCTCTTTCTTGAATTTTCGCCGGTCATTTTTTCGTCTTAGATACTGAAAGAGACTCAAATAGCCTTTGCCGTAGGCCATTCTCAGGTTCGGCTTAAGCGGACAGTTCGAAAGGTTCAAGTCTGGAGTTGAGAATATATATTTCAAGTTGTAAACCCAAGTGGTAAGTGATCTTATGCTCTACTTGTCCGTCACGTTGACCTCCAGAAGAGGTTCCCGATAATTCGCAAGCGCCCTGTGTTTGACTACTTAGTTGATAGGTTATGAAAGCTTTATATAGGTTAGATTGCTTCAGATAACAAGAAAGGCCCAACGGTCATCAACCAAGGACTGACTCGCTCGCGCCGCGCAGACTCGCTCGCGCCGCGCAGACTCGCTCGCGCAGCGCAGACTCGCCCGCGCAGCGCAGACACACTCGCGCTCGCGCAGCGCAGACTCGCTCGCGCAGCGCAGACTCGCCCGCGCAGCGCAGACACACTCGCGCTCGCGCAGCGCAGACTCGCTCACGCGGCGCCGACTCGCTCACGCAGCGCAGACTCGCTCGCGCAGCGCAGACTCACTCCGCTCGCGCAGCGCAGACCCGCTCCGGTCGCGCAGCGCAGACTCGCTCGCGCAGCGCAGACCCGCTCCGCTCGCGCAGCGCAGACTCGCGCGCGCAGCGCAGACTCGCGCGCGCGCGCAGCGCAGACCCGCTCCGCTCGCGCAGCGCAGACCCGCTCCGCTCGCGCAGCGCAGACCCGCTCCGCTCG